GACGCCGGTGATTTCCTCACGAGCGAACGGCGCGACGGGACGGAAGGGACAAGTCCCTGCCGGCTGCTGCTGTCCTGTCACATATCCGTACAGCTAATAAGGTCCCTTGCCTACGCCGTACCTTACTTGAGGCTGAGGTGTGTGGCTGGTGAGAACTAAAAGTCGGACCTAGTTGCTTAGATAATCACCGGGGACAAACCCACTTGGGCCCACGCTTCGGTACCGGAAGCCGGCGGCCCCGTTGCATGGCTGATCCTAGCCGCCGCCGTCAAAGAAATTCAACTGTGCTGCCAGCCCGGAGCGCGCGGGGACTTTCGGCGCCCCTCCCAGCTACCGAGTCCCGTCCCAATTGTCCGGTCGAGCTCCGGTGTTTCGGAACGGTGCTAGTCCTAGTGTCCAGAGCGGAGCGCCCACTTGGCACTTGTTCAACAGACTATGTGCCAAACATACCGACTCACAGGACGGGAAAACCAGCGCTTGATTGGTCCCTTGAACCTTGCCGACGTCTTTCTCCTCTCCTCTCCTCTCCTCTCAGTGCTTCCTCCACTCCGATTGCCTCTGATTGATGGTTGCTGCAAAAGGGTGGTGCACAAGCCCCCGATGGTTTTACCACACAACTATATGTGTCTGTGGTGCCGGAAATTGATTATATGGCTTCACGGCTGTAAAAACAAAACACGACAGGGCCCCGGTCTAGACTGAATTGTCCAGAGCAAACAAACTCACGTCCCGTCTTGTTTTTGCTCCCCCTTCTTCCAGACTAGACACATTAGGCCGGGGTGGCATTAGCATGAATGCACACAAAGTCATGTCTAGTGTCCTCGGCTGACGGGACCCTTTAGCTATGCAATGTTAACCTTACTGAGCCCTTGCCACGGCCCTATCTGCGACTCATCCTCTACCCTCGAGCACTCCTGCACACAGACGCGGAGCACTGTTCAAGTACGCGTATGACGTTTCGGTTTTCTGCAGCCAAGATGAATGTTCCAGTTCTCGTGTTCTCTTTATTGACTGCTGGTCTTGATTGACTTTCTACCCCATAGCCAAGTTCGTCCTTTCTATCCTGCGTGCCGTCCGCCAACGATCCTGACGGTTGTCTCAGAGACATCTTGCTGGCCACACCTTCACCAGAGCCAATTGCGGCCATTCCACCACGAAGCCAGTGCGCCGTCAAACTGCGCAATGTTGCTCGACATTGTCATCGTCGGTCGTATGTCGTTCGGCCCTCACAAACAATCTGAAATGCAACAGTTCGGTCATGTCTTTCCCGATGCCCTAGAATGTTTGTTCGCCAGGTTTCATACCGCAGGTTATGGTTGTCTCCATCGTTTGATGATCCGCGGATCTGGCATGGTACATAGCACAAACATAAGCGGGCTTGACATTGTGCACCACTATTGTTTTGCAGTGTGATTGCTCGGCTAGAGTATGAGCCGGCCTACGGAGTATCCCTCGTAATCTGGTCAGGTTTGCATGTATCCCTCATCAAGCTGGTGCCCGTACTTGTTGATACAAGTCTTTTGCGGCCAGCATAAGCAGGGGACGATATCCCAATTGATCGGCGACACCGTAGGCACAGTTGTCTTCTCGCAAGCCTACCGTCTATAGAGCTTGACGTGATGACGAAGAGATGAATGTAAAACCATTGGCCGCGCGACTTGGTGGTGCTGATGGGATTCGGGCTGTGCACTGAGCATGTTTAGAAAGTTGTGCATTTTCGTGTCGATATTTGAGACGCGCCAACCAGACAGGACCACGCTGCGATCCCGTTGCTTGTCCCCTAACGTACGGCGGATGCATCTGTGAAGGAAAAAGCTAAGCGAATAGTAGGTCGCGAGGCCGTAGGGATGTCGGGGCACGTACTCAAGGGTCACCCGTGCAGAGGTCGGATGCATGTCAGTTGATCGACGTGGCTACCCCTAGGTGTTTGACGCAGTGGTGTAGAGTAGGGAAGACTGGGGGGAGGGGGGCAACAAGAAGCAGACAGCCGAGGAGCTTTTAAACAACCGCGGGCATGCCTCCACATGGGCCCACGGGGATATTGCTTGGTTTAGAGGCACTGTCTTGTGCGTGAATGGGAAGCGAATTATTCTGTGTGTGGAGGATTGTCTCACTGTGTGGAAGCCGGTTGCCAGTGGACCGACCATCTCAATTCTACACCCATCACAAGCCGTCAAGATGATTTGGCGCGTCCTGGGCAACCACTACGATGGATGACATGCCAAGCGATGGAGGGAGGGTACAACCGTCGAAAGTTTGAGAGGGGATAGCCGAACTCGCGCAAATGCCGAGAGAAGAGAACCGCTCCTCACCATCGATCTTCCTGTTCTGGCGTTCATCCTCAGAATATCAGGTGAAGCAGGTTCGGCGGGCGTTGACCGAAAGCAGGATGGCATATGTCGAGGCAAATGTGAATCCGCATTCCACTCAAAGCGCATTGGGGATGGACACGCAGTGAATGGGGCCCGCCGCGACCGACTCGGCGGTGCTTCAAGGAGCGGGTTAATTGCGTGGTGTTTCCTGTTTGATAGGTGCCGCCTCGCGGAAAGAGTGTGGGCAATTGTATCATACGACCGAAATGGGAGCGAGTTGCAAATAGGTGTGTAGGAGGAAGCAGCAGCAGGCCTTCTCCGGATCTACAAGCAAGGGAGCGGATGGGTGACGGAGCACTGCAGGTATCCGTACGGCCCGCCCTTGTTTGAGAGAAAGAGGCGAGAAAGCGCAGACTGGGTGAGGTGATGCTATTTCCAGAGAGTGTGACGCTTGTCGAGGTGGATCTGGGAGCGAAGGGGCCAGCACTGCAACCGCGGCCAAGATGCGCTTTCCGGGGTGCTGTCCGGACATGGCCGGAGAAATATACTATGGTGTAAGCGTTGGATGACGGCAGACACCAACGAAGTCGAAGTTTAAGTGGATGGTGTTGGAGGAGGAGGAGGAGGAGGACGACGACGACGACGAGGGGAGGGGAGGGGCGGAAGAATGCAAACTCGCGGCATGTCTTCAAGTGTGTCCTCCTTCTTCTTAAAATTTGCAGTGAAGCCAATACCGTATCCCATGGATATCACCCATGTTTAAACGGTTTCTTTTCATGTCGAAAATGAAGGTGAAGGGCATGTCGTCGTTTCCTCACGGTGACATTAGTGCCTACTGCCTACTGCCTACTGCGTGCATAGGTACCTACCTAGAGGGCCAGTGTGGGGCGTTGTGCTACTGCAGGGGGTTCGACTCCAAGATGGTTAGACTGTCACAGATGGCGAAGACTCTCAGTCCCAATCAGCCAGTTAGTAGCGCGGAGTAATGGCGGGGGGGGGTCCCCAGTCTGGAACGCGACTTCCTGCTTTGGGGGCGGGTACAGATGCTTCAGGTGTGTTACAGACCAGGGGTAGCCGCCGTCTTTGGGCGCTTTTGCTGGGCAAGAGGCTCAACTGACTGCCTTGCATCTGCCAGTCAACGGCCAGACCACACCCCCCCTTGTTCTGGGGGACCCCCCCTCTCCGTCTAGACCTCTTCCATGCTTTCTTGATGCGCTCTCGCGGCTTGTCGCTCGTCTTCTCTTCCCAAAGCAACCTCCTCAGACACGGCCGGCCTGGGACCCAGCCAATCCGCGCTGCACCAGAGATCCATCAAACATTGCTCAATCCTTCCTGGTTGCGACAGACACCATCAATGCCCGTGCCTTTCTGTCGCTGGTGCTGGCTGGTGCTGGCTGATGCTGCATCTGCATCTGCATCTGCATCTGCAACTGCATCCGCATCCGCATGCTACGAGTCGACGACTTGGTAGTCAGTCAGTCAGTCACTTGCCTTGTCGAGGCACGATGCCTTTGGTCCGTACTACGGGCCTGACGGCGCGGCACTACGGCATTCAGTCGAGACACCTTGCGCAAAACACTTGCAGAAGCACCAGAATACCTCACCAAGTATCCATAATGGCCTTGCAGATGCTGCTACTGCGCTGCACCACGCTGCCCCGGTCCCAATAACTTGCATGCCGTCCTCGGCGCTGCCTCTGTTCTTGTCTGCCTGTCTGTGACCGGGTCTGGGGTCTGTCACCTCGGTCGTCCTCGATTAAAGTAAGGAGAGGTACGCGAAGTAACGTTGTCGCTCGGCGCCTACCGTCCAATGCTCATCCTTCCCCTCTGCCTCTCTCTCTTTCTCCCTCTCTCCCTCTCCCTCTCTCTCTCTCTCTCTCTCTCTCTCTCTGTGTGTGTGTGTGTGTGTGTGTCCCCCTCTCTCCGTCCATAGTACAGACTGCACTCATCCATCCTCACCCCCGATCATGGATGTGGCCCATGCTGTTCCATGTAACACGCAAGTGCCTGCCTGCATGTAGCATAGAGGTGTCTGTTTGTGGGAGGCCCAGAAAGAAGTGTGTGTGGTCCCCGTCCCTGTCCCGCACGATCGGAGAGACATCCCGCGAGCCTCAGTCAAGACTCAGACCCTACCTTACCGATGCAGTCCACTCCAAACCAAACCACACCACGCCCTTTTTTCCCTTACCGTACCATACCCTGCCTCCCCATGCCTTACCCTGCCTGACCCTTCTTCGTTCCTCTTACACTTCCTTCACCCCAATCTTTTTACCTTTTCCTCCTCATCCCGCCACTTTCGATCTACCTGCCCTTCGATTCTTCTCACGATACCGCCGCTGGCGTCGACTTGCTATTCCACAGTTGCCCGGCCTGACCCGCTGGCTATTCCACTTCGCCCTCTGTATACTATCCGCTTCTCATCATCGACGACAAAGTCTCGCCCTTTGAATGTCCGCTTCTTGCTCATAAACTTCCGCCAGACAGCAACTCCGCCGACTCGTCTCCATCGGCTCGTGGCCGCGTTTTCTTCTCACCCAGGTTCCTCATGAGCTTTTACCGATCGACCTAGATGGCCGGCTAGGCTTCTGCTAGTTCTTGTCTTTTCATTGTTTCGTTCCCTCGCTGGGGGCTACTGTTCGATTCTCAACCCCACGGTTCTCTGCGACTGGAATCGCAACGCGCTACGACAATGTCGAGTCCAAACCGATCAAACCTCCCGGAGGGGGCCTTCATCACGACGTTCAATGGAAAGAGGTGTACGGCTGTGCCGAAAGGGGCGAAGACGAGATCGGGCAACCAAAATCGACAATCGACGAGTACGTCGCACTCGACATCGACAACTTCATCGACGACACGGTCGACCCCTCCACCGCCTCCGCCGCAAACAAGCGCACCCTCCGTGGCTCCTCCTCCTCCGCCGCCACCGCCACCGCCCGTGGTAACAACATCACCACCGCCGCCGCCGCTAGTATTGACTACCAGTTCAGCGAGTACGACGAGCTCCTCATTACCACCCCCTCCTGCACCACCCCCTCCACCGCCAGTGACGACTTCCTCTTCTCCACCACCACCACCAATACAGCAGACACAAGCGCCGCCTGCTCCCGTGGTCTCTAACCCTCCGTTGCCCATCATCATACCCTCCTCTTCTTCTACGCCGCCACTTGTTGATGCGGAACCACCGGCAACCATTCCTACGTTCCAGCAGATTCCTAGCATACCCCCCCAAAGTGTGCCTCTTCCTGCTCAACTGCCTCCTGTTTCCTCATCCTCCTCCGTTCCTCCCATCATACCTCCAATCGCTCCAGGAACCAGCCAGACTGATGCCAACGCAGTCCCCACGCAACCAGCTCAGACGCCGCCAGCGCTGAGCGACGTCAGCCCTCCACCCGCAAGCTCAAGCGCCCCTGCGCCGGCTGCCCCTACGGTTCTCAACCCTGGCACTGCCGCGGGCGAGGCTGGGGCCGGGGCCGGGAACGGCAACAACGCTCCCGCGAGTAGTCAGCCTTCTTCGCAGGGCAGCAACAGATCCGGTGGCGTGGCTACACCTGTGGTGATTGCCTCGAGCGTAGTGGGTGCTGCGGCTGTCATAGGCCTGCTTGGCTTCCTTCTATGGTTCTGGAGGAAACGATGGCTCAGGAAGCGTCGGAGCACGCTTCTCACGCCTTTGTCGACGGATCCCAGCTTCAGGACTGGCGAAAAGTTTGTTATCGACCGTGGATCCCTGGGACCGACGCCGCGTACAGCCAAACTTAAAGCTGCCCTTGGCTACAATTTCAATCGGTTCCGTGGTCAAGTGGGAGGCCTGGTGTCACGCAATCGTGATAGTAGCTCTACCGGCGGCCGCTCACAGTTCATGAACATCTCTCAACACAGCCGGAACAGCTCGTCCATGTCGAATCATGGAGGTCCCCGCGACGTTGTCACAACTAAGGATCGGATGAAGGACTGGTGGGAACGATTAAGAGCGGACATGAAGTTCAACTGGCGCCTCCGGGGCGACAAGAATGCTGAGAAGCATCCGTTCGCCGCGTCCCGCGACATGAAGGAGCGTAAGGCTGCCACGGGCGGACAGCCTGACTTCTTAACATTGTTGGGGATGGATGAGAGAGAAGTCGAACGAGAGGCCCAGCGCAGGCGGCTCAGCCGAGGCAAGGGTAGCGCTGGGTCGGGCGATCACTTCCTTGGTGGTTTGGGGCTTAACTTCGACAATGCCTCGGCCAACCCCTTTTCCGATATCAACGCGCTACCACACGACTCTGCGAAGCCCGCGCCCCTAGCCGTGGCGAATTTGTCTTCGAATAACCCCTTTTCGGATTCCAATGCCATCTCGGCACCAGCAGCGGCTGTCAAGCCACCAACGACTTATGTAGCAGACGTCCGACGATCCAGGGGTACGTCGGTTGGCGGCAACACGACGCGGCCACCAAGTGGTTCCACGTTCTCTCCCCGGCTGGACTCGATGTACCGAGATTCAATGCAGAGCGTCGAGAGCTTTTCAACAAGACGCAACAAGTTCCGTTCTGACCCTTTCGACTTGGAGCGGCCTGAGTTGCTTGGCAACCGCTCAACGCCAGCTAGCAGTAACTACAGCCAGGCTGGCGGTGGGCCTCCGCGTGTACCTGGGTCAGCGCACACTCGATCCGACAGCTTCAGCTCCAAGTACAGCAGCGGGGTGAGCATGGACGGGTGGAGCGATCCGGGTCCAGACGTCGGACCTTCGGGCGAGCCCGCGGCATATCGGTACGAAGCCGAGAGCCCCGTGGCTGGTTACCGGCCGGGAGAGCAGCGCAAACCGGGACGCAGGCCGAGCCAGACCAGCCAAGGAAGTCAACAAAGCGTGGGCAAGGCTCTGTAGAAGCTTCCACAAAACATTTCACTGAGATATATGTCATATACCATCATGAAACACAATTCATGTACAAAGAATGAAGGAGCTGGTTGAAGGGAGAAAACGGTTTTTGTTATGCGATACGCAATGGTGGAACGGGGCGACGACTCAGGTGCAATGAGGTCATCTTGGTCGATCGCTGCGTTCCTGATGAAAGGATGGATGTGAAGATACCGAAAAAGGATGGATCCAGGTTCGGGTCCGGCATGGTGTTTTGGTGTTACGATGAGGCGGACACATACGTTCAGTTATGCTGTGCCTGTTGCTCTCTTCTCCTTGTTACGATCACTCAGTCTTGATGAGAGAAGCTGCCTCTCGCCTGCCCCTGGAAACCCCTCATAGGCGGCGCAGATTGAGGCAGCGAACCTGTTAAAGGTAATAGTTATGTCACAGCAATTTCACAAAAGGGTGAAACCAAGTCGACACTAATTAGTTACTAATTGTTCTTGATGCGCTGTGATATGCGTTGTGCGTGAATGAGCCGGGTTACAACATAATGGGCCGCTGCAAAGGCTGTGACTTGTACGTAACCGGAGACGAGACCGGGCTCCCGGACGCCCGGCCGGGGGTGGCCGGGGACATTTGGAACGAGGATGGAGTTGAGTTGATAATAGATAAGCAATTATGGTCTCATGACTGACAGCTAGCGGCCAGTGCTGGGTTGACCGAGCTCTGGCATACGCTTATCCCAAGCAGGCAAGTCTCTGTCAAGTACCTAGGTAGGCGATAGGTCACCGGGCAAGATACCTGAACGAAGTACCCCTGAGGCGCTTGGCTGGCACGTTGGTTACCCCTCATAGCTGTACGGGGGTCGTAGTAGGTAAACAGGATGCATGCAGTATTAGCCACCAACGACGTCAGGTCCCCCCCCCCCCCCCCCTTACTGGCCACTGGTCCCGCATCATCCCACTGCACACGCTCCAATCCAACCTAGGTAGACGACAGCAGTCATACAGCTGCCATGGTTGAAACATCAAAAGGAACGATACCATCTACAACGACGGCAGTGCGATAGTAGCTATCCCTTGCCGTATCCCAAACGAGCAAGGTGATCGCGGGCCAAGGCATAGAGGCCCTTCGAACCCACGTCCCCCGCTGGCGCGTCTACGTCCTCGTTGAAGGACCACCCGACTGCTACAGAGCAACTCGCAACAAGACGGCGAGCGGGACCCGATCCGAACTCACCGCCGTTGGCCAAAAAGCCATAGTCGCGCCGCCGACAAACCCGTTTACCTTAATCTTCTCTGGCCTGGCCTGGCCTGGCTTTTTATCATACATGTCGTTAGGCAGCCTGCCAGCCAACCCTTCTTGCTTTCTTGTCTTGCTTACCCCATTCTACTAACTACTGTCGTTTTCGTCTGGTCGTTGGACCTACCACCAAGTTACCTGACGTAGGCAGTTTTTCCGTACATCTCGCGCGTCCGTCAATGAATGTCCTCCACCAAATCTCCGCTACCGACGCCATCTCAATCAAACCGAACCTTCTCCATCTCTCCCGCCCATAAACCCGCACCTCCCACAGACCCTCGCCAACGCTCAACGCACACGATGGCTTACCAAAGCCCCCCGGAAACACCCTCCTCATCCGGAGCACACACACCTACACACTCGTCCGCCAACCCCTCCTTGTCCAATTCCATGATATCGACAATGTGGTCCGGTCTCGTTCGTCGGTTTTCCTCTGATATCCCCGAATCGTACGGTCCCCACAGCCATCACCATGAGTCCTCCCACCTAGCTCACGCGTACACCGAGCCCACGGCCCACGGCGCCTTCAAGGACGGCATCAACGGGGTGTTTGTGCCCGCCAACATCAAACGTACCGCGAGCCCCTTCCGCCCTCCACCGCTGGATCCCATCGTCCTTTACGGCTTCAAGGAAAGCACGCCACTCAGCGCGCGATTGCTTAGTACTGGCGTCGCCGAGGAAATCCGCATAATGCTGCCAGAACGACTACGAATCATGGAGGACTGGAAGCTGGTATACAGCCTGGAGCAAGACGGGGCTAGTCTGACAACCTTGTACCAAAAGGCAGCTTTGTATCAAGGGCTGCGTGTTGGCTTCGTCTTGGTTGTTAGAGACGATGCTGGTGGCGTGAGTTGATTGCTCCAACGCGGGCCGTGAACCTGCAAACGATTTCACCTGCTAACAGCTTACCAGACCTTCGGCGCCTACCTCTCCGAATACCCTCACCCCGCACCCAAATACTTTGGAAATGGGGAATGTTTCCTGTGGCGCGCCTCCACCCTCACACCCTTGCCACCACCGCCCTCTGCCGAAACAACCAACCTCACGCGTTCAATAACTGTGGCTAGCCCAACCCGCTCAGCATTCAACGATGACGACCGCGCCCAACCGTCCCCGGCACCCAGCGAGTCGATTCGCTTCAAAGCCTTCCCCTACTCGGGCGTGAACGACTACTACATCAATTGCGAGACAGGCTTCCTGAGCGTTGGCGCTGGCGACGGGCACTACGGCCTGTGGCTTGATGACAGCCTTGACCGCGGCCACAGCGGCCGTAGCCACACGTTTGGTAACGAGCCGCTCAGCGACGAGGGCGAGAAGTTTGGTGTCTTGGGTGTCGAGCTTTGGGTGTTGGGGGCTTGAGGGGGTTCGACAAAACAACAACAGGGGAAATAAAGGAAAGGGGGGAGGAGAAAGAAAGAAAGAAAGAAACAACAAGGGCGGGGGACCTCGTCCATCCACGAGAATGAGAGAAACGACCAGGCGCGGCGGAAACAGCACGCCGAGAAAAGAGAACCCGCGAAAGACTGATTACGGAGCATCTTGCGGCTTTAGGTAGACACGGCGAAACGGAGCGTATGGTGTTGTTCTTATGCGTAGTAGCTGGAGAGCAAGGTCCTACTGAGGCAAAGCAGAGCGCCGCAAGCATGACACGTCTGCTGCGAACCCCCCTCAGTTGGATACTGGCCTGAATGTAGGAAGGGGGTGCGAGTTGAAGAGTGTGAAGAAGTGGGAGGCGCGAACAGGCTGTGCTTTTTGCCCGCGCATGGGGAAGCAGACGATACCTCGGCCCTCAAGAGATTGGGCTACCTAGAAGGAACATACAAAGAACGTGGGCAATGGGTACCGCCGGTGGACAGAGATTCTTAGCCTTATCGGTCACTACGAAGTTTATATATATAAACAATGATACCCTCGAATTACATCAACTGCATGCATTGGTGTGCCGTTCTTTGCGAATCGCCTTATACAAGTACCCGCCATCTTGAGCAAAGCAATCCTTTTCCAACTGCCTGCAGGCATCAGGTAGTGCCAGTGCCATTGGTTGTTCCACTAGCCTGCGGATATCGAATGTATACGACGTCGCCGTTGTTCTTCGCACACGAGAAGTGGAGGTGGACCCTGAAGTGGCGAAAAGAAGAAAAAAAGGGAAAGAATTAGACGAGAGATATTTGCTTATCCATCAATGAACGATCTAGCTTGCTCCAGCCGGATCTGCCTCGCCTCGCATATGTCCCTCTGTATTTCCTAACCTCGAAGACCCTTGCGGCCTAATTGTCCTCATCTCACTTTGCCTGTCTATAAAGTCATCTGTGCCCTTTTCGTTCGTCTTCTCGTGCCTTGCTCTGTATCCATCTCTCACAGCGCCCTGGCAACGCCACCAACAAGTCCCGACGACAGCCCTTTCGTCCATCTTATGCTCTTGTTCACCGCATAATCTCCTGGTAAATCAACTGCTTGAGCTGCTCCTTGCTTAGGTTGTCCTTGTGCTTGTCAAAATCAAAGAACTCCTCCGGAATGGGAGGCGCGGTAGGCTCATCGTCGGGATCATGGTACGGCTCAAGGTAGGGGTGCTTCAGAGCGTCCTCGACCGTGATGCGCTTAACAGGGTTGAATGCGAGGAGCTTTTCGAGAAGATCGAGAGCCAGGTCGGACGTCTTGGGGAACAAAGTCCGGAAGGGAACCTTTTTCTTGAAGGGAAGAGAGCGAATGTACTCTCTGGCGCGGCGGGACTTGATTCCGTAGTAATCCTCCATGGTTGGAGTTCCCAGTACATCCAGGATGAGTGTCAATTGGTGGTGGTCTGGTTTCCATTAGTATAATTGGCATGCGATCCTTAACAATTCGCAGATGGGGGAAGGAGGCTTACAGTCCTTGCCGGGGAACAGGGGCTTTCCGCTAAGCATTTCCGCCAAGATGCAGCCGACCGACCACACATCAATAGCTTTCGTGTACTCCTTGAACGTCAGCATAATCTCTGGCGCGCGGTACCATCGCGTCGCCACGTATTCCGTCATGAAGCCTGAGTTATCCTCCTGCGACGCCGCGGAACGTGCCAGACCAAAGTCACAGACTTTCAGGTCGCAGTTGGCGTTGAGGAGCAGGTTGGAGGGCTTCAAATCACGGTGCAAAACGTTGGCCGAGTGCATGGCCTTCAGGGCACGCAGAGTCTGGTAGATAAAGTATTGGCAATGGTCGTCGGATAGGTCCTGAGTTCGGATTACGCGGTGCATGTCCGTCTCCATGAGTTCCTGAATTGCGATGGTGTGTCAGTAAATTTCACAATGAAGCTTTTCAATTGCCTCGGAGTATCTTACTTGGATTAGATAGACCTCGTTGAAGGTCTCGTAGCTTCGGGGTTTCTGAATGTCGAGAATGGAGATGATGTTTTCATGGTTGAAGTATCTCAAGAGTTTCATCTCACGCAGGGTACGGAGACAGAACATGGAGTGGTCGAACGGCGTGATCTTCTTAATGGCCACCTTTTGGCCGGATGGTTTGTGTATCGCGGAGCTAAGGCAATCATGGTCAGTTCAGCAACTCTCTCGAGGATTTGGGTAGGGCCTTTGACGTACCAGACGACTCCGTAGGCACCCTCGCCGACGACATCCTGGATGTCATACTGTTCGCTCACGTTGAACGAAATCTTTCGGGATCCCGAAGCGTTGGGGGGATTCGCGCGCGACATGGTCGCTGGTATAGGACGATGTTATCGAGCTGGAAGGTGTTGTCGAGCAGGTAGTTATCGACGGATTGGTAGCACGAAGGCGGGTCCTGGCGAGGGAGATACTACTTCGGGCGGAGCACGAGAAAAAAAGGGGGAAAGGGCAGGATGAGAATTAAGCCGTCCTAATAAGGTGTGCGCGAAGAACCACAATTGCCTTGGTCGGTGGTTCGGTAACGAGCCAGGAGCTATTTGGTATCGTCGTCTGCGGGGGTATAATTATTGGCGGGAACGCTGTTTGTGACTTGTCGGAAGAACGGGTGGGATCGACGGGTGTCAAAAACGATGGCGTCGGAGACACAAAGTTTCGCAAGCCGGGCGACTTTGGTTTCTTGGTGGAGGAAAGAAAACCCAGGTCGGTTCAGTCAATGAACAGACGCGAGCAAGTCGGCTTGGATATTTTTCGAGAGAGGGGGGAGGTGACAAAGGGAGACGCAGCTCAGCGGACGGGAGGGTGGAAGGAGACGAATGTCGTCGGAGGTTCGAAAGTGGGCGAGGGCCGTGTTTCTTGGGTCCGCTCGGGCCTTGGGGTGCTGGTCCACAGGCCGGGTAGGCAACGTCTCGGGTTATGGTTGTCAAGCACGCAGCGGAAGAAGTTTTCTGCCCTGGTCGGTGCGGCTTGCTGAGTAGACGGCAAGCGAGACGAAGAGAGAAGAGGAACAATTGTCGATGGCTCGATAAAGGGGATTGAGGGTGGTGATTATTCAGATTCCGGTGTCAAAGAGGAGAATATCCCGCGGCAGTGGACTGTGTGCGAAGATATGGTATTAGCTGGAAGGAGCTCCGACGGGTTAAGCGACAGAAGGGGCAGGTATCCCGATATGCGCAAGGTTGAGTGAGAAGTGAGGGTCCAAAGCAGCTGGGTAGGATGGGATAGGGTCAAGTTAGGCAAGGTAAGGTACGGTTTGGCAAGCAAGCCACAGCCAGGCTAGGCGCTCCGTCGCTGTCCCCCAAGCCAAAACTGAGTTGCGGAGCCAAAAAGCACACACTAGGCGATGGCATCCGTCTTCTTCGCTTCTTCTCGAAAACTGTCGCACCAAGAAGGTTTGTAGTGGCAGACAGGACGCAGGAGGGACAGGCTTCCAGAAGATGGCAGGAGCAAAGCGCAAGCCAAACAGCGAAGACAAGGAGAAGGATACCTTACTGAGTGGTGACTGTGGCCGTGAACGGTGCAGCAATAACACGAGCACGAGCGACAGCGACGGCAACAGCAGGTGAGGGGAGCGAAAGCGGGTCGTGAGACAACGAAACGACGAGGCCAGGTAAGGGGAACGGGAACGGGCGATGAACCGAGCACCCCCTGCGACAGGACTTCAGACGAGGGATGTAAGGTGCGCAAAAGGACGAGAAGCACGCGGGGCCAAGAGACTGGCTACTGAGCACGAGGGCGGACGACTCCAGGACCAGGGCGCAAGGACGAAGGAGGTCTGGTCCAACAGGCAACCGCTTGGATGCGTCTTTGAAAAGCTCTCCAGGCCGACCTGGGACGGCGACGTGCCTGTGTGGTCGTCACGGCGCCACGAGGGGTTTATAGAGCGAAAGCGAAGAGGCGTAAGGCAGAGGAGAGGCGCCGTGGGAATGGAGAAGCGGGATGAAGAAAAGGAAGGAGTTTGATGGGCGGAAAGTTTTGGATGCAGTTGGGGTTGAGGCTTCGGGATGGGAACGCAAACTCCTCAGGGAATGAGAGAGAGAAGAAGAGCTCGAGTACGTACCGAAAGCCTTTTGACACGGGGAATAAGGTAGGGTGATCAAGTAGGTTCGGTAGGCAGCTCAAGGCCAGCAAGTCTGAAGTTGAGGTGGCTGAAGTCTTTGGGTGAACATTTCAGTCAGTCTAGGTATGAGGTAAGGTATGTAATGAAGTGCATCCAGGTCGACAATTTCGGGAGGAAACAGGTGAATTGAAAGCAGATGCATGTGCATGTGCAGGTGCAGAGACGGGCCCAGACGCAGACCCGGGCCCAGCAGGTAGACAGAGAGACAGACAGTCTCATCAGTCAGACGGCTGAGGCTGGTAACAAGGAGAATCGTCACGCCAAGCGCAAGTCCACGATGAGTAACTTACCCCGCCAAAAGCTGAGATTTCTTGTTCTCTAATGTATCTCTCCTTTCCCTCTTTCTCTCTCTCTCTCTCGCTCTCGCTCGCTCTCTACTTATGCCGTAGACAACAAAGGTGTTGGAAGAACAGCTTACTTGCTGGCAGGTGGGCAGTGTGTGGTTTTGCTCGGCCTGATGTTGCTCGTCTGGTCTTCTGCTGGTGTGTTGCAGCAGGTGCAGAGGTGAGGTAATAAGTGGAAGAGGAGAGGGAGGAGAAGAGGACGGGCTGATGTCGTAGACAGGAATCTGGCGAGACCTAGGACTAGGTCTGGGTCTGGGATTGGGACCGGGACTGGGACTGGACTGGGACTGAGAAGACGTGAGCGGAGGAGGGCAGGAGGGGGTGAGGTGAGGGAGGGAGGGGGAGGGGAGGTGGAGGGGCCAGATACTTTGACCACATGTACACGTGGTTGCGGGTGCTGTGCCATCCACCCCGAGCACCGCTACTTACGAGTCGTGTACCTTAGCGGTAAGGTCGCAGCAGGGGAAAGCTACGGTGCCGCAACCGCCTCCTCTCAGTCTGGGCCCGTAGACAGGCACCACACTACTACCTACTACGCAGTACGAGGTAGGCACCGTAGCAGTACATAGGCCATGGATATTCGTACCTACCTAGGCGACACCTCCATCTGCCTGAGCTCAAGAGTGCAGTCAAGGTCCAGGAACCTTTGTTTGGAAACGTACTTGCTTCAACCCCAAGCAGGGTCACTGCACTTTCAAGGGCCATTCACACTTCCCGTCACCAGCACAACCTACATACCTACCTTGACCTTTGCACATCTTCGAACTCACCCCAGGTGCGTGCTGCAAGGCGAGCGATCCGGTTGGTATGTCACAAACACTTATCCGCTCATTAGGTCTATCACAAACACCGCCTACATAGCTACGTTCTGCAAGGTACGATGATGAACTGCATCTCTCAAAGTGCCCGTGTCCAGCCATTTTCAGATGCACACCCCATGCCGGGCAGCCCCAGGGGCGGACGAATCCAGTTGCACTGTGTGCAGCCTACCAAGTAACAAGTCCGAATGGGCATGGCATCATGGCGACTTTCAGGGACCTGCAAATACGAGAATGTGATACCTGGTCCGGCGTTTGAGGCCACGAACGCCTCCTTTCACAGCCTCGCAGTAAAACAATCTGGGGACGGAAACACATCTCATCCAATCCCATCTAGCACACAAGAATTGACATATTGCGGTACAAATCAATCTGTCCACTTGATTGAGCCTTGTTTTCTCCCAGGAAATGCTCCTTAATACCAAGATTATGGGAGTCATTTGTACTTATCGTCTCGACTTCGCCAGTCTCACCCGCCCGGTCCAAGTGGCCTGTCAAATGTGCCCGAGCCAATACCTGTATTTGGCCATCGCTGCTACCTGTACCCGCGACCCCTCTCCCCCGCCGATGCGTTGAGTCCAGACCGACGATGGAAACCTCAGATAGATGGGCTACGCTGTCATTAGGCACCTCCCGACTTGCTCTCGAACTCGGATGCCTTATCCATATTGTAGCGTGTTGAGAGCTCCCAGCAAGTCACATCATGGGACGGTCCACAGTGGACTACATTCGACATCAGCTACGACATGTTCCGCTCCATGTATTTCCTATTTCAAGGTCCGTACATGATCCTCTACAGACTATGCTGTGCTCACATAGGCTGTTGGGTAGAATAGTTATGTTCTTTGACCACTACCACTTCTGCGATACCGTGAATACGTTTGTTGCATATCCCCACTGCTGTCCACTCTAGAGTTGCAGGGTCACCCTCCCCCCCCCCCTCCTTTCCCTAATATAGCAACTTTCGTCACTTTGGAGTAGCTGCAGGACGGTTATCTCTGCAGTACTGGGCCCGAGAATGTGGCCGGCACGAGCTGATGACGGCCAGGCCATGTGATGAAATACCATGCCTAGAAAGCCAAAGGATACCATCCGAGCCCATATCGCAGACAGCATTGGCCAGCACGCTGCAGACCCAACACACAAGGGCGCAGACGGCGCCTAGCACTGCCTGCTATTGGCCAGTGAGGCGTCTCCTCCCACTCCGGCGCGTGTGTTTCAGCTCTCACTGGTGCCAGTTTCACCACCCGCAACCCACAATCCACAACATCCAAACCATGGATCCATCCATATTGACCACTTCAAACCAAGTCAATACGACACGGGGTTCATTTCGAACTGCATAGTGTGTACAATGCCTGCGGCGACATCACACATGGAAACTGCCATGCTTGTGCGGACTGCAACCATTCACTAGTTCAACAAGCTTGCTTGTTATGCGGGGCACGCAAATCACAAGCGTATCAGTCTTCCGAGACGACTTCGTCAATCTGAGGTAAACCAACTGAGCTCGCAGACCAACTTTCCTTCTCTATATCCACACTTTCTCCTTCGCCGTGTCACATGCGAAGCTAGAAGAAACGAATACACAAGCTTTAAGCGCGATGCATCGCTTGCTCAGGGGGATCTCATTAAGAGTGCTGACAACGTTTGCGAACAAATTTAATCGTATTGATATTCTCTCAAGGGATAGTAGAGAGATTGCTCTAAAATGACAACCTGACACCATCGCGTACCACCCCCCCCCCGTGCACCATTTCTAGTGCTTTTTCGTTTTTTTCGTCAAGTGACGACCTATTCAAATCATTAGCTTTTTAGACTTTGTATCGGGAGCTGCCGATGCTGCTTACCTTTTCTCTAAGAATTCCGAGCCATTGCGCCGCACTCATGCCCTGGTCTGCTCTATCCTCCACCAACAGTGTCTGCGCCCAGAGCTTGAGGCTAGGTTCGCCATCTTCGCGCACAACATAAAGATGAGGAAGGATGATGCTGCCGACCCCCTTCGACTTATGGTCCCGGCTCTTGTGAACGACGGCCCGCACCCGCTCGTTGAAGTCGTTCTCAAGCTCTGGTACCGCTCCCTTACCCACCCGCAGCTGAGTCCTATCCTCGACGCCAAATACATCCGCCAAAAGCTGTGGCACAGCATCCCTGCCTGCCCACAAGAATTGTGTCTGACCATCATCGATAAGGTATAGGCCGTACGGGACGAAACGCTCCGAAGACAGGTTCAGTGGTGGTGGGAGGACAATCTGGCTGGTCTCCTGGTCGGGCACGCCCGCATTGTCCGGCATGTCGTGAAGGGAATAGAGTCTTGGATAGATGTACTGCATGAGAAGAGGAACGGGGAGCGTCGAAAGCAAGCAAAGTGCGGCTGATCTCAAGTCTGACGGGATTTGTGCCGACTTTCGAAGGCCAACATTCTTCATGAGGCCCAGGAAGAGAACAGGAAGACCACGCAGATTGGATGGGAATTGCAAGCCGCCACCCATGCTGCCACCAGCTAGCTCCTTCCTGAATGTCTGTAGGAGCTCAATGAGCTTATTCTGCAGAGAATCGCGAGCCGCCTCCAGGCCTCCACTCAAGGCGCGCTCAACAGCTTTGTGGCTGAAGTACGTTGTGATCGCTTGCTGGTCCGCCGAAGCGTAAATGTCGGCAAGATTCGTCGTTGTTGGCAGAGCCAGCGTCATGACGCGAATGCGACGCTCTCCATTGCAAGTGGTGTGGAGAACAGCCGTTTGCAAACAGACGACGTTCTTAGTGAGATTCTCGTCGATGGCGACTTCAACAACGTAACATTGATCCCGTGGAAATGCAGGAAACGCGCAAAGATCTGAGCTCCTGTTGAAAAAGTTGCCGTAGAAGGCGTTCATGCGCAAACCCGTGGTGGCACGAACACGAAGGACTGCCTCAAGTCCGATCTCCGATGATAGATAATCGCTGAATTCGGACGCGAACTTGATTGCGTCTTCGGGACGACCTGCGTTCCAACCTGGGTAGAACCAAGTCTGGCCGCCAGTGTATCTCGGGAGGTTACTGAGGGAGGCGACATCCTGGTATTGCGACGAGAAGAGAAACATATCGATAGAGACCTGGTTCTTGGAACACTCCACGGCAAAGCTCTTGTAAAAGCTGTTCGACGTCTGTAACAAACTGCTTTCCTTGCTCGTACCGAGCAGCTTCTTGTCCTCGCGCATGTCCAGCTTGCCAACGCCCACATTGGGCAGCGACGCGCTAAGCACCACAATTTTGCCTCCAAGGGCCGAAATGAGTTTGTGGCCGGCTCTCAAGGCCGATCCCATTGCGGAACCGTTATTCTGATTGCTCTGGAACATCTCGGGTAACTTGGTGAGGAAGCTCTCGATGCTCTGACGGCTTTCAGTTAAGGGAACGAGCAGATCTTGAGGCACGGGAAGGAAAGGCTCGTCCAAGTCGCTGACGACCAGCATGCTGGTCTCGGCATTTTCTTCGCCGTCCTTTGGGACCGAGAAGTAATGCAGGCTAGAATCGACGGCAATGAATCCCAGACGGGTACGGCGATCAGCATTCGGTATCCGGTCGAGGCTGTCAAGAATCGTTCGGGCACTAGTCGCAAGGAGGCCAGTCGAAACGGCGGCGTAGCTCACATCGAAGAGGAACAGGTAGACGAGAGGCTGCGGGGGGCGGACCATATACTCCTGAGGAGCGACAAACTCGACGACCGAGTAGTTCAGCTCGTACCGGCCCCATCGGTCAGTGCTCCTTTGGGATGCAGCATCCCAGTCGAAGGCTTGGGGTACATCGTTGGTCAGGTTGCACATGTTGCAGCGCCACCTGTGACCGTGATCCAAGAAGGTGACGAAAGGATTGATGTATGTCCTGCAACGACGGCAGCGGGCGATGACCTGATCCTGCACAATCGGGACCGGATCCTCGTTGTCATGAAGCGCACCGTAAGGTTGAATGACAAGCGCAAACGGCAACCGTGACTTTTTGAGCAGAGAATGTGTGGTCGGGACAGCGTTGAGCGTGGAGCGCACGTATTTAGGAGAGCAGTTCGCATCGGGGGAAGGAGTTACACTGGTCTGCAAATAAAGGTTAGCATGAAGCCTCCACGGGAGAAGGAAGCGGTGACATACATTGGGAGGCAGGATGATAGGAGGTGGAGGCAAGTCCAGTTCCGAGACATTGAAGGGCTGGGCCATCAAGTCAGTGGGATAGAGCTGGTTCAAGGTCACTGGGCGAGCAGCTTGTCCAGGAGCTTGCTGCTGCGGCTGACCGCCGAGATTCATGCCGGCCATCTGCTGGTTCAAACCAGCAACTCCGCCGGGGGGAGGAGCACCACCTTGGCCAGGGTAGCCGGCATCGGGAGCCTGATGACCGCCGTAGCCTCCGGCCGGAGCGGCAGCAGGCTGGGGCACGCCGTATTGCTGGGTTTGGGGAGAGCCATATCCTGCCGCAGCAGGCTGACCGTCTTGCTGAGGATACCCTCCGTACGCCGGTGCCTGCGGCTGCGGCATGCCGTAGGCCTGCGCGGGTGCGCCAGCGGTGTTGGAGTTGGCGCCAGCTCCGAACTCATAGGCCTGTGTCGCATAGCCTCTCTTCTTCTTCTTCCCATGGTCGGCAGCGGCAGGTTGAGGAGCTTGGGCAGTCTGAGGGTCGTAGCCATCTTGCGGCTGGTCGGCGTACGGCTGTTGCTGCGGGGGATACTGGCCGTAGCCGTCGTTCGGCGCCGACATAGTGAGCGGAGGCAAATATCAAAGAATCCTGCGTTGGGGGGCGTTGTGTCTCCCCTTAATTCTAGGTGGAGCAAGTTTTGGATGGATGGGAAAACAGGTATTCTTGTGCAGAAGAATGCGATGTGCTGCGCGGGCGGTGGGTGATTTTGGGGAGTAATGCAGCAGGCGGCGTGGCGTAGCGAGGGGCTCGAAGAGGACAGCAGACAGCCGGGTCAAGGCAAATATGTGTCCACAGCACCGGCGCCCAAACGTCGCGTTTGTTGGGGTCGATTGCGATCGAGCTGGATGCGCTGGCTTGAAGTTGCAAAAACCAGGCAGGGCGAGGAGGGAGAGAGGGTGGGAGGTAGGTGACGAGGTTGTGGCAATCAGCCTTGAGGACAGTTGAACACTGTGAATGGACAGGTGGTTCAACCCACTGATTCGAGCTCCTTGTTAGAAAGGTGTCGACCTGTCGTGTCCATAACCTTAGCCAAGTAAGGTGCCCAGGACTCAACTGGCTGCGGTGCTGGGTCTTGGCCAATGGCAATGCGGGGCACTGCCGCACACGCCATGTGAGGCTGGTGAACCTGACCTAAGCCGCCAGGAAAGAGGCGGAATATTGTTAGACCGCCGTCCGCTCAGCATGGAAGGTAGGTGGGTCCCCGTGTGAGGTAAGGGTCAAGCTCTGTTCCGACAAAGGTGCGCCGTCTGGTCGGGACTTCTGGACTTGGCACCGATGCCCATAGCTCCCAATGCTAATGGCAGTCGCCCTACCTGACACTGAGTACCTGGCAGTTGTACACATTGGCAGCCAGGAAGGAAGAACCTTAGTTCAAAACCAAGCCTATGCTGATTTCCCCGCCAAAGAAGATCTTGGCTCATGGACACAACAAATAGCAAAGTCAATGAGGGCGATCTCAAAACGTATTCTACGAGGCAAGGCCGTTCCATGTTGAGCACGCATAGATGCCTTGTGACAAGTACCTACCCAATAGCCAAGACATGTGGGGACGACGCCGAGCAGCATACGGCACAGGCGAACCGTCAGGCGTCTTAGCAATTGCCCAAACTGCTGAATCCCGAGCCAGAACATGTCAGTCTGGCTCTTGTTGAAGCAGTGCAAAACTATCGCATGGAGGTTTCTATGGACTGCGCAGCAAGCATAATATATGTGTACTTCGTCCTGGAAGCGTGTCCCTCGGCCTCCGGCAAAGTGGCTGAGTGCCTTGGGTTCATTTCTAGGTATCCGTACGCTCGCTGAAGGGGGTATGGGTGCGGCAGAACGAACGCATCCCGCTGCCCGTCATTTGAGAGAGATGTTCAGTCCCTCATCCCAGCACCCGGCGGGGCCGTACAGATAGTTGCTTGGTATCCTTTTCAGAACGAACCGAAAGGGGCACTTGCGTGCACTAGAACAGAGGTTGGTGGCCCCTCCCGCATCCCACGAGCCTCTGCCAGCCTACGATGTACCTGCCCTCTCTACCTACTGCGTACACCTGGCCCCACCATCCAATGGTCCCTGGCACCCACTTCTTTCTCTATCCCCTGTGCCTACCTAGGACCGGGCTGTCTCGTTGATTGCGTGTCGCCATCCGCCGCTACTCAGCTCGTGAGTTTTCTGGTTTTTTTTTTTCCCTCTCTTAATGGAAGCTTGATGGAAGCAGCCACAGCAGATGTAAGTTTTTTTCTAAGGAGTCGAAACTATTACGGAATTGTGGGAGGGCGGCTTGGTTTTGTGATACATGCTTCCCGGCCAGGTATCGTACCGAGTTACATCCCACAAGAGGCAACCCGGGACACTACTAGACTTGTCTTCATCCACCTACCTGCCTGCCAATCTGCCAACCTGCCACCTACCTACCCAAGCTTAGGTCCGAGGTCTTGCATATTCGGTAGTAGGGCTGCCTCTGCTCCTGTCTCTATTGTAAGTCTCTACGTGAGGTAGCCTTGGTCAGAGAGGGTCAGAAGCGTCGCCTCGTCTCGTCCCGTCTCGACTTGGTGCTTCCGTTACTTTAGCTTCCCAACAAGGAGCCCAGCTTCCCTTTTCCTTCCCAAACTCCTGCTCGACCAACTTCTCTTTTCCAACTGTTTCTTTTCACACCGAACCGAATTGCAGCACATCCACCGCGTGCCATTCCTCGCTCGCCTCTAATCGACCGGCTCCATCCTTCTACATCTTCCTCTTCTTCACCGGCGTAACTCTCGCCGACCCCTTTCCTTAGTGCCTGTCCAGTTTTTCGACTTTCGATCTAAATCAGGTCCTGCTATCTCTCTTCTTTATTCCATTTCTGAGAACGACTGTCAACCGAGGCCTGGCAACGAGTTTGCGTGCAAAATTCTCGGATCATTCGCATCGACAGCGTCAACGTCAACGTCTACCACCGCAGTAACCGAGTCGCAGCTACAGCCGCAATCATGGCGTGGGGCAAGAAAGTGCAGCCCCAGCCCTCGACGATTAGGTGAGTGAAACCAATAAAGACGACAAAGGGCGCACGGGGAGAACGAGGGCAGGCGCAACGCGCTTACGCACGACTTCCGTGTCGCATTGCCATTCCCGACCTGGCGCACTCTGCGCAAATTGAAATCTCACGGGGCGCGACTGTTGAAAAGGCTCAACGTGCTGACACAAACCTTGCGCTCGCGCACCTACAGTCAAATCCTACCACTCATCATCACCTTCGCCTTTATTGGTGGTGTGGCTTGGGTGCTCTGGCAAGTTCACATTTCTGTGGGCAAGATCCAGGAATCAGCCTCGGAGAAGATGGGCAAGAAGAACGTCGTCTTCACTAAGGACGGTGTTCGCGTCGGCGTCAAGCACACTTCCAACGAGCGATACGTCGACCAGACCCAAAATTGGGTCGTCAAAGCCTGGAATCTCAGCGGCAATACTGTCGGGCAGATGAAGAAGACCAAGTAACCAGTGTGTGTGCCCTCCTGTGTTGTCGGCGATACCTCCGTTGGAAATCCAGCCGGAAGTCCAGCCGGATCAACACGTCTTGGCCGCCCGGCATGCTGGAAGAATGCGACAGAGCAGACAGCAGCAAGTCGAGACGGAGATGAGAATGTCAAGAACGAACATGTCAGCCGCATTTCTTGGCAGCGAAGGGGTGTCTGGTGGCGGATCTGTCGTCAGGTGTGGCGACGTCGAAAGATTCCCAGCAGGATGCGATCGTCGAGATACCATTAGGACATACAATGGTCCAGTAGGGATGCCTACCAACGTAGAGTCTTCTCTGGAGGGAGGCAGCGTCGAAAGCCCAACGGCAATCGCTTGAGCACCGAACGGCCGTCGCCGAAGTCGTGGGTTAGGACGGACGGAAGCGGGGTCGTCTTCCATGCAGAAAGTCTGTCTTGGCAGTACCGCCGGGTTCTGCTGGTGCTTACGCACTGATACTGTGCCAGCGTTTGCGTTTTCTACGACGTACATACTAGCAGAGGGCCAGCAATGCACTTGGTGTCACAACGATAATGCAGTCAACGAATTTTGAGAAAACGTTGCGTTGATAGGGCATTCATTCATTCATTCTCTACCAGGAGTGCGCCATACTGTGAAAACTGACTTTGCAGTAAGGATTGGATTGTTTGGTCAACGATATCACCTCCAAAGCCAACATGGTAAACAATCATAACGCCGTGGTATCAAATCCCCTCGAAACCTGCGCTGCTCAGACCCTCGCGGGCTGGCAGATGCCTCTCCCAACTTTTGCTCATACCGTCCGTCAACAAACCATTGCTCTAATTCCAGGTGATTGTTGGAAAGTCTCGTTTTAGAAAGGACGACAAGTGGGAATGCATGACCAAGATAGAAGACGACGACGAAGACGACGTGTGAGCCAGCTCGCAAAATTTCCAAAGGCCCGCCTCCGCAGAGTGTCCTTGTTCTGGGTTGGTGAATCATTGCGGTCCGGACCGCACCGTCAACCAGTTCTGCGCCACCCACTGTCCTGCCTGACCTGCGGTTCCAGTGGCTTTTGCAAGTAGCTCTGCCTTGTGCTTTTCCACAAACTCCTTCTGCATAGCCTCACGTTGCTGAAGAGGGTTCATGGAGTAGCCCGCGGTTGGAGGAGCATATCTCGCTGAAAGGAGCTTCTCAAAGTTGTGAGCTTGTGGGTAGGGCTGCGCCATCAACCCATCTCTTCTGATGAGCATTGACGGGATACGAACTTGCAACTACAGAAGGCTGTTAGTCTGACTCGGCGACCAGTTTGTAAATGTACGAATGAACTTGCCTGTGATAGAATATGAGCGTACTTAACACCCAGCTCGTCGCCGATGAACTTTAGGCGACCAACCACCCAAGCTCTTTGGGCGTCCGTCGTGTAGTCTTGGCCGTGTAGACATGCCAGCGGCCACGTGAGGAAGTAACCGGGAAGGCCTTTTTGGGATTCTTCCAAGCCACAAGCGAAGCCGGAGATGTTTGCTCGCTCTAGAAGCTCGGGACGCTTCAAGTGCCAGCCGAGGTGGTATGGTACCGAAGCGATAATGTCGCCGATGGTGTCGACACATGTGCGTGCCGCCGTCGCGTACTCCGGGGTTGTACGATAGTCGACGGGCGAGCAGACCCACGCGGCGCAACGGACGATGACCGACGCAAGAATCAGGCGGGATACTCGTGCCATGTTCCAAACACTGGCAATCCAGAAATCTTGGTACACATCTACCCTACCCGGGAACACCTCGGCCTTGGTATAGTCCCCATTGGGAACGTTGTCTTCCCACGCCACGGTTGTGTACTGAAAGTAGTCTGGCGTGTTTCTCATCCAATTCACAAACTCTTGATCAACTGTCTGCGCCCGCCGAATCATGTCAAGCATGATGTCAATATTTTCGGGGCTTCTGGCCACAGTCGACATCAGACGGGTGACCTCGGCACGCAATTCGGCAGTCTTGATATTTAACCGCTGGCACTGTGCGGCTGACTCGTCCTTGACCGCATCGCTGAGCCACCACTCTACGCCCATGATGGGTGCCGTGCCCGTACTCAGGGTGTGTATGATCATTTGGGTTCGTACCGCGATGAAGAGAAGTAGACCAGTCTTGGTTCGTAGTTGTTTGCGGCCGCGAGCTTTGACCAGTTGAATTGCTCCTTCGATGTGCGAGCCCCAAGCAAACATACCCATTTGACGGGCTGTCATATTCTCGAAGAGGCCAAGCATGAGAACGGAGGCCAACGTGGCGTCCGACTTGGACTGGTCGGGGTCCTGGAGGGCTATATGTGTCGCTGCGAGTGCCTTCGTGTAGTGGCCCAGGGCCTTGTCGCTGAGCCCAGTCCCGGCAGCGTTCGGCCGATTGCCTAGCGAGGCAAGAGCACACGCGTTGAAAGCATGCTGTAGATGGTGATTGCCCTGATCATGCTTGAGTAGAGGCAGCAGATATTCCATGAAGCCACGAGTGCTGCCCTGCCGGGGCAAAAGGACGTAGTTGGCGACGAAGTGACATGATGCCATTTGCTCCACGGGCACATTCAGGCCGGGGCTCACGGCGGTTGGGGAGTCGGCTTCCTTCTTGAATGTGGGAGAGATGACCTTCTCGGACCCTGACGATGGCGAGTCGACATCCTTTCCCTTCTGTGCCAGCGCCTTGCGGTTTGCCTTCTGGGCCCTCCTCTCTGTCGCCTTGGTCTCGTTACGAAAGACCAGATCAAATTCGTCTTTGTATCCAGGACATTGTCGGCGAGACTTGGCGCATTGGTTGCACGTAGGCTTCGTCTCGTCACACTTTGCGGCAGACACAGCTTAGTCAGTATAAACGACACCACGGCGGCTCACTTTCATGTTGCAATAACTCACCTTTATCCTTCGGGTTCTACACATCTGGCAGCCCCTCGAGGGCTTTCCGCAATAAACCATGGCGTTGAATATCAGAGTCGGTTTGTTCCGGCGTCGAAAAGAAGTCGAAGTCGAGGCACGGGTCGTGCGTCTTCAAAGTGACAGCAATGAAGTAAACGTACTCGGTTCGGACGCCTAGTAGAGTTCGTCGGGTTGGTAGAGCGGCGAGATTGTTGAAGTGTGAACCAGCGTGCAAATCACGGTGACGGTAGATCAGGGTGAAGATGGAAGATCGACAGGTAACTTCTAGACCGCGAGGGCGGCTACATGAAACTCGAGAGGTGGGCGACCTATTTCGGAACGTGGACAAAGTGAACGTCAATCTGAAAGAAAAAGAAAGCCGGCAACCATGCGAATGTTTGGGAGCAAGACTCGGGAACAGGTCGGGCCCGGGAGCGCGTGTTCGTGTTGAGATGATGGGGTGGTTAGCAGGAGGCGAGGAAGGCGGCGACGTATGTGTATCCACGGCAAATCGAAACCACAATGTCGGGCAGTGGACAGGACGAGTTGATGTTGGCCTGGTCGTTTTCAAGAACCAATGGGAGGTGAGAGGAACAGACGTTTTCTATGCGATGTTCCTGACGTGGATGAGGGAAGATTGGGCGGAGGATGGCAGGTGTGGACGAGACACAAGAATGCCAGAGAGGCGCATAGATGAGAGTCTTCCAAGCCACTCCGGTGGTGTTTGAGAACCGGCGGTGTTGCGAGTCTCACTGGGCCTGTTTCCCTGCTGGGTCTGGGGGTGACCGTGGTTTGGAGGATCCGGGGTGGTCCTGGTCCGGCCACAGCCCAAGATGGGATTGAGGTTGCAGGGTGTGCGTCGTCGAGTAGCGTTCGGTTAGAAAGAATGAACCAAACGAGGTCCTGGAGAACTGATTGATGCAGCAGAAACCCGCCTTGAGGGTGAGCAGGATGTGGTTATGGTAAGCAAAGGCAGCGTACGAAGATCGTGGGTAGTGATTGAGTGGCACAGGCTGTGTATGTAGGCAAGCTGATGAAGGTCGGCAGGAAAAGACAAATCGGCGAACCGCTCTGGGGCGGCCTGGAGAAGCGCAGCGTTGATTGGGTTCTATGTGTCGTTCGTGCGTTGTTCTTTCGGAAGGGGCGGTTTCTTCTTTTCTTTTTCGGCACCGAGTTTTGCAGGGCCGTATTGGAAGACGAGAAAGTAGCAATTCACCCCTGGAAGAAAACCATCAATACAGCCTTTTCTTCCAGACGCAGCGCAGCGCCAGTCGGCACATACAAGTACTTGTAGGGCGTCCCGATCCAACGTCTCTTCAAACACTCAAGTACAGTGGAGACGGAACTTTGGAGAGGGGCTTCAGCCCCTCTCCGCCCGTCGGATTAGACTTGCCCTGGCTAGTGCTAGTGCATGTGGCTAGCCTGTAGCAGGCGATGCGTTGCATTGGGAGGGGTAGAGGGAAATGATTGTGAATTGTGGTGGGGACTCGGGGAGGTGGGAAGAGACATGGAAGCACAGCACAGCACATCACATTACCAGCACGTTACAATTTACCAGCATCAGACCAGCGATCACGAGAAGGGGGGAGCAGACAGGGGATAGTGATGCGCAAGGGGGAGGGAAGACTCGGTACTTGCAAACTAAGAGTAACGTGCCTCCCTAGACACCTTACATGAGGTACCTTAGGTACCTTACCTCCTGCGTAGGTAGGTAAGGTATTAAAGCTACTAAGCAGTAGAACAGAGTAGGTGCCTCAGGTTCCTGAGGGAGGTGGGCACTGTGCTACTGCGTAGGTAGGTAGCATATTGGGGACGTGACAGGGGAGCCGCTTTGACAATGGGCTGCAGATCCGACACTCGTTGGTTGACAACAAAGGACAACGGGAGAGAGAAGACGAGTGCGAGTGCAACTCGCTGAAGGGGGGGAGAGGGACGAGTGGATGGGAGGAAGACCAGTAGTCGTCGCAGAAAGCGCGACAGCGAGGGGGAGCAGAACCTGGTTCACAAAGCTTGCGGCCAGGATATGCCCAGCACGACGAAGCACCAAGACGTCGGGGACTCGGGGAAGGGCCGCCTTGTGGTGAGGTCAGCTAAGTTTGGTTTGCTTTTCAACGCTTTGCTCCGAACGGCCCAACCTGAGTGCATCTAATCTACGTGTCTAAATACCTAGGTAGGCCCTCGGCTGGGCTTGAGTCTTGACAGCTCACGTCCGGTCCTGACCAGGGCTGATGGCGGCTGACGGGCGTTGTCTGCCCCAGCAGCCTGGCAAACAGCTTTGAACCAAGTCATGAACTCAAGCGCCGGAGAAAACCACAGTGGCCGTTTGCGTCGGGCTCGGTTTCTGTCAGTCTCCAGTGCTCTGGTTGGTGGCGCAAACACTTCTCGGCAGGCTACCCCGACGGCGCTGACTAGCGCGCCGAGGTCTCTGGACGGTTTCACCTGGGCTTGTTCTTCCTGTTCTGCATACCTAAGGTAGTTCGTATGTACGTACTTATAGTAGGTAAGTACACTACAGGTGACAGCTTCTTCCTCATCACTGAGGCCCCCGGCTGAACGGTTTGTTAGACGCATGCTACTGCTGATATCAACAACGGGTACTTCCGCGTCTCAAAGTGCGTGGCGTTATCTAAATACACAACGGGTATCCGCACTTGGTCGCACCGGCAGGGGTGGCCTCTGCCTCTGGCCTAATGGCAAAGAATACCGCCGCACACACTGTATCCGTACTAAAGACTACGACCGGAGTGAGGCCCAGAGATTTTGTGGGGGCGCTTGACCTGCGATGCTGTGCTGCTCCAAGAGGCGTATGGCCGAGACAAGTGGACTGAGACATGCGTGCCTCTCCATTCATGCGGATATCGTAGATAGCACGCTTTTCTGTTCATCTTTGAATCTTTGATGGACATGCAGGAAACAGGCAAGGCAAGGCAGGCAAGATAAGCCAAAACGAGACATGGCAAATCCCGAAGGTACCTTACCTATCTAAGTACTCGACTAGACCCCACATTGTCTCATTGTCAAGGGCCAGAGACAAAGGCAATTGTGATTGACCATCGGCCAGCAGATGACGACGAGTCGGCCCTCCTTGGATTCGAGAACAGATGAAAGGCATGTTTCGCTGCGTATAGATGACGGTTGGGATTTTACAGTTCAAGGAAGCTCGTTGTCTTGATAGACGTCCAAGTTTAAGCTCAGGCGACACGACTCAAGAGATTCGAATACCTGACATGTCACTAGTAATTACTGCGCAGTATCCGTACGGATAATCGACCAACCCACGGACCTGCCCCGCCTCTCCAGAGGCACCTCAGCAGATGCGCTCTCTTGGTGCGACGATGGTGGTGACTTCCGACGGCAAATTCCTTGATCGTCCCATCACAGTTCATACTTCCCGGAGGTGGACGCCCGAACATTGTAGTATCCCAGCCCCTGGTTTTGAACAGTACGCAGTATTGTGCTTGCTGTCTTGCATAGCCCGCAACGGGTGTGCAAAGTTCAGTTCAGACGCCCAGTCGAACGACAATTGGGTTGGCACCGGGTCGGGATGAAGGCTACTCGCCGCATGACCGCAGGCTCTCCAGAAGCTCAAGTAAAACCGTGCGAGGTCTCATTGTGCCTACCGTCTCCGGCTCCCTCTGCAACTACGGAAACATATGTCAATACTATGGTCTCCTAAGTCCAGGTCATCGGGGTTTATAACTTCGCCGTTGCCGTTGTCGAGGTTGTTGGTAGGCCAGACACACGACACCGCCGTACCTGACAGAGAACGGAGGATTATCCTTTACCGTGACCCAGACCCGAGAAACGCTACTCGCCGGGCATTTCTTCCGAAACGCCAAACACCAGACGTCGAGTTCCCTGTCCGTCCCTGCCTGGCTATCTTACCAAGCTGTGCAAGCATACGCTCTAGTTCTAGATCGCCCAATATCCGGTCTCCGGGGGAAGCGGTCCTAGTTGGACTGGTCGATCACGGTGACCCGTGCCGGGGTTCCTAGATCTTGAGATAACGCACAGGAACACTGTGATTTAATTCGGTACTGTTCGTGTACGCAGGCAGCACTTTGTATCCTGCAGAGACAATGACGCGGGCAGTCGATCGCAAGGATCAGCAGGGACAGCGGGCTGTAGTACTTTATCCGTCACAAGCCGACCCGACTTAAGAAAGAATGCACCTACGAATACCGACCCTCATCCATAGAACGCAGTGTCGTGAAGCCGAAGCCTCAGTGAAAACCATCCCATCCCGCTACACCCCAGCATATACCTCCGTATTCTTTTGCTGACTGCTTCTTTTTGTGCTCCATTACCTACGAGCGAAATCATGACTATTGCGAAGGCACGTGGTCGGCCAGCCTCGCGTTAGGTACTTCAGAGACAGCACATTAATGCTCCTCAAAACCCCGCTCGGTACTGTGTATGTTTCCATCTTCACATAAATAATCACGTCCACCCTAGTGATCAATCACCAGCATCGAATGCCCTCTTCATGCCCTCTTCGTTGTGCAGGAGTGCCGACACAAGAATTCTACACGTAAACATCCTAACCTCCAAACTTTTGCAACTCAGGGCAACGCGGGCACCCCTTCTCGAGTCGACCCAAACCTGTGGAACAACCATTACCCCACCCTCCTGCGAAAGATTCAAGAAGAACCTGGCCGAGGCACAAAATGGAAAGGAAGAAAAATCCAGCGTACCAGACGTCGGCCATGTAGTTAGCGGAGCAACGCAAACCAATGAATGGCCCCCGGTCTCAGATGCCTATCTCTTCAATGCCTCGGCCGAAGAAGAAGAAGCAGCATCAAGTAATTGCCCCCTCCTACCCCTCCACACTCCTCGAATAATGCGTTGCGAGTGGCCATGTGGTTTTCCATGGGCAGTGCTCCATTTGCCTACATTGGGAAGACTTTGGGTCTACGCTGTACGCTGCTTGGTTTGGCCGAATGTGAATCAGAGGGCCCAATCGAGGTAGAGGAGAGGCTTGCAAATTGCGCTCGATACTCGATGCCGATCCCATGTCGCCAGGAACAAGTCCCGACATATATCCGCGCAATACGACGATGAACAGCTTGAGCTACGTGTCAATTACCGAGGTCGAGACTTGTCATCTATTTATTTCATTTGCTCCCCCCTCTTCGCGTCAGTGTACACTCTACCCGTAAATTCAACCAAACAACCATTCGCAAAGAAGTTGCTGCTGTCCCCGACGGCCTTCATGAAGTACATAAATGTCTCTCCTGCCGGGTACGGATGATCCATCGGCCGAAGCTGCGGATCGATCCCCCGTTACTTTCCGGCTGACCAGTCAGAGTTGCTCCAGCTATGCCGGCCAACGTGACGGGACCCCGGATGAAGCCATCTCAGTCCGGCAATGCTTGCGGCCCTGCACCTGCATGTCGCTCTCCATATATCGGCTTTGCCTCTAGCAAGTCCGATCGCTTGTCGCTCACGTTCAGGTATTCTGTATGAACTATTCTGAATACTCACGTTGTCACAACCAGGTTCCTACTGGCACAGTGCTACTGTTGCTTGCACCTGTCCCTGACAAGAAGGAGCATATCGCGCGAGCGGGCGACTTACAATATCCAACGTTAGAGACTTCAGCCGGTGGCTCAGCTTCTGTACGGCTCATGTACAACAATTTAGGCAGCGAAACTAGCAATGTTGATGTATCCGTATGCTGCTCTGGAGATATGACTGAGGGTAGAGCCTGTGGTCGGAACGGTACAACATCAGTCAGTGCGCCTCGAAAAGCGTTGGTATCTTTATTTTCCTTCTTCCCTTTTAACCTTCCCAATCCAGTGCCGAGGCACCTATTCTCAGGCGTGACACCTCAACCATGTCTATACAACGTTGACCCAAACTGTGTATGCAGGCTTTCTCGGTAAGCGGCTCTGTAGATGCACAGCCAGTCGGCAAACGCAGGGGGAACCAACAAAATTTCCATACTGAGCACATGCGTGTCTTTCCCGCTTGCCCCTCCTCCCCCTGTCCTCCTCCGCGGCAGACAGCGCAAATTAACAGGAACCGATCATCACAGGATTCACTAGCCCTCGAATAAGTTGGCCACGCCCTCAAGGCCATCTGGCGTGCCTTGCCTCGCCCCGGTGACCGCTCCGCTGCGTGTAGCCGACTCATTCGCGGGTGTCATGAATTCTTGCGCCATCTTACTGCGATTTGATCTCTTGACTCGCCCGAAACTGCTGGTCTTGGGCAATTTTCCCTGCTCTGCAATGCTTATTCCCTTGAGGTCTTTGAGAAGGTCAAGCACAAGTGCTCGTTGCTGGCGTGTGTGGGATGCTGGCTTCGACACAAAATCGTTCAGCTTTTCGAGATCAGCTACTTTAATGTTGGGTAGCGAAAGGAGGACGTCTCTGGGCGTGCTAGTCGACGGGCTGTAATAAACCACTATGGAGGCAATTAATGAGGCCAGGTCCTTCTGAAGGTCTACGAAGTAGGGCTCATGGAATGAGTTGATGCAAGCTTGGAGCACTTCCGATGAGATGTACTCCCTGATTGCGGAAGCTGCTTCGGAGGAAATTGGCGTCGGATCAAGAGAAGAATCCTTGCCGCTGGGAGTGGAGTTTTGGCCCTCGTGCGCAGGTACAGATTTTGGCGAGATCGGTTCCGACTGATGGAAGTCCGGAACAATAGATCGAAATACCCGCAAAATTATGCTACAGCATCGCGTGTCTCTCATCCGGATTGCGTGAGTGCAGAAGAGAAGGAGCGGCTCCACAATCGTAGACTGCATCAAGCAAAATTTCCTCAATGACGGATACCTGCGAGGTGGCTCGTGCCCATTTTGTGATCTTAGTAACGGAGGGTCTGCGTTCAATGTTAGTACTCCATACCGGGATAGCAATACAGAAACACCGCCGGGAAGCCTTAGACTGCATCTCCAAGCCGAGGTTCGGAACGCGTGGGCAAATCTAAGCGGGGATGTCTCAAGCAAACTGAACCAAGTGGTTCAGAGGAGATTGCAGGAGACTGGAACACATGGCTGAATGAAGAAACGACAGAGAGAGGCGAATCATGAGAGGTGGAAAGACACTACTTACTTCTCTTAGTGGGATCCAGGAAATCCGCCACCATGATCACGGCAGTGTAAGTGACCTGGCGCAAGATGCTTTCCGATTTCATCTCCTCGGTAAGCGCATCCCCAGCAGCGTCAATTGCTTGTTGGCGCTCCAGCTTCTCCCACTCCGAGTTGATCTTTGCATCCATCTGTTGGAAGCAAGCTGCAAGGAGTGGGGGAAGGAAGTGCTCACGTTGCTCTAGTGGACAATCGTCCACCAGATAACGCACGAGATTCAGCAAGTTGATCTGCTGATGTGCAGAGAGATAGAAAGAATTTTGGAAAAGCGCTTGTGCAAGGGGGTTCGGCAGTTCGCTGAAGCCATAGAACTGCATCTCCAAACGGCTCATGCAGTAGATAATGGCATAGCATGTTTCTCGTACGAACCTCACGCTTCCCCTTATCGTCGAAGCGAGCCCTTCGAGAGTGTGTTTCTTGTCCATGACGCGGGCATAGAATTCATCTTTGCTGCCCTCAGAAATTCCCGCCTGCCAAAAACGATCACTGAGAACGCCGCCAACAACGGACCGCATTTCAGGGGGCAGTTCTGTCCAATTATCTGGATTGTGCGAGGCGTGGGCATGACTGTAGGCTTGGTCAGTAGGCTGAGCTTGAGGGATGACTGGAAATCTCACCTGAGAAATTGCAGAAGGTCGGGTAAGATGATTGGAAAGCCATCATTCCACAAGCGATACGAGATTTGGAAGGGCGCTGAAGACTTCTCGAGCTTCTCTACGGAAAAAGAAAGAAATGTTTTTGTCGGGCGAAGAGGTAACACCTGTCGTCAGGTCAGTCGATGATACCTCAAACAGGCAACTTTGTCTTTACCTTCTGTCTCTCCTCTAACTCACTCTGGAGAGCCAGACCCTCTGCATCCAGCTCGCTAGAGCCCCAATCCTTGACTTCATGGACGCGATGGCTCATGAGGTATCGCTTGGCTTTGTCCAGGGCCATCAATTCGCAAAAGCCCGCGTACGATGACAGAGCACTTTTCAATTCGTGGTTTTGCCATAGGCTTGTGACTGGCTTGATGAATCCCTGCAAACGCTCAAACTGTGTGGAAGGGTCAATATTGGTGGCTCGGTGAATGATGATGAAGAGAAAGCTCTGGTAAGCAATTTGTCGTTTCTCGTCCAAGCTTCCCGAGGTTATCATGTCGTTAACCTTTGCCTCTATGTGATCATATACGCCTAGCAGGTGGTCAGGGACCTTTGAGGCTAGTCGCTGCAGCTCAACCATGCTTTCGGACTGGAAATCCTTGATCGCCTCGTTAAAGGCTCGGTGCTCTGGGCGAGGAGCAGGCCATGTCATGAGAATGTGTTCGAGGACTTTGAGCATGAATCCTGGATTCCTGTCGAGAGCTGTAGTAGAGAAAGCAACCAGCAATTGTAGCACTCTCTTCCGAATCAGAGGGTCCTCAAAGTTCATTTCGAGGAGTTTGCTGCACCAGGACTCCAGATCTCTCTCTAGAGCAGCGCGCTGTTGTTCCTGTCATCTATTAGCTGAATGTCGTCTTTCCCATGACTATTTACTCACGTAGTCTGGCATGCTCTGTTGAGTCGTGCTTGCTCTCCACTTCATGTAGCCTTTCAGCGCCGCCTCGATGACTGTGAATTGTGCGTCAACGCTCAGAACAGGCATTGAATGCTTGATGTACTTGGACACTACAAAAATTAGCCGTCCCATTTCCGTCAAAGTAATTCAGATACATATATTAACGTACCATCCATCGGTGGGTGACCGTCATATAGATGCTGCAAGACTTGCTCGGCTTGGCCAAGAATATGGTAAACCGCGTCGGAAAGCTTCAGTTGTACAATTGTTTCAATGACCTGTGTGCTGAACCTTCTGTAATTGCCGAGAAAAGCATGTCGTTCCGGGACGGTATCAGTATCTTCCATCAGGAAGAGGAAGGTTGGGTCCTGAGTGTCTTCCGGCAGGTTCTCAAAACGGATTAGGCGGGAACCACAGACCTCGAGCAGTGGGCCGACGAGATGAGTATTAGCTGGGCTCTGTCCGATGAGTCTGTTGTTGAGTAGCCGCGTCCACGTAGCTAATACGGGTATGGCGATGATCAGACTTGGGCTTTGCACCGTTAGAAGCAGCAAATTGAGAAACCCGTCTACGTCCGAAGTCGTCGGGATCGCCGAAAATCTTCGGTCGAGATAGTTGCCCAAGAGGGACAGCATCTACACCACATCAATAAATGTAATCTAATCATCTCAGACAACGACTTGCCTCGGAAAACTTTTTACCGAATTGGTATTTGTCCTCATCAATGTCGTCCACGTCAACAGCCGACCACTCGAAGAGCCTCTTCAAGAGGTCTACTGAGCTGGCATCATACATGGGTGCAACGAGATCCTTAAACTCTTGTTCGGTGAAGTTTGACCGGGAGTAAAGTGCATGTAAGGCCTCCAGAGATGCCTATTGCTGGTTAGCTGTCCCATATTCTCTTCCTCTCGAGTGTGCGTAATCATGCAGCGTTCAAGTACCTTCTGAATAGACACTTCGGGTGTCGCAAGGGCTCTGCACATGACAGGCACGCAATTGGCCACGGCAACAGCCTTGGGTATGGCCCAGGGCATCAGAGAGTGGAAAACGGACAAGGATTTGACGGCACAAGACCGAACTTGGTCGTTGTTCTGAGCATCCCCTTGAAGGCACTGACTGAGAAATTCGGATACCCGGCTTAGCCAACCTTCTTCCCCATATCGCACCTCGGGGCCAGCAGTCCTGTTCGGGAAAGCCTCTCTAAGGACTGTGGCCGGAGTAAAAATCTCGACACAGCTCCTGCTGAGCACTCCTTCGCGCATGGCGACCACGGCATCGTCGCCGTTGAAGACTTCGTCGGAGAGTGTCTCTAAGACGAACAGAACGAGCTCTTTGTGAACAGCAGAATCAGGAATTTGCCATAAGCGAAGCAAAAGCTCATCCATGTCCATCCACTCGGCGCCCCATGATCTCTTGCCAACTTCAACCCATAATTGAGCCGTTTTATTTCTGATGTATAAGGGATCGTCCTTCGACAGGCTGCGGCAGAGCTCCAGCATCCAACCACGGAGAGTAGAGGACTGTTGCTCGCTATAGTCGGCCCATCTGTGCTTGATCGCATGCTCAAGAAGGGAAAGGGCATAATGGCGCACAACGGGTGACTGGGACTTGTCGGAGGCAAGGGTAAAACCGTGGAATGGAGCTTCGTCTATGCCCTTGATGTTTTCGAGGAAGGCCTGCGCGTCTCGACGGGAGTCATTGGGCGAGTAAGGGTTGTGTATAGCCTCGAGGGCCTGGTGGATCTGTGATATTATGTCGGAAATCGCGCCGTTCACGGAGGTGATATTCTGACCCAAGCCGGCCGCGCCATTGGCGGCCTGTCCGTCCATGACAGCTGGAGTGGTCGAGAGTAGGGTAGGCAGACGCCTGCAGAAGCTGCTTCTTCAGCAGATGAATTGGTCTTGGTTCATACGGCGGATGTTGTACAGGCCAGACTCGGAAGGTGGAGGACGAGGAAGTGGTGGGAGAATGCGATATCGAGGGAATGCAGGTTTCGGTGAGAATGCTGCCCAAGACGCGAAATGCGGCAGTTAGCGAAGGTTGAGAGTGGTGTAAAGAGGGCCGGGCGGCGTGGACAAGGCGCGGACACAGAACCAAGGCATGAGCCTTGCAGCGCGAGTGAGTGTAACTTACCTTAGGCAGATAAGGGCGTCTTCAAAGGCACCCAGACAGACTAGTTAGGTTTGTTCTCCGCGTTCCTCATTACCAGCTTCGCCCGACTTTTGCTCACTGCCGTTGACAGGCGCTTGATGGGAGAGACAGGTTCGAGCGAATGTGACAGCAAACCAGGTTAGACGGAAAAGAGAGAAGCAGTATATACCTCTGCCAGTGGAAACAAGCGCGGACAATCGTACGGACTGGCGAGGCAGGAATACCGGAAGTTGCAAGAATATGGAGTAGATGCAGTAGCAATAGTGACAGCAGCGAACATGCTTTGCATCATCAAAAACCAAGCCAGGCCAACAGTGCAACGCAGAGCACCTCAGGTAGGTACCTAGTGTACCTACCACCCGTAGCGGATGAGGATTGTTAGGTAGTGGAGTCGCGTTGGCGGGCCGAGGCACCAGTGCGAACGGTGTGCACTACGTGGTGCTTGCATTGATTACATAAGGTATCTAGGTAAGGCACCTAAGATATTCACACCGGCATTGCAGTGGAGATGTCTAGGTAGGTTCGGCCCAAAGCCTGGCCTCTGGGACCTGCATCGCGTTGACCCGTCGTGCTTCTCTCCTCAGGACTTCCTCTACTGAGCCCGCTTTGCCAGTCTAGACATATCAAGGCAAGGCCGTCTCCCATAGGCACAACCTCTTATCGTAGAAGCTCGTCGACACACAAATCAAACGCCCGTCCTCAGAAACTGGAACGCAGTCACTGCCATAGTTCATGCTCTGGTGCTCATCAAATCTTGCAAGAACCCCAATCTCCCAGTCCCCGCCGTGCAGAGGCCCCTCGAGCTCTACAACCTTTGCACCGGCGTGCATACAAGAGGCTAGGATCCTGGCGCGACAATGTCCAACATCCTCTCGGATATCGATCAATTTCAGCCTCCAGACGCCACCTCCTAGGTTCTTCTCGCCCAGATGCTGAAACTTGCGAAGGCCATACGTCTCGTGTGGAGGTTGTATAGCAAGAATTCGCATCGAATCATCGTAGCTTCCCGTGACCACAATTCTCGCGCCGTCTGCTAAACGCACCGGAATTGGAAGGATGGCTGTCACCCCGGCGCCATGGCCGCTGATGTTTAGTGGAGGATATTGGAGGCTCACCGCCGCATCTGAGTCTTCACCCCCAGACTTCTTGTCCGCGCATGATGCACATCGCAAAGCAGAGTCATCCCCACCCGAGTAGACGATGAACGAGTCGCTCTGGGCATCACCGCCTGCAACACCAAGCTGGCTTTCATTTGGCTCTGGCGGACAAAATGCCACCGTCCAGGCCTCCAAAGAGTGCGTCATGACAGTAGTGACATTTCCCTCGATGACTTGCCATGCATCGTCGAGACGTACGACTCGCACCTCACCTGCGGATGTTGTGAGAGCAACCAATGAAGGATCGTGGGGACTCCATACACCCGAAAGGAAGAGAACCCCTTCAGGAGTGTTGGCGATCCTGCTTGTCGCCAAGTGCCTCAGCGGCTCAGATGCATCTATGCCTGGATCCAAACGAAAGATAGACAGCGTACCGGTGCTGGAGACGACAGCCAGGATATCCTGCGCACCAGACAGGGGGCAGAAGTGGAGGTCCAAGATTGCCGAAGGATGGGAGATAGTTTGGACGTGATGCCTAGGAGGGTCAGATAAGCGGCGTGGCTGCGTGTTTCTGAATGACTTACACGGTTCCGTTGTCAAGTCGAAAGGTGACGAGACTGCCACTGCGATTTTGCAGTTTCTTTCCGGTCAAGGCCTCGTTGTCTTCCGACTCCGTATAGCCTGGCCCGTCCTTGATGAGGTTGTACGTGCCGACAACAAAGTATGTCGGGTGCGAGGGGCACCATTCTATGCAGCTTGGAGGGAGGTCCAAAGTGAGAGTTTGCGTTGACGCAACACTACTGTTGGGCTCGGCCATTTTCTTGTTCCTCTTTCTCACAATCTGTCAAGTATGGTTCCCTGAGTTTTTGTTATTATATCGAAGAAAAGCAAGGGAGGGAATGGAGACGAGGTTAGAAAAAGAAAGGAGAGGGGAAAAGAAAAAGAAAGGCCAGAGACCATCCGCTCGTGGTTCGCTTGCTCTGTGGCCAGAAGTAATTGGCAGATTTGTGTGAAGATTCGCTGTGGTCAATAAGCACCTAGGAGGAAGGAGAGCCTAATCCTACCTAGGTAAGGTACCTAGGTACCCGACCCGCCTATCCATGGCCACTCCCGGCCGCCGGTCGTTGCGTTCCGGGAAACACGGAAGGATCCCGCTTCTCATCCACAGATTGCGTGCCGGAATTGGCGCCGCGAAGTCGGATCGGCTCCTCCAACCCTCCCAGAAATGGTGGTATCAGACCAGCCTCCCTCCCTGGAGAACATTTCATAGTCTTATCCCACCTTCGTCGACCCCTTCCATTGCTTCCATTTCTCCGCGACAGCGTTAGGGGAGAGCATTGGGTACCTTGAGGTACATGAATGGTCACCGCATTTGAGAAACTGTCGATTCGCCCGAAGGAGCACCTATCTCCCTGGCCTCGCCTGAGTATTTGCCATAAAACGGCCACTGCCATACAACTCTATGCCCTTCAGACCCTTTGTCGAAATACTGCCGTTTCGCACTTTGCTTCGAAGCCCCCGCTTGCGAAGCAGCGATGGACTCGGAGGAGTCGGACTTCTACGGTTCGTGCCGAGACCCTGATAGTGCCTGGGACTGACTGTTTGCCAGGAGACGAGGATATTATTGAAGGGCTGGAGGCCCGCGTCAATTCTTTCAACGTCGCCCAATGGTGGGAGGAGACAAGGGCGGTCCAACTCAACCGGAAAGCCAAGGCGGAGCCGGCGGACAGCACCAAGCTACATAACCCATACGCAGGTGTACCTTATGCGTGGCAACTAACCGAGACCCTCAGTGATTTCCTCAATCGCCTTCCTCCCGAGACAACTGAGGGGACTGCCGACGTTCCCTGGATTTTCATCTGTAACCCGTTCATTGCTCGGAAGAGCAGGTTTCTCGCACAAAACCAGTTCAGCAGAGGCAATGAGGATGAAGCTCCAGAAGAGGATGGATCACAGCTCAACACCCTAGTTGAAGGAGGCACCGAGAGGTTGCGCATTCTGGGCAACTTTGTGGACGGCATCCACAGGACGAAAAAGTCTGCGACAGCAAAGCTGTCAGAGATCAACCACGAGAAGAAGCAGGCAGTCAAGGACGTCCTGTCTCTCGCGCACGCGTGCAAAGTTAGATCTGGGAAGGCAAGCAACCTGTGCTTTCCCGTTTCATCAGATAAAACTGCTGACAAACAACTTCAATGAACAGTGGCTTCTTTTTTGTTCGCCCCGAGACGTGAATGAGGTATGGGCAATCATTGCCAGGGCCACGGCAAACAACGAGCTTGGCATCGCTGCTAAAGTGGCACCGCGGCAAGACGCAACCGGCCGCAAAGATCGAATGATTGCTGTTTACACTGCCGATTTCAACGATGTCACAGACGTGATGAGGGTGTTGCGTCGGCTCCGGGAGCTGAAAGTGGTGGAGGCGATGGGACGACCTATCTATTATAAGCCGGGTTTGTCGCATCAATTACCCCTTCTCTTCCAGTTATGCGGTGCTGACATGTCGTAGACGCCTTTACATACGTTGGGGTCGCCCACGGCAACCAGTGGGATATCAGAGCATCCATTCACAGTTCTCTGGATATCATGCCCAAGCAATAATCTTAATGGGGAGAGTAATGAACAGATTGACCTTGCGCAATCTTCGAAGACAATCCTCGAAGACTACACAGAGCGATCCTAAGAAAAGTGTTAAGACCTATGGGCAATCATGATGGACTGTGCTCGAGCGGTCGTGGTATATTAGTTGCGTTAACAATTCTGAAACCTACCGTCTTGCAATTCGAACCCGTGACCATGAATATTGTGAGCAGGAGCTCTTCGTATGTCTTGCCATGCACACCAGAACCATTTGAATACAGCCATACCCTCGCTACATTTTGAATGCTACCACCGCACGTTTCGAACAAATGCATGCTTTCGTTTCCAAGCCACCGCTGTGCCGCGTATCATGGTCTACCCCGAACCTTTGCCACCAGTATCCATCCATGCCCACTCATAACCAACGTCGCTCTATGCTGTGGCTGTCCATCTAATCAATGGATGCCCCCCATGCGGAGGGAATGAAGAAATCGTCACCGCCACGCCAGCAGCAGCTGAAGCTAGCTGTGACGTGTGCGCGAGCCATGTATATTTGTCTTGATAACATTGCAAAACGTGGCAACCAGTCGTCGCGAGCTGAAGTCCGTTCCTCCCAGTCAAGCATAGTGGCTATCAAAGTCCTCGATAACGGCGTCAGGGTCAATGGACTTGAGAAGGAGGACCAAACGGTAGGCGCTGTTGCCGTTGAGATAATATCTGTGCAATTTCTTTGAGCGCAAGAAGCCCAGGCGCTCGTATAGACGCATAGCCTGGGTATTTGTCTCTTCCGTTTCCAGAACAATCTCATCGGCATTACGCTCGGCCATGGCATCAATGGCACGTTTCACGAGGGCAGTGGCGATGCCTTTGCCTCGGAATGGCGAAGCGACAGCGAGCATGGCAATGTAACCTCGGCGCGTCGGTGGTGAGTGAGATGAGTGAAGCTCTAACTTGCAGACAATGACGCCGATGAGGGATGAGTCGACTGGATTCAGAGCCTGGGCAGCAATTAGTGTCAATCGGAGGAGTGGTTATTTGTCAAGACAGATGCGGACCATGAAGCACAAGTGCCCCCATTGGTAGAGGAAATACCGATAGACATAGATGCTGTACGGTTCGCTCAAATCCTTTGCGATCAGAGAACGTATGGCGGGTAGGTACTTCGCTTCCAGACCATGTTCATACTGTATATAATGCAAGTCTCCCGGGGGGATGCTGATTTTGGAAGCATCCATGGTGCATCTATCGGCAGTCCCTGGGGGAGATGGGGGCGTTGATGAACAATGGGGCGGAAGAAATGAGGACGGAAAACTTCGAGGGTCGAACTCGGACCAGCAAATGCGCAGATATGCTCAACTCATGACAAGACGATGAGGTAGAGACTGAAAACGACGGGGAAATCGCTTCGGATTAATGCTGCGATTACGGAAAAAGAAGGGGCACTGCCGCGCGCGAGGAACGAAGAGGATCAAGCGGCCGATTCGCACGACACGGTCGCGAATTGTGCGTTTGCAGGTTGACTTGATTTGAGTTGACTGGCGGCGTGGGAGGGTAGGTGAGACTACGTCGGGCGTTGTCTTGAAGTGCTTCCTCAGAGTTGAGGTCAGCCAGGCAGGGTAAGGTAAGGCGACGCGACTCCAACCCGTTGCGGAGGCCGAGTAGGGCGGGTGACAACTCACTGGCCTGCATGCCCCGTGCACCCAACTTGGTGGAGCTCTGGATGTTGAAGTGCCTCGAGTAAGTACCTACCTACCTAGGTAGATACACTAGGTAAGGGAGGATAAATAGGTAACCTTGAACTAATCGTGCCTTTACCATAATATTTAACCCAGTCTGTCAGCCATTTCTTCCGTGGGTGTTTGGGTGTTTTTCATGCAATGCACCCAGCCTGCAACATTGTCGCTCTCCCGTCCATGTTGCGTGAAGTCGGCCCGGACCACTATCACATGCTAAACGAGCGGTAGCGCATTTGCAAACGAATTGCTTTCTGAAGCTTCGGGGGCTGCCACCAGCAGTCAGTCGTAAGGCCTTTCTCGCGCAGCTTTAGCTAGCTTGTTGGTTTTCATTTGGAGGGGTTTTTTTTCCCCTCCCCTAATTACCCCGTTGCCTCCGACCAAAGCGACAAAAGAAGAAACTTGCTTTCGTCGCCGGCCAGCTGAAGCGCGATCCTATCATTTTTGGGGTCGTGTGCATCCTGTTGTCCCGCTCTCGTTAAGAAAGGTGGTCTACCAACCATCGTACTGTAAGACAATGTGAAGAGTGGCGAGTGGCCTTGTGTATGTTCCGTTGGAGAAGACGGCCGATACATGCGCCGCAAGGAGTCCTCAAAATTAACTTACCTACTCTAGCAAATGTGAGAGATCTCGTCTGACCTTTGGCAATGGAAGGTATCTATTAAGTACATATGTGCCTATGATTGGTAGGACCTCTGAGAGACAAAAGACTAGAATTGCTACACCTGGCTTTCAAGTGCCGCATTTTATGCAGTGCCTGATGAAAACACAACGCCCGGACCACTGGCAACCATGTGGCCCGCCCAGATTGACGTCACGTTGATAGCTATCGACGGCTTACTAGCCCGCTGCCCTGTGCCCTCTGACCTCCCTCCTGGGCATCTTGCCGTGGCCGTGGCTACCTACGTACCGCTTTGAAGCTCTGGACATTTTTACTTCACCTCCATTGGATGGCTTGCTCTAAAGTGTTCCCATTAGCGTCGGGACTACCAGCGACCCTCCTCGTCCCACTCAACCTGTCCGATAACCCAGGTGCGTGGCTTGCGCAGAATAAGCTTTCCGCAACTCTCGGCCACGCTCTGTGCCTTCCACCCCGTTACCCCGACGGTCCGCTTGCCTCGTTGAGTCCTGACCTGCCGCTTAGGCATCACGAGCACCGCGTTCCGCGACGAATAAGTATTGAACCCTTCTCCCTCGAGCACACCGGCGCCCTGCATCCCAGGCCAAATGTTGGGCACCCGAACTCCTCCCTCTGCGCTGCTGTACACCATCTCTCGCTTCAAACCTCTCGACGGCGCAAGCTGACCTTATAGTCATTAGATTTCTCAGGTCAGTCGCAGGCGATTGCGATCGTGATCATGTCTGCGCCTACTCTTAGGCGGCGTGCCGTCCCCGCCGATCCTCAGACCGAGAGCGAGTCCTCTACACCCCGAGATGAGAGTCCCGACAAGTCCGAGAAACACGCCCACGTCGTCCAACACTTGAAGCCAAAGACAAGAAAGCGCCGCAACACCGCCATTTTCCTTCTCGGAAGCTTGTTCGGCATTATAGCTGCCGGCTTTTTTGCCAAAAGCAATGACCTCATCGACTTCCCTGAGCTGGGCGAGCTCAGCATGGACAGCTTATTCGACGTCTTACCCGCCGGTTTAGTCAAGGACATGCGCGATCTAGTGGTCAGTAATGCTTCATTCACAAGCTTGAAAGAAGTTTATATTCCAGCTGGACTGAACTAATGCGGCTTCTCGTAAAGCAAGGCGAGCGCGAGTTCGTTGATAGCTACGACGCTTTCTCAGTAGGTTTGCAGGCCCGCGCCGAAGGCCTCCACGCACACCACCCCATGATTATGGTCCCGGGCGTTATTTCAACAGGTCTCGAATCGTGGGGCACCACCAATGTTTCACGCCCGTACTTCCGCAAGCGCCTCTGGGGCAGCTGGAGCATGATGCGTGCCTTGGTTTTGGACAAGGAGAATTGGAAGAGACACCTCATGTTGGATCAAGAAACAGGCCTTGATCCCCCGCATATCAAGTTACGGGCTGCCCAAGGCTTCGATGCAACCGATTTCTTCATTACGGGATATTGGATTTGGAACAAGATTTTCGAAAATCTTGCGTCCATAGGGTACGATCCAACTAATTCCTTCACCGCCGCTTACGATTGGCGGCTGGCATATCCGAACCTCGAGACCCGGGACCAGTATTTTACGAGGCTCAAGTCCTACATCGAAACCGCCCACGAATTCTCGGGGAAAAAGGCGGTTCTCGTGTCGCACAGCATGGGCGGGCAAGTTCTCTTCTACTTCTTCCACTGGGTCGCATCCGAGACAGGTGGCCGCGGTGGCGATGACTGGGTCGAGAGGCACGTAGAGGCGTGGATTAATGTTAGTGGCTGCATGCTTGGCGCTGTCAAGGATTTGACGGCAGTACTGTCTGGCGAGATGCGAGATACGGCGCAGCTCAATGCTTTTGCTGTCTATGGCCTCGAAAAGTTTCTGAGCAAAGACGAGCGGGCGCAACTATTCCGTGCCATGCCCGGGATATCTTCCATGCTTCCCATCGGAGGGGATGCGGTATGGGGTAATTCCACCTGGGCTCCCGATGATCAGCCCGGGCAGGACTTCTCCTTCGGGTCACTGCTCAACTTCCGCAGCGGCATGAACTGGACCACACCCGACCGTAACTTGACGGTCGAATCGGCCATGGAATACCTATACAACACGACGGAGGAGTGGTACCAAAAACACATCAAGACAAGTTACTCGCACGGAATCGCGCACACAGAGGCGGAAGTCGAGGCGAACGAGAAGGACCCCCGCAAGTGGATTAACCCTTTGGAAACGCGGCTTCCACTGGCGCCGAGCATGAAGATTTACTGTTTCTATGGCGTTGGCAAGCCCACTGAGCGAGGATACTATTATCGGTCTCCAGAGATGCCGTCTCTCACGAACCTGAACATCACCATCGACACAGCTTTCACCCAAGGACAAGTTGACCACGGCGTTGTCATGGGCGAGGGAGACGGTACTGTCAACTTGATCAGTACGGGCTACATGTGCAATCGTGGCTGGGACTACAAGCGATATAATCCGGCCGGGTCCAAGGTCACTGTGGTAGAGATGGAGCACGAACCGGAACGATTCAATCCCAGAGGTGGACCCAAGACGGCAGACCACGTAGACATTCTCGGGCGGCAGCACTTGAATGAGTTGATTTTGAGAATTGCAGCGGGCAAGGGGAACACGATTTCTGACTACGTTGTGAGTAACATTTTGGAGTATGCGGATAAGGTCAAGGTCTACGACGAGGACAAGCAGCCCGAGGAAGAGGAGGAATAGCATGTTACCCGAAAGCATAGCTATTGAGGCAGACAGTAGCAACAGTTTGTGATTTTGGTTAGGGGCGTTCTGGTGAATTGCAGAGGAGTCGGAGGGATTTGGCGATGGTCATGGCATGATAATACCCTTTTCGGTCAACTGTGTTACTGAGGACATGTACTACTTAAACACACAAATAGAGTCCACATCATCGACACCGGTAATAACATTAGAAAGAAGAATAAAATAAGCAGAAAAGGAATTTCTTTGTGTCCGGCCACGGTTGTGGGCATCATTACCATTGGCCCTGTTTTCCATCTCCCAACGAATAGATGCAACACAATCGCTTCGACCAGAGCCGATTGCTCCGAATTGGTGTTCCTAGGCAAAGTCATTGCAGGTCAAGTCGGGCGAGTCGAAACTAAGGTAGGTAGGACGGCGGGGACGTTGAGGCTGCCCCGTAGCTGTCCAACCGTGTGCGGCACACTCAGCAAACACCGCACAGCAAGCAGTTGAATGCCTAGGTACACACTATGAAGGTACCTTCTGGTGGATACCTTAAGGTGCTCACCATTCCAACCCCTCACGCTCTGAGTAAAGCAAGGAACGCATTCCCCTCCATTTCCCCCACTCTGAGCCCGGCACCTACCTTCCCCACTGCACGGGGCACCCGAACAACGTGGACCAACTCGCCTTCCTCTACTAGATACATACCTTACTTAGTACCTTACCTACCTACCTACCTACCTACCTACCTAATCTCACGGGCTACATACCTAGGCTGACCAGGTGGTGCCCTCGTGCAGTGGAGAGGGGCTTTGCTGTCAAGCCAGACCATGCCTTGTGTGTATCAACCCTCCAGAGTCGAAACTCCAGCCGGCTTCATCTCCCTCCCACAAAATCCTCCGTTGCAGTCGCAACTCGACACGCCCTGCGTCAGTTATGCAGACCATTTTGGGCACCAAACTTTGGCGATAATACCACCATGGCGGATTTCGATGTGTACGAGTCTCTTGAGACCCGGCAGCAGTTCTGGGAAGGTCAGTCGCCCTCGTGCGCCATCTTCGCTTTGTCTTCGTCCCTTCCCTCAATGCCTTCACGATTTTTTTTTTCCGATTTCCACGGAGCCTGCCGACTGACCGCCTGCATTATTTTACCAACAACAGAGCTTGACGATGTCGTGACCACCCAATACCAATCGCACGATCTGATTGACGAGACGCTTAGAGCCTGGCTGCACCTTGCCTCAAGATTCAGGGATAAGTTCTACGATGCCGAGGACGATGTCGCCGTCTGCTGCGATAAGCTCCTCTCCAGCCATCTGTTTCGAGAAAATAAAGAATACATTCGCACCCAGATCGTGTACAGCCTTCTTCAAGAAGATGACACGGCATCACTTCACGTCATCGCCCTCTTCCTCCTCCTCGATGGCCAATCCGACGAGTCAACGTTCTCCCGCATGATTGAGGAAGCCTGCTTTCCACGGCTGCTTGAGCTCATCAATGGGCGCAAAGAACAGGACCCGAGACTACACCGTCTGTTGCTGGAGCTAATGTACGAGATGTCTCGTATCGAGCGACTGCGTACTGCCGACTTGATGCAAGTCGACGATGGCTTCATCGCCTACCTATTCCAAATTATCGAGGAGCTGTCTAACGATGTCCACGATCCGTACCATTATCCCATCATACGCGTCTTGGTAGGTGCATACCCATTTGCGCTCATCTTCCACCCGCTGGAGCTTGCAGGCTGACAACACGATAGCTTGTCTTGAATGAGCAGTACATGCTAGCATCCACCGACGTCGCCGCCGACCCGACATCTCCCACTGCACCCCTTACAAACAGAGTCATCAAGTGTCTCAGCATCCACGGAGCTTTGTTCCGAACATTCGGAGAGAACATTATTCTGCTGCTGAATCGTGAGACAGAGACCTCACTCCAGCTCCTGATACTCAAGCTTTTATACCTTCTGTTTACTACCAAAGCCACCTATGAGTACTTTTATACGAACGACCTGAAAGTCCTGCTCGATGTCATCATCAGGAATCTTATGGATCTTCCAGACGAAAAAATATCCCTCCGCCACACATACCTCCGCGTTTTGTATCCACTCCTGGCGCACACACAGCTAAGCCATCCACCACATTACAAACGAGACGAGGTGATCAAAGTCTTGAGGATCCTGGGCGGACTGGGCAACCCCCATTTCGCGCCTGCCGACGAAACAACAGTTAGGCTGGTAGATCGTGTTTCCAAGGTGAAGTGGCTGGGCGACCAGGAAGCTTCCGGCGAAGCGGAGGTAGCTCGAAAGTTCCTGGGCATCAGTCTGTCTAGATCGGAGACGGCGAGCAGCGTTAGTGTTGTCGATGTGGCGGCCGTTATGGAGAAGCCCGGAGTCATCACCCCGAGTCGTAAGGCCGAGGCCGACATGGAAGCCAAGGGGGAAGGAACGAAGGCGAGCGCAAGCACGGCGCGGCAAAAGAAGCCACTCCCGGAGGTGCCCAAACACAGGCACGGCACCCCCGTTGGACCGACCGCGACCTTGCATTTAAACGGACACAAGAAGATACCGCCCAAGGCACCCCCGCCACGTCGGAGGACGAAACTCAAGCCCATTGAGCCTACCGCAGACGATGCTCTAAGTACAGACTCGTGACTGACACCACGAGCCGGAGACAACAAATTGGTCCTGGCGACCGTGTAGTTAGTATGAGACCATGACCGGCGTCGGTGTTTGTTCGATTTTGAAAGCAGCGAAGCTGCAGGTAAGGGAGGGTGCATCGCAATTTCGAACTCGTTGTTGGCGTATAGCGTTCGGGTTCAAAGCTACGGCATAGCAGGGCGTTTCGGTTTCAAGAGGCAACACCGTCTTTCATTGGAAAGAGGTTAGGAAGCTCAGTAGCCTACGTTGTCCTAGCAATTGCTGAATTCGTATCATTGGCAAAACATACTACGCCTTGCTCATGTGACTTGAAATCGGCGTGGAGTACTAATGCGTTGCTCTGAACCGCCACGGCCCCATAATGGAGGGGGAAGGGGGAGGGGGAGGGGGAAGACGGGCTAGATAGGCGCGTGAACATGAGATGAACATTATCTGTCTCCCGATAGTATGCAGGGTGAAACCTTGGACATGATTAAAGACCGGTAGGTGAGATAAGTGGGTTATTCAACGCCAAGAAGCATTCAACAGCTTGCCCGACAGAAAAAATATATTGCAAAGCGACGCAAGCCAGAATCAAGGCTTTATCTGTAGGTTGCGGGGGGGAAAGAGCTCCTGCGGTCCAATCAGATGAAACGCACCCTCGGAAACGATAGGTTTACCACGAATGCGCCACCGAGTATTGGTCCAGGTGACTGAACAAAGCGATTGAAGCACACTGGCTGGCTGACTGAACAGGCACACAGGCTACTAGAAGGCGCAGAAATATCCTGGCGCGGTCCACATGTCTGGGCTTTCACCAGTTGGTTGGTGACGTCGTAGAGGTGATGATGGGTACCTGGCATTTTGGACGATTCCAACCTCTGGTATTCTTCTAGTGTTCCGTTGGCCTAATCGGTCAGAACGGATAACAGAGGTCTGCTACGCTTTGGTTAGTTCGGCCTAGACTGATTTGATGCAGAAATCCAAGCACGGCTCCGACAAGATCTCCTTATTATGGTTCGTGATGAGCATACACGCTGTTTCACAAACCTACTATGTAGACACAGATACAAGCGCTCGAGGAGACAGGGAGGGTGTCGCTGAGGTTGCAGCGAGTATCCGCTGCTGTGGTTGTGATTACGTCGTGGGGAGGGGGTGGGGGGCTTCGAGCCGGGGGCACATACGTCATCGTGTGGCCGAACTGCAACGAGGAGCTTCTTGGCTTCTTGTTTGCGATCAGTTCGAATGTCGCACGAACAGGCCACGCAGATCGCAGCTCATCCGCGCAACCGCGGCACAATGTACACCACTCATCTACGTATCTAGGAAACGAGGGATATCGGCTGGCCCGTGAACGCGAACTTCTCCAACCGAGAGTTCTAGTGTCGTAGTCAACAGTGCGGGGCGGAGGCGCATACAACGGAAAGGTCGAGACAGAGAACCCTCCATGGCATGGCGGGGGATAATGAAACAAAATTCCACGACCAAATTCGTATGTACTTGGACCCTTGAGCAAGAGGCGAGACAGCGGGATTGAATTGCAGGATGCTTGTCTCGAATGAGTATTGCAGTATTCGTACTGTAGATGTTTAGGATGAGGCATGAAGGGCGATCGCAATCAACCACAGACCTTAGCCGAGATACGGAAGCAAAATCCAGGGTCCAGCGTCGTCCCGTCTCGCTGCATGCGCTTCCCGAGAACAGGGAAACAATAGGTATCCGTACATAACTTTGACGCGCCGGGTGGATGATGGGATGGGCAGCCACTCATCGTCCCAAATAGTGCCTTTTCGGGTCAGGCCGAAGACATGAGGTGCGTTGTGGGAATTGAGTGCCTTGATCCAGTTGCTGCATGCTGCAGGGCGATTGACGTTTGGTCGCTCGAGGTTCGTGGCGTGGCATGGATGTTGCTGTGTAAATTATCCTCAGATCCTGACACCCCCCCCTGCCCTGCTCGCCCCGAATGGAGTACGAAGTCGGCTCTGGATGTGCCGCAGCGACTAGCAATGACAGACAGACTGACAGGGTACCAAGCTGCGGAAGCGGGTGCTGATTCAAGCCCCGGGTTCTTGTGTGTAAGATGAACAAACCTCCACGGGCACATACCTTGATTACTTCAAGCCACCTTTCTGGCCCAGCTTCTCTCTTGCCCTCGTCGCTCGGCCTCATATTTTCTTGCACGATACGAGCGCCCAACGATCCACCTCACGATACCGACCGACCGACCGATACAGCCCCTCGCCATAATTCCACCTTCTGGACCCGGTCATCTTCGCTCTCGCCGCAGACCTTCCCAGCATCCATCCCTCCCCTGCCCGTACGGCGCCCAACTCTCTAGCAGCCTAGCTCGCCCGTGACCAAGACACATCAGCATTCCACTGCGCCGAATCGGGGCCACCGCTGCGACTCGCGCGCCTCGATGACGACATCAGTCTGAGTTTGTGCAGCTCTTCCGGCCATCATTGCGTCAAACGCGTCGCGACAGTGTTCACTAGCCAGACGTCGATTGCACACCTGGCGCCATTCTTCGCTGCGCTAAGCTGTCTAGACAATCTTCCGGTTATCAAAGAGCTACGCTAAACTCAGGACCAGCAGGAATCTCTCTCAAGAGTTAGTTGCTCTGGTACCGTGGTGTGCCAGTTGAGACGCCCGTTTCCACGCCTACACCAATGTCCATCTAACCATAGTAGCTAGATCCCCGCTCGCGTCGTCCACTGTCTCAACATCCAAACACACCCCTCACTTGCCGAAGCCGGTCGCTACAGGGCAGAGGACCTGCGAGACTGAGGTCTGGACGCCGCATACACCATGAACTCAAATCGCATTTCCTCCTACTTTCCTCAACAACCACCCCCCGCCACCATCTCTTCTGTTCCTTCCTCCTCTGGTGGCCCTTTACAATACAACGAAGATCAAGAGACACAACTCAACACGCTTGCCAACTCACATCCTGGTCATCAATTACATCACTTCCCGCAAGACGTCGACCATACTTCTTATGACTATACCAACAACGATAGCCTAGCCGTGCCATCAGCAACTTCTCGGGGCAAATTCACGGAAGAATGGGATGCCAGTCAGAGAGGGAGTAGTATCATAGACGGGCCGTCTTCCAACATGCCACGATCAAACTCGTTCGTCTCCAACGCAGGGGAGGATCACCTGAGCCTGCCCTCACGACACAATACCCTCAAGAAGAAGAATTCTTTGCGAAGAAATGGCAGCCTCAAGCGCAGTGGTAGTCGTCGAAGCATGAAGGCTGGGAGTGTCCGCAGCCTAGCCTTACAATCGACTTCAGACCCCGACGAAGCGCACAGCGCTTTTCACTGCCCCGTCCCGACGTCTGGTAATCCAACCGAGGCTCTGTCTAACAGATTTCAATGTAAGTCGCAGGGGTACTTCACCAGCTTGACAGGCGCGAAAGTTTTTGACCTTATCTATAGCTTGGCGCAAGATACTCAAGGATCTCATCGCATATTACCGCGAGATCCAGACTCACTACGAGCACAAGTCTAAGTCGCTCCTGAAGTTGGCCAATGTTGCCAACAATATTTCAACCCCGCCTGGCTTTCTCGAATCAGGGGGCATCGACGATGCCTTGCAAATTCTCCGCACTTATCACAAGGGTGCCATCCTAGAGTCGAATAAAGCCAAGGAAATTGAGGAGGATGTCATCTTGGCACTCACAGGTCTAAGGAGCGATCTGCACCAAAAGATCAAAGAGATCAAGAATCTTTCAGGTGATTTCAAGAATTCTGTTGAAAAAGAGATGGATGGGACAAGACGGGCTGTGAAGACATTGCAGGACACAATAGGTCAGAGTGATCTTGATCCTTCGTTGACGACTGGGAAGCAAGATCCTTACCTTCTACGTCTTGCTGTGGACCGACAAGTCGAGCGACAAATAGACGAGGAAAACTACCTTCACCAGGCGTATCTCAACCTCGAAAATTCAGGTCGCGAGCTGGAGTCTATCGTCGTCGGCGAAATTCAGAAAGCGTACAATGCGTACGCCGGCATCCTCAAGCGCGAGTCCGATGCAGCTTACAGCGCGATTGACGAGCTACGCATTGGGCCCATAACCATGCCCAAGGATCACGAATGGACATACTTCGTTCAAAAGGACGACCAATTTGTGGATCCGAACATCCCGATACGGTCCGCCGAGCACATCCATTATCCTGGCCGAGACCATGTCGCTTGCCAGGAGATACGTGCGGGACTTCTTGAGCGTAAGAGCAAGTATCTTAAGAGCTACACGGCTGGTTGGTAAGTCGCAAGTTCTGTTTGTAAGGTATCTGAAAATGAGATTGACAATGCCAGGTATGTACTGTCTCCGACTCACCTACATGAGTTCAAATCGGCGGATAAGGGCCAGGCCCCCGTCATGTCATTGTATCTTCCAGAACAGAAACTAGGATCCCATTCAAGCGAGGGAGGATCATCCAACAAGTTCATACTCAAGGGTCGCCAGACGGGTTCGATGCATCGCGGCCACACGTGGGTTTTCCGGGCCGAAAGCCACGACACAATGATGGCATGGTACGAGGACATCAAGGTACTCACCGAGCGTACGCCACAAGAACGAAGCGAGTTTGTGCGAGGACATGTGCGGAGCTTAAGCCAGTCTTCCCATCGGTCAACCAGTAGTGACGGTGTTCTCGACGACGATGATGACGAACCGTTTTCGGCCGATACAGCAGTCGCAGCCAGCACGAGTTCGAGGCAGGACTTGCGCCGTCCCGAAGCAGGTGGGCGGTTTCCATCCGACATCCAGGTCAACGCGCAGCGAGGCTTACAGGCACCTCTTTCGCCATCTAGTGTGAGCTCGGGATTTGATAACTGGGACAGAGACGCGGCTGCGCAGCCGTCGGCTTTGCCTGGCGGCATGTTGGGCACCGTCCATTTAAACGGATATGGGGGCACAGCACGGACTCCCATGGAACAGACGCCATCCAATGCGGCCTTGGTCAGTCAACAAGCAAAGGAAGATGGGGTTAACCCGTACACCAATGAGCCTCTGCGCCGCTCTCAGTCTTTGCACAAGGATTCCCAGGCAGCATACCTGTATGCTACAGGCATGCAGAGGGCACACAGCCAGCAAGCTGCACCAACCAGACCCGAGGAAGATGTTCAGCGAACGTCGTCTATAGATCATGACCGCGGACTCGAAACACCAGGTGGCAACAGCCAGTACGGCCAATGGATGAATGGAAACACAAAGTCGAGTCAGGTTACTTCCAGCACCGACAACCAACGGCAAGATGCGAGCGATTGTTCCGTATCAGCTAAACCAGGCAACGATGATATCAACGTGGCTGCGGCGGCAGCAAGCACGAGTGCTTCGCGCGGTTTGAATAACATACACACGCAGCAAAGCGGTACCTCGAGTGGAACACCCAATCCCAGAAATCAGGATCTTTTCCGCCAAACGCTGTCCGCTCCTAGGCCGACGGCTGGCACTACAAGGAATGATAGCGTCCCGACGATTTCCAATTTACATATTCCAGGAGAATACCCCAAGGGCGGGTCGACTGCTGTTGATGCCAGACGCTAGTTGCGTTCATTAGAAGGGGTGTGTCGCAACGAAGGAGGAGAGTATCGGCAACAAGTTGGGTATGGACCTACCAAGAGACGTTCGTTCTTCAGACATTCCTGATCCCCAATTGGTTCCTCTATTTTTTTCTATCATTATTGTATCTTCTCCTTTCCCTGTCAAAGACGTGGCAGAATATGCTTGCGGGAAGCAAATTGCTACAGAACAATATCACGGGCCGTGATGCATTCGTTGTTTGAATTCCATTCATAGCTCGCCTCACTCGCAAATAAGTCGTCAGCTAGTCTGCCTCTCTCATCTAGCCTTTGCTGTTCCGGAACATCCGAACCCCCGAATCCTGTACCCGCGGTAGACTAAGTGCTTCTATTTGACGAGTATTGGAACAACAAAGCAGACGCGAGTAGCGTACCAAGACCCCCAAGCCCAATACCACAGTATTGTGCCCCGCGGTACCCAGACAGTACATCTAATTTGATCTCGTTGACCTGTGTTTCGACCGTTCTCGCCATTCCCAAAGCAATAGACATACTGTAAGCAAGTACAGATAACACCAGGCCCCCTATAACCCTCCGATAGTCCTCCGGAAGACTATTTCTCAGCAGTATCGTTGCGAGTGGCCCCGCCATGACGATCCCAAGTGGGAGAAGCAGTGTGCTCACGAATATATTTGCCCAGTACGTCTGATCCAAGGGTGCCGTTGCCACGAGTACAGACGCCGACGTGAACCCGATGAAGGACACGAGAAAGGCCCAGTACACCTCTATGCCCGGTGTCAGATACGCCAGAAGAAAAGCCACGGCCAAACTCTCCACCGCCATCGGTACAACTGCAGCGCTTGCCACAAGGCAGTCCCAATCTCGTACTGCTTGCATGATCTGGAAAAGATAGAATGCCCAAACAACGAAGCATCCCCAACCAGCTGCGACACAGGCCAGCACAAGATTTGTCGACGAATTCATCACCCGCAAAGGCACGAGAGGGTTCGCGACGACAGTCTCATTGTACACGAAAGCCGCAAGCAATAAGACCCCGATGATGAGAAGAAAGTAAATGTGGGGGGTGCGCCAACCGACCGCTGGTGCCTGATTCCATGCGAAACTGAAAAGGGCCAGTCCAAGAGCACTCAGGATGATACCCGTGAAGTCGAGTTTCACCCAAATGTCATTAATACAACACTCTTTGCGAGGATCTTGTTGTGGAAGAATAAGAACGCTTAGCCCCGCGGCTGAAAAGCAGACGGCCGCGAGCACAAAAAAGCACCATTCCCAAGCGAAGTTGACGGCGAAGACAGAAGACATCACAGATCCGATAACGAAGCCGAGGGGCGCGCCGGAACTGTAGAGCGAGAGTGCCGTGTCCTTCCTTTGGCCAGGCGGGAAAGAAGCCTCCAGGATAGAGAAACCGTTCGGAACGCTCAGCGCTGGACCGATACCCTGCATAGCACGGCAGACGCAGAAAAACGTGGCGCCGTTATAACCGCCATTGTGGACAGTCTGAGAAAATCCGGCGAGAAGGCTCCAGAAGGCGTACCATAGGCATCCGCATATCAGAATTCGCTTGTGACCAAAGACTTCTCCTAGTCGGACCGAAGGTATAGTAAACACGCCCAGGGTAAGGACGAAGCCTGCAGTAAACCAGGAATGCTGGCCCTCCGACAAGTTCGTGAGTGAGTTAGCGATTTCAAGCGCAGGAGCGATGCCCTGGGAGAGGCCAGCGAACATAAGAATCTGATGAAGGCTAGTGACACCCAGTAGCGAAAACTCCTGGGAAAACCCCTGGGCAGATACGGGTCGTTTCTCCAATAGGTTTTGTTCTTGGTACAGATAGCCTCTACTTGCGCACGGAAGGTCATCTTCAACAGCGTTTGTCTGCATTACGGCCAAGAGGCAATCGTTCCGGCAGTTGGCCGCAGGAATCGTGTCGATCGCGTGCCTGCTGCGTTGAGTAATGACAATCTTCCGTGCTGCTTCGAACAGATCAGGGTATTCTGACGGGTGTGCCAAGGCCTCGGGAGCTAGCCTCCTGCACAATCCCAAACCATGCGCCGTGATGTCCCTTGTAGAGGGGGGAGCTCGCAAATGTTCTCTCGCATGTGCTCGCAGACTTTGCGAAGCCAACAGTGGATGACTAGAGAGGGCCTCAGGCGTGGTGCCTGATGCGAGTGACGCAACTGCTGCGTTGTGGGTTGAGCTAGGTGATCCTGGTGACGTTGATGATATTGGTGATATTGTTGACGTTGGTGACGTTGGTTCGTCGCGTGGGGGAGTATATGATGAGGAAGTCGTGCTCGGCCTGAATGTACGTGATTGTGTTCCGCTCAGATCATTGTCAACCATAGAGAAGACAATGTCTGCAACCGATGCTCGCAAATCCGAATCTCCAGCCTCTTCGTGGCGAGAGACGTTATTGCTGGGGTGTTGTTCGTCTCGGAACTGCTGTCTGAAGGACTCTGTTACAGCTATCATAACATCGGCTACCCTTTGCATTGCTTCGGTAGCTCTTCGTGTCTCCCATACTGTTGTCGGAGTCTGGATGAAATCTGATGATGTGGGCGGTGTTGCCATATCCGTTTTTGTCGTGCAAATTCATAGGGAAGCTTCCCGTTGCTAGTATGAAATAGTATTTGAATGCGGGTTGGTGCTGGTCAAGAAGACGTGAGCATTGTGCTTTCACGCCAGAAGGAGACGGGTAGGTAGGTCCAGAGAAGAAGTCCGTGAGCTGTAGTTGAGAAAGTGAGAAATCCAACAAGCGACTCCAATACGTTCAACGTACGACTGGGTTCGCTACCCAATCCAGGTTGGAAGGATGAGCGAAAATGACAGGGCGAAGGCCATGGAGACCTTCCAGGCTCCCGTTCTATCGATTTGCCGCGTGTAATCTAGCTAAGCAAACAGTTCCCATCCTTTAGCAATATGCTGTGGCTCGTGGCCCAGGACGTCACGGTCCCCCATGCAAGTTGATGCCAGAACTTCATCCGTGGAAAAGTGTCCAGGTTATTAGCGCTATGCTGCTACCGACAAACACTCTCTCTCATCTGATGTTTGCTCGTTAGTTCCGCTGAATTTTGGGAAGCTTCCGTCAGGTTTCGGGATACATAGCTTCAGATGAACAGCCCCAACTGAGGGCTAGGGGGCGTCGCCGACAACCCTGTCGGCATTAGCTCCGTGGTTAGCTCGAGTACTTTGAGGCCTTGGGATCAGAACCACACGGCCAGGATGAGGCTGAAGCGAGTAGGATGACGGAGTTTTGCAACTCATTCTCCACAGCAGTAACCCGCGCCACCAGCAAGATCCTTCGCCTTTGCCCAACACTGATCTTTGCTATTTCCCCCCACAATGTCTGCCGTCTTGGAGCTTTCGGTGCTGCGAAGAAGGTCCCAGGTTAGCGGGAGCTTAGAGGCAAGAGGCGCCTGACTCAGAAAAACGCATGGATAAGAACTTGATAAAAAGAGACTAAAAGGTCAAGCGACAATCAAAATGCGGTTTGTTGACTCGGCGCAAGGCATTGTAGGTTGTATACCTAGCTGACGTCTAATGTGGGTAGGTAGACGGTCCCATAGGCTGCGATGATGTTGGTGCTGTGATAAAAATGGAAACAGGCTTCCGTCGAGAGGCCCTGGTCGGTCTCGCGCTTGCGCCTCGTTCCCACGTCAGCTCACCTCGCGTCCACCCAACCTCAAATCAAAGGCAGATAGAAAGACACGCAGTCTTCCAGAGCACTTCTCAAACTATTATCAAATATTTCAAAACTTACTGGAATGTGCCATGCCAACAAATCATGCTCGCAATGAAGACCTCTGTTCTTTTTTTTTCGGGTAACCATAGTAGATGATGTACATGCAGCCTTGAGCCCCTTTCACCAGGACTGATGCCAAAGCAAAGCAAACCAGAACGCCAGAGTCGTAGTCCAACAGAAGAAAACCTCCCCCTCTCAGAGCTTCGCACTTGGACACAAGGCTACCGTCCTCTGCTAAAGCCTCCGCGGCCACGACCACCGCTGAAGCCACCGCCGCCTCTCGGTGTGCCTCCCCGGCCGCCGAAACCACCGCCTCCGCGTCCGCCGAAGCCGCTGCCGCCGCGTCCACCTCTTGCGGGGCCTCCACGTCCTCTGCCACCGCCACGCCCGCCGAAGCCAGGACCGCCGCGACCACCCCTGCCGCCAGCACCACCACGGCCTGCACGCTTCAACTTGGGAGCACCAGGGGGGGGCTTCGGCTTAGGAAGGAACTTGTCCAACGGAAGAAGCTTCTCGGAACCGATGTAGAACTTGTCGCCCTCCTTGAAAGAGGTAGCCTGGATACCCTCAGAGGGCTTGATAGTAAAGTAGACCTGGTTGATGGGACCGAGAACCTCGTCCACCTTGCCGACAGCAGTCTGTATTCTTGTTATTCTTGCGGCTCACATCGATGAAGGTATTTGGCGCGTCGATCCTACCTTGTTCTCGAGGAAAATCTGGGCGTTGAAGTGAGGAACCTTGGGGTTGATGCTCTCGCAGACCATCTCGCCCTCACACGCGTGCATGAACTTGCCCATCTCTGTGAACAAAAACGGTCAGTTGGGCAATTGCTTCTAGGGGAGGTTTCGAGTCGTTGCTCGATATTCACATACCGAGAATCGTCGCGGGCGGGCCCATGTCTCTTTGTCCGAATCCACCTCGGCCTATTTATCATCATGTTAGCTGTTGATGCGAGAGCGCTTCACCAAGTCTTGACTTTGCAGGGGATACAGCGGTAACTTGAAGAACAATGATGAATTGAAGTAAATGAAAACTTACCGCCTCCTCCACGGCCACCAAAACCACCACCGCCGCGGCCACGCGGAGCTCCTCGTCCAAACGACATAATGATGGTGGATTGGCTGTAATGTGGGAGCTGCTCGTACTGCTGCTCTTTGCTGCTGCTTGGGGAAAAAACGATGCCTCTGGCGCGCCGACAGAAAATTTCCAGCGACCCAATAGTGGTGCATGCCCAATCGAGCTTTCTCATTGGCTAAATCTGGCGGAGCGGAATATCCTCAGCCGACACACCCCGCCAAAATTCCCTGGTCTCCACCATAGTGGGACAGATATGGGCTGGCAGCAGTTCACAGTTTGTACAAGCAAGTGAGCAATTGTGGTCCGGGACACAGCGCCTCAAAAAGTCACCCGAACCCTTGTTTGACTCACCATAGAGCTTTGGCGGGGTGACTGGCTGTTTCGCCCAAAATTATCGCCCAAAATCGTGGCTTCGTGTCTGGCCGATCTCACCTATCCGCACCACCAAATCCCTTCAATTGGACGAAACCATGGATTCCGCGAAGCAGGCTGTCGATGCTGTTGCTGAGGGCGTCAAGAAAGTCGCTCTCGGCAGCGCCAACAAAGACAAAGCCCCTAAGAAGGAGAAAAAGGCGAAGAACGCTGGCGATGCGTCGGCGGGGCCCCTTGAGCTCAACCCCCCTCCCAAGTTCTTGCAGCAGCGACTTGATCTTTTTGACAAGTTGAAGAAGGAATATGACGAAGAGCTCGCCAAGAGGCCTCGTGAGCCCATCACCATTACAATGCCCGACGGTTCTGCCCGCCAGGGAACGAGCTACGAGACTACCCCCGGCGAGATAGCCAAAAGCATCTCCAACAGTCTGTACAAGAGAACAGTCGTCGCGAGACTCGATGGCGATGAGAACCAACTGTGGGACTTGGACCGACCCTTGGAGAAGAGCTGCAAGCTCGAGTTGTTGTCTTTTGAGGACGAGCAGGGCAAGCAAGTATTTTGGCACAGCTCGGCGCACATCCTCGGTGAGGCCTGTGAGAGGAGATTCGGATGTTCTCTTTGCATCGGCCCCCCGGTAGATAACGGCTTCTACTACGAGATGGCGCTTCCCGACGGCGCTGCTGTCCAAGCAAGCGACTGGAAGCCCCTTGAGTCCATCGTCGGATCGATCGTCAAGGAGAAGCAGAAATTCGAGCGCCTGGAGATGACGAAGGACCAGCTTCTTGAGATGTTCAGCTACAACAAGTACAAGCAGCACATCATCAACGACAAAATCCCTGACGGTACCAAGACTACAGTCTACCGGAACGGACCTTTGATCGACCTTTGCCGTGGACCCCATGTACCCAGCACCGAACGCATCGAGGCATTTAGCATCATGAAGAATAGTGCCTCTTATTTCCTCGGCTCACAAGAGAATGACTCTCTCCAGAGAGTCTACGGTGTCAGCTTTCCCAGCAAGAAGGAGCTGGCTGCTCACAAGAAATGGCTTGAGGAGGCCGCCGCCCGTGATCACCGCAAGATTGGGCAAGACCAGCAACTTTTCTTCTTCCACGAGCTCTCCCCAGGCAGTGCCATGTGGCTTCCGCATGGAGCCCGCATCTACAACACCCTGCTGGCCTACATCAAGGAGCAATACTTTAAGCGCGACTACCATGAGGTTATCTCCCCTAACATGTATAACGCAGACCTGTGGAAGATCAGCGGCCACTGGGATCACTACAAGGATGACATGTTTGTTCTGGAGGTCGATAAGGAGAAGTTCGGTCTCAAGCCCATGAACTGCCCAGGCCATTGTCTCATGTTTGCCCATACCCCCAAGGCCTACCACCAGTTGCCGTGGCGAGTCGCCGACTTTGGGGGTGAGTTTACTACAAGCTCTGTCTTCAAACGTATCGCATGCTGACTATTGCCTGTATAGTCCTTCATCGTAACGAAGCAAGCGGTGCTCTGTCCGGTCTTACCCGTGTTCGCAGATTTCAGCAGGATGACGCACACATCTTCTGCAGGGAGGACCAGATCAAACAGGAGATTAGCGGCCTATTTGACTTCCTTAGCGAGATGTATGGCTTGCTGGGCTTTTCCTTCAAGCTCCGACTGTCTACTCGCCCAGAGAAGTACATGGGTGAGCTTGAGACCTGGAACAGAGCGGAAGGCATGCTTAAGCAGGCTCTGGACGAGTTCGCGGCTTCGACGGGCGGTAGGAATTCAAGGACCCAATCTTTTCAAATGAACGCTAACTCTGCCGAAAGGTGTGCCCTGGACTCTGAACGAGGGTGATGGAGCCTTTTACGGTCCCAAGATCGATATCAAGATCTTAGATGTTCTGAACAGAGTAAGTATAGCTAATACCTGGCTGTAGTAATGAGTACTGATGGCACCAGGAATGGCAATGCGCCACGATTCAACTCGACTTTCAGCTCCCACAGAGTATGCAGTATCTGTTCAAGTGTGAGATGGGTGGGAGAAGCTGACCTAGGGTAGATTTCGGATTGGAATATGTTTCGGCGGATGTTCCCATCAAGCCCAAAGATGATGAAGCTGCCACCGCTCCCAAGGCCCCTGAGGTCAAGATGAAGGACGCCCAGGCCGTCGTCGACTCTGCAGCTGGGACGGGCGAAGATGATAAGAAGAAGCGGGTCACCAAGCCCCTGACCACCGGATGTCAGCGTCCTGTCATCATTCATCGTGCCATGGCTGGCTCTATTGAGAGATTCACAGGTAAGTCCGCATGTGCATGCTCCCGGGGGAACAGTAACTCAGCGTCTTGCGTTAGGTATCCTTATCGAGCACTTTGCCGGAAAATGGCCTTTCTGGCTCAGCCCTAGACAAATCATGGTTATTCCAGTCGGCAAGGGCTTTGTCGAATATGCTGAGGAAGTTCAGTCCATCTTCAAGAAACAGGGCATGTGGTGGTACGTTTGGTCTCCGGTATTGAGACGTTCCTAGAGGGAAGAAGACTGACAGAACCAACTAGTGACGTCGACTTGACCGGAAACACGCTGCCCAAGAAGATTCGCAGTGCTCAGTTAAGGTATGTCATCTAGATTTGATCGGCGTCTCCTCGGAGTTGCTTACTAACCTTGGTAGCCAATACAACTTCATTTTCGTCGTCGGCGACGAGGAGATGAAGGGTAGACAGGTCAACGTCCGATACCGTGACGATACCTCCAGCCAAGACCGTGGCAAGCCTGTGCCATTGGACGAGGCTATCGAAAAGCTTAAGAAGCTTGGTGAGGAGCGCGGCACCTACAACCCTTTCCCTTCGGCCGCCAAGCCTGCATCCAAGGAAGCATAAGCATGAGTTCATGAGATGCGATATTGATGAGCAGGAGCATTCACGGCGAAGCACGCTACAAAGATCCACGTAGGGTTTAGATTAGGAGGATGGCTGATATCGGTGATTACGGGAAGGGGGAAAAGTTTCGAGACACGGTGACACTTGCAACAATTAAATAGGCGTAGAGGGAATGGGTATCATGCATATTTTTCATGTGCGCGTGTGCTGAGATGTATCTCTGTAAGCTGCGACAGGCTTTCAACCGTTGGTTTACCTATCCAGCCCAGCCTCTGCCCATCCTACTAAATCTGCCAGTCCGCTTATCGAAAGCTGTATCCTTGCTCGTCAACAAACTCCTGGTGGCGGCTCATGATCGCTTCCGTACACAACATTCGTATGCTGGTAAGGTCATTACCATTTCCCTGGAAGCCAAGCCCCCAAAGCAACGATTTGGTTTGTCCTACAACGGTTAAGTAGCTCATCAATTCCTTGCCGAGTGGCGTGGTTTAAGGCTTCGGAATGTGAATGCTCTTGCTTGTCATCATGCATCCGTGCAGGACGAACACGAGGGCGATTGGGTGGAATTCGAGCGGTGACCCGGCGAACCACGTACCAAAGGGCAAGTCCCCCAGTATCCATCTCTGTGAGATGAAGTAGGCCATGACTGCGTCTAGGCCCAGGCTCGTAGGGATCGGCGTACCCTCAAAATACTTGCTCTTGCCGGTAGCATCCTTGGGGAGGACCGAGACAGTGACGTTAAAGCGAGCAAGGCGAGTGAGACCGCAAAGAACGAAGAAGGTAAGGCAAGCATGGTCCACAACGGTACGCAGGCCGAGTGCGAAGGCCACGGAAGCGGGAGCCACGCCGAATGATATCTATGAAAGTTAGCCTGGTCATACTATCTTCAAATAGGTTTAAGTAGTCAACGGGTTCAGGTGACTTGTTGTCCAGATACATACCAAATCAGCCAGCGAATCAAGCTCCTGACCCATCATACTGCTCTTCTTTCTCCATCGCGCAACCTTTCCATCCATGAAATCAAAGAATAAACCGAATGGCAAGAAGAAAAGGGCGAGGTACAGAGTGCTAGTAGATGCGGGATCGCCGAGACAGTAACGGAGGGAGGTGAAAATCGACATAACGCCGCAGGCACCTAGGAAGGCAAGCCATCAGCTTTCTTCTCCGGCAGTATCTTCGACACGTACAGCGAGGGGTACCAGCAGAGAAAGGACATGTTGTCTGTCAGAGGGAGGAGTATGTGCACGCACCATTGCACAGTGTAATGACATCCGCAAGGTGAAGTGCTCGAATCAAGGAGAAATGGCCCGTGTCGGCGGATAAGAGGAGTTTCTGCTTGTCGTATGCTGTCGGTCAAGTTCTGGTCAGCTTCTCGGTCTGAAATATGCACCGAATGCTCTGAAGTGGGCGGTGACGCACCCGGCTCGTTGAAGCTGCCGGCATCCTTGGCTGCGCTCCCGTTCGTCACGGCGCTGCTTGTTCGCTTTGACATGATGAGGTGTATGCTTCAGCAGTAGGTACGATGCTTGTGGACCTGGCAAAGATGCGAGGGGCGACGTAGCTGCTGCTTTTGTGGCAGTTTTTTTCTATTTCGTCTCAGTGGGGGTTGATATGGCTCCGTTGGTGGGTGGAAGAGACCGAAGGCGAACGATGGCAGGAAACGAGGGGAACGGCCTTTTTGTATGTGAGGTTTTCGTTGAGCTCCAATGCGGGTGCTGGTGTAGAGCGAAGTAGCTGCGAGTAGGGATGCGTGTCTGTAGGAGCAGGTCACACTCTTCCGCCTCAGAAAGCCAACAAGGATAGCCGGGAGAAGCACATGCCGTCATAGCCCTGTCCGTTCTAGACTTGAAAGTGCCTAGCGGTAGCTTCGGCTAGTGCACGTGATCGCCTTGCTTTGGGGTTTGTACAGAGTACGTACTCTGTCTGTATTGAGCATGTCGGGTGTTTAGTGTTACACTGTCGGGGCATCTACCTTATCGGAGCCCACACTGCAGCCAAACGGTCTGCCTCACTTAATAGGTAATCTGACATCAGTCTAGGTTGATGTAGGGTCAGAAGAATATTCGCCTGCCTTCTCCATGGGACAGCCTGTTTTTCCTGCGTAGCGACGGCGATGACATTAGCGTAGAGTATATGACTACGGGAAAAGTAATCGCCTCAGCACAGGAGGAACAGGCGGCCTCTTCTGCACTGGTTCTACCGTTTCATCACGTAGTCTGGTCTGGATTTCGAGGCTCCATCTAGAGGAAGATCCACTAGAGGTCTTTACCAGGGTTTCCTTAATATGTTTTTTTCTTTCTTTTATTTGGATTGAGCCGATTTTGCAGAAGTATTCAGCTACGCAAGAATCACCTGTGAGGTCATACCCACCCGCCATTTTTATACAATAAGCCCAGGCGAATTAGCAGTACCGACGCCACTGAATATGGACAACGTTCTCCGATGTTGTTCATATTTGTGGATACACTTACAGCAGAACAGAGCACCTCCACTCCATTGTAAACCCATTTGTCGTGGCGTAATTAATAGACATTTACCACCGTACTGAATCTCCCACCATGTTCAGTGCGCTGCATGTGCTCGATATGTATCCTGATCCTCAAGCCCCTGGTGTTTGATGCCCCAATAATACAAAACAATGCTCTGGTTCGATGTGTTACTCCAGAATAACGGTATCAAAGGCGCAAGCATAGCAAGTGACACGCCGGCTCCTAGAATTTCTTCAGGTAGATGATGGCGTCCAAGCTTATGCCCCCCTCTTGCCTCTCGTGCATTACTATTAAACTTCCTGAGACAGACTTTTGACCCTCATCGAACAATGAGAATCGAAAATCCATCAACCCAAGGGCCGCACGAGCCAGCTACGCCGCAGATAGTGTATCCCCTTGGAGGTATCAAAGTATGTCTAGTAATTCGGTCAACCAATGTCGACGGTGAAGTTGCTCTTGTCACTACTTACGCTGAACCCCCATGCGCATTGCCAAATATGGGCGATCTTCGACCCAGGCTGGTAAGCACTTGGATAGCATCAATCCAGTGACCCGAACGAACGAAGAAGCCTGAAATGTATTCGCCTCGACGGATGTCTGTCGCGTCACAAGTCAGTTTATTTTGCGGAAGAAACATTGCTGAGGCTGGTTAAAACGAGGGGCATCAGCTTACCCAAGTCGAAGGTATCGCCGCCTTCTTTGCCCCCTCTCTTGCCAAAAAGCTGGGTGGTATCATCGTCATACACGAATTCTATACCGTCAACCGCGTATCCGTGGTAGAAGATAATGCGAGATAGGATCCTGTTCTGTTTAACGGCGCTCTCAAACACAACTTCTTGCGCGACGCTTTCCTGCATGGATGAGAGCCCTAAAGCCTTTCCTCGGTAAGCCGTTTTGCCAAGGGGACCAGGAGTCAGCTTGAAGGAGGACTCCTTGGAGCATAGCTTCTTGAGGTCGTCAACGTCCAAGCTGCCGCCTCCATGGGATTTGACCGAAATTCTGAGCCGTCCTTTCCGCTTGCTTTCTGGGAGCCTCTCCCGCAGCTCCTGATCGCTCAGCGTCAATTGGCGTTGCACAGAGCCAGTCTCAGCTGGGTACTCGATCCAAGACCGACAAACGTCATCGTCTTCAGCAAATAGCTCTATGAAAGCTACCCCGGTCGGCGCCATGACAACCATCTTCCCACCCTCGACAGGGAAGGCATGTACGCTGTCATCTGGGTTCATAGGTGGGTCGTTGGGCAACCTGAAGCACGGATGGGCGCGGAAGCGCAAGCAATCCAATCGATGCCAACCGCATTCGTCGTCTTGACCGACCAAACCACCCTTGGACTTCGTTCTGGTACAAAAGGCCTCGCGAGCTACGAAGCTGCGGTTGAGTGTCAAGTAGTCGCGCAGCATGACGCCACTTTCCTGATGAGGGCACCCGAAGAGATGGCCCGTCTCGTGTAAATGCGCGCCAATCCCGATGCTGGCTGCCTCCCAGGAACTGCCAGCTTGACCGCAATCGTTGGCAACAAAGTCCACATCAGTCGGAGTGCAATCCGTGAACGCGGGGACTACTTCTTCAAAACTCGCGGGGTAGCTCTGCAGGCAATGCGAGCCAAAAATAGCCAGTTGTAGATCACCAGCATTTCCGCCGAGCGCCGCGTGTCCCCTGACCACGTTGGCTTCCTTGTCCCACTGCGTATCAAGAATCAGCACGGAAACGTACTGCTTCTGACCGCCTAGTGGTTTGAAATGTTGCTTCACGGCTTCAGCGGCGATTCCGTACAAGTCTCCCTTCTTGGTCGCCTTTTCGTTCTGCTGCGCCAGCTCCAAGTCTCGAATTTCTGCGACAGTCTTATCCGACCTGATGATGTGGACCCTCGCTTCCGAGCGCAGCGTTCCGTTCTCACGATCCCGTTGATTAGAGGTACCAGTGACCCATTCCTCCTCAAACCTGAAGGCACGACGCCCAAGCTTATTGCGCCACATCTGCTCAGCGGTGAAAGCCTGCCAAAGGTATGCGGCCATGCGGAATTTGCGCACTGCCATGTCCAATTCGTTGCCCTCGCGCTCGATTCGGGCGGGAACCGCATCGAAAACTTCAGCAGAATCCTTGGCGACGAGAATTGCGAGCTGTAAGGGTGGTGCACTGTTGGCTGGAAGCATATGGATTGTGAGGTATGATGCATGTATGGGGTTTGAAGAGCTGCTGTTGGGCAGTTTTGGACTGGAGAAGTCGAATCGGATCTTGTTCGGTCCTGGCTGCAGATAAACCAGCGCCTTAAACTGAGAGTCGCACACGGGCCAAAATGTTGGCGGGAAGTTGTCGTCGAGTCGTGTTACGGAGAGGGTGCCGTCCACAGGTTGCTGAGAGGGCTCGCCAATGGTGCCGTGGACGAGAAGCACCTTTTGATAAACCTTGCCTGTTGTCAGCAGAGCGTTCTGAAGCTGGAAATGCAGCTAAGAGGTTGACAGCGGTTACGACCGCCTGTGGCGAGCTGTCTGATCGAGGACGCCATCCGGACATAGACTCGGGGGATGCAGGTTGCACAAGGCGGAGGGCACGTCCCTCATGAGGGTGTCAAATTACTTACCCAGGCATTTTCGGCGACATTGGCGATCCGGGGCGCGTATTGGGAGACAGGCAATGTGGACTTGCCCGTGACCACGGGAGAGCCCAAGCCCGCCATACCGGAGACGCTGTTTCTGTGAGAGTTGCTGACGGGCTGTAGCGGAGGGCGAGCGAGAGGCTGATTGGAGTCCTTCACTTGAAGATTCAGAGCGGGATCAGAGGCATGGGCGAGTGATGGTGGCGTTGAGGCGCCGCTCGTGGGTGTCGGGGTATTTCCTTGGCTAGCATCACTGGAAACGTCTGTGTTGGATCGGTCGGTTTTGAAGCTGGCCTTAGAACGACGACGCAGCGCTCGGAAATTGAGGATTGACGGGGCCATGGTGAGGGCAACAACTGCCCTCCGAGGAAGAAGGGATTTCGACCGCGGGAGAGCGATTTAGCGAGAGGCTTTTGACATGCGTGGCAGAAGAGACAACAAGATGCCAACGGATCCGGGCGCAGGTACGTTATGGTGCGCGAGGAAGTGGAGGATCGAGCTCTGGCCTATCTGGAAATTGGCGTTAAGGGGTGGAAAACGAGCCCGGATGGAGGAGGGAGGAGGAAGGGGCGGAGGGTCGGGTCGGGTCACTGATCAGCGCTCGACATGGACGTCTGCAGTCGTAAGTAAAGTAAGATGAAGAGGTGTCGGTTGGAAGGTGAGGGCAGGATGTACGAGTGAAGCAGTCGAATCAAAATAGAGGGATTGACAGGTAAAGTGGGAGGACAGGAATCGAATTGATGTGCAGGGAAGCCGCATGTACGCCCGCTCAGAAGAAGGGCAAGGTCCCAGGTTGGCGAAGACACTGGACGAGGTAAAGACCGGATAAGTTTCGGGGAGGGGCAAAGCGCAAGTGGTAGGATGGAGAAGGGATGAAGAATCAAGGCCAAGGTGAAGGAAGCATGGAAGGTCAATCGATTCCGCCATCCACGGGAATTGAGACTGAACGGGACGGGAGCGAAAGGGAAACGAACGTGCAGGCGCAGAGCGAAAGTGCAGGCGCCAATGCCAGAGCAAGTCCAGGTCCGGGTCCGGGTCTAGTCCCACGTCTACTTTGACCCAAGTCCCGGTTTGGCATGTCTGGGTTCCATCCACGTATCTCTTCCCTGCAGGCGCAGTAGTAGTGTCCCGTTCAAAATAATCAAGCAGGGTAATTTACGAAGGTGGGAAAAAAAAGGAGCAGGACCTACCTGGTCGGCAGACGCACGCACGGCTGCAACTGATCGATGACGTCGCCATGTTTCGATGTGGGAAACACACACTTGAGATTGCAACCACACAACCTCCTTGCCGGCCCAAAACAACAGGCGGGAAACAGAGTACATAGGAGGCAGACGCAAAGATAAGGCACCCAGACACGGCATGCGTCCGATGAATTTGGGATAGCAGTAGATGGATGAAGATGGAGCAAAGGAATCCCCCTTTTGCACGCTCAAATAGAGCGCTGTGAGACGGCGACTTCACTCAACTTGGCCCGTCAAGACAGGCTGGTGGATGGTGACTTGCGGATACAAATGTACGTCCGCACCTGCACCTGCACCAGTAGCACTGCCCAGTGCATCAGCCAGCACCCGCACATGCACCTGGGCGATCGGCCACTGAGGGCGGATACCTTCCTTACCTACCTTAAGGTACGTATTTTTATTTTTTATTTTTTTGGTCCCTACCATCCCCTGATACCTAAATAACAGCACACCGAACACCTACCTAAGCAGCACAAAACCGACCAACATGAATGGACAAGCACGAACCTGTGGGACGAAGGTTACACTAGCCTAGATAATTAGCAAGAAACTAGAATTGGGGATTGAAGACGGGGCAGACGATCAAATGGCATGAAGAAGAAATGTTGTTGGATGGCTATTTTGGCAGGTCAAGAGTTTGCTCCGGAATCCAGTCCGTATCGACCGACGTTCGTTTGCCGTACTACAACAACGACTTTTCAAGCTTGCACCAGTTCACATCACTTGTGAAGGGATGTGGGGGTTTGTGTCCAGAACACTCACATTGCACTAACCAATGAGCGGCTGCTGCTGCCCAGGTAAGAGAAGGGTACCTGAAGTTGAAGTTGGGTGAGCTTAGCTCGAAACGCAAGGTGAGGTCGACCGTCGAGGGACAGTAGGCTTTGTGTGTTGAGTGTGATTCACGAAATCGGCATTACCTGGACTTACTTGTTGAAACTGTCGTGATTAATCTACCAGTTTTCCAAATCCGGGGCGTTGGCACTTCGCGATCAGGTATCCGTATAAGTAGAGTGTCACAGCGTTTAAGAAATGGAGAATCCCAAGAACACTACCCAGCCTCAGTGTTGTTGCCACAGGTCGTGGAGCAGCTGTCCAGGAGGAATGGCACAGCAGAAGCCAGTACAGAGCACAGGCGTCTGCTGGAAAGAGTGGCCGGCTAAGGTCCCATTGGATACCCTCCCTAACTAAGTGCGTAGGTTGGCTACGGGTGGACGGCACGGGATAGGGAAACGACGCGTTTGCTCTGATCGAGATCAGAGCATGGCGGGCACAACAACCACACCAATCAACATCCCGACCTCTATCTGTATGTAAGTAGGTACTTCCGGGGGCCGACTGGCCGATGTGCCTCAGCCCGAGGTGGTTCTGCAAACCAAGTTTGTTCCAACAGAGACTAACAGATACAAAGGTGGGTCGATGCGGCAAGCAGAGAGTTGCGCCAGAACAGCTACGGATACGTCGATGGCTTTCGAGCTGGGCTGTTATTTTTGGCCGATGATCAATTGGTAATGGAAGGATCCACCGAATTGTCCTTTTTGCGGACTCCCTCTCCATAGGTTACACGCGTACTACGCAGTACTACTGGAGTCCAGACGCCGGGGAGATGGCAGTGAAAGCTGAATTATTCAAATCGTCATTTGCAAGCAGCCGCGAATGAGTGATTACTTAGTTGCTTGACTACAGAGGACCCCGCCCTCTCAATGCCCATGCCAACCGCGGTTCCCATGAAGCAACTCCCTGTGTTGTGCATTAATCTATTCGCAATTTTGCCAGCGCTCGCGTGAAGCGATGGATACACAGTGGCGATGAGGAGCCACAATCAATACTCAAGATATGTTGACCAGATGAGCAACGATGCAATTGCCGACGTCGAATCGGTGCAAAAGAGCCCTGCCGGCGTCAACCTAGCATTTCTGAACCAGTGGATGGCGAGCCAACGGGAATTACAGGGGTCTTAATTGATTCTACTCTTTTGAGCAGCGGGCGCGGAGGCCTTCAGACGCTATTCCTGCAAGCTTCGGCGTACACGTACGCAAATTGCTCTGCAGGCTGGTTTCCCATCAAGGCCATTCGAAGTTCCAATTCCCAAAGACAGAGGGGTAGCTGAGGTAAGAAGAAGTCCAGGTCTTCGAATAGAGATCAAGCGAGACAATGGAAACTTGCTTAGGAGGTCGGAGTTGAAGAGATAATAACATGCCAGGTGGTTGAAGGAGTATCTACATACTGACGGAGGCATTTAGGCAAATAGGGATTTTAATCTGAGGGGGCCTTATCCGTTCCTTCAGGTGCCTTACCTTCAGGTACCTTAGGTAGCACGGTAGTTACCTTACCTTACCTTGGGTGCCGTGGTGCCCAGGGTACGTGGGCACCTACGGCGACTGTACCTACGAACCTCATGGTACCTTATGGACGGGAAGGTCAGGTACTTATCCACCCCGGTACTGGCGCCGCTTGGTTTCCACGGGAATGAGCTGCGAATGGATGGAATTCTGCGCTCTCCTCCGCTGAGGTCGGGAGTCCCCTCCCCAACACTATCCCCTGCAACCAGGCGCCATTCAGCACGCACTGGACATCACTTCAGGAGTACAATCTCTTCCGTTCCATTTCGTCTTCACTCAACACCAGACACGTACCGCCGCAACCAACACCCAGCCAGACTCCAACTACAGCCCTCGAGTACTCTCTCGAAGTGCGATTGACTTCTTCATTTGAAGCCTCACCCCACAAACACACTAGGAACATAATCCTTCTCTTTCTATGTGACCATCCACACATTCCCTCGGGCAGAACATTCAAAGAGAGCATTTCGTCCAACCCCACCCTTTTTCTTTCCGTTGCTACGAATACAACCTGCCTGTCAGCAATTCTGTGCCCGACATTATCTGCCGAAGCACTCAACCGACGTCTCTACCACCATTGTACTTCGCCTTTGTCGCCCAGTCGGTCCGTTGGCCCATCCGTGTATGCCGTCCCCTCGAATCATGTCTTCTCCACGAAAGCAGCAACCAGATGAGGTCGCGGACAAGGTGCTGAAAAGAGCAGAAGTTAGCAAGGTAAGTAGGCAGCGCTTAGAAAAGCACAAGGGCAACTTTTGCTAACACTGAGTTCGCAACACAGATCGCTAGAAGGTTGCAAAATCGGCTTGCTCTTGCGCAATTCAAGACGAAGCATGGCTGGGAGGACCTCACACTCGACACGATCGAACCGAAATATGAGGAAGAGCTGCGCCGGAAGCGCATGTGCGAAAGCGACGTGCTGTCCGACTCTTCCTCCAGTGCTTCCGATCTGCCATATCCCACGAGGACCCTCATGAGCTCCCCTTTGAAGGCTCCTCTTTTTTCCGACGCCATAGGTTCGAGCAACGGAAGCACCGGCCATCGCAAGCGAACGTACAAGGCTTCTTTCGATTATCCCTCGTCCAGTCCCAGCAAACGCTATCGCTCCTCGCCTACGCCGCAAAAGCCCGTACACGCTCACCTGTCGTGGAAGGAAAGCCACCAGCTTGCACAGTCATCTCCTATCAAGCCTAGGCGGCAACAACATTTCACAACATCTACTGGCCCTGATGTTTCTTTCTTCCAAGGAGCTCGAAGGATGGCTGACGAACTCGTCTCACCCAACTTCGCGGCCAACTCGGACGATGAGGATGATCTCTTGCCGACACAGTCGTTCAGAACCAACTTGCGCTCATCACCGCCTACGACGCCGCCAATGCGCAATCGTCCGATCCCCAATCGCCGCATTAAAGACAGGCCTGCTGGCTCGGGCCCGGCGAAATCGGGCGAGGAGGGTGCCGACCTCCTTTTGTATCTCGCTGCTTCACCATCGCCAGCGGTTCCTTCCACAAAGACTAGAATGGAGCCCCCATCTACACCACCCTCTAAGGTTGGCCGCGACATGACACTCCCATCGTCACATATGACCACTCCTGGCGGAGGCAACCTATTCCCTAACACCCCAGGGCAAGGCTTTGACTTTGCTGAGTTCGTCAACATCACCCCCAGTCCCGCGCAAAAGGCATGGAAGACGCCTGTTGCCCTGTCATCAGCAAGGACCCCCGTCAGCCTTACAAGGAGGCGGCTCACATTTGACGAGCCCCTTGCGTAATGGAACGGTTAAGAGCCTGTCCATCCCTCATTACCTCTTTTTTTTCCTTTGCTTGAAAAAGAAAAAAGAAACCCCCCCCCCGAAAACGAAAAAAAAACTTTTTACATGATACCAGGGTGGACGAAACTTCTAAACAGCATTGCGAGATGGAGCTTGGATTGCGATGACTTGGTCGAGCAACGATAATTGCCAGAAGCAGAACGAGACGAGGCACTACTGCGCGGGTGTACTTTGGTCATTTGAATACTTTTCACTATCGGAAGTCTGCCATCGTCTGCATGACAGACGCAAAGCCCAGCGCTCAGGGAGGTTCGCGTTACGATGATTGGCGGACATGCGTAGTGGCTTTGTCGCGGCTTTTCTTTCTTGTTCTTTGAGTCCCCCGAAATTTTCCCCCTACACTCCTGCGTGGTTTGGAGCCTGCCGCGATGGGACATACTAGCGCGTTCTGACGTTTGGCGTGCACGCGTCCCACCGCGAATCTGGCGACTGTTTCGCGTTTCGCGTCACCCGTTAAGTCGAACAGGTATTCTAGCCAATCAGAACATAGAATTCACATCCGCCATTGTACCAACTCTGGAATTGTAAATGAGTGCGCTCCGATATACATTGCAGTAGAGATAAGCGACGAGGCGACCACCGTGCAGGATATTAGAGCATCAAGACTTCTGATGGAAACCTTTTTGTGTTTGGGCACTTTCTCGCCCGCAATGTCAAGTGTCTCTGTCTAGGGCAATATAAGGATGCCAAATCATGGTCGTCCTTTTCAGCTTTTGCTTGGGCACTGCTTGAGGTTGTCCATGAACTGGATGATGCCCTGTTTGACCCCTTCAGGACTGGGTTCCTCAGCACAAACATCTGGCTCGAAGGCGAAAGTTTTTCTCAGGTAGTCTCGTGTAGTCGGCCCAATTGTTGCGATGAATGTTTTTCGCCTCCCTTGGCTCTTGTTGCAACCCATGCCCGTTGCTTCATCCAACATACCGAGGCTACGCAGCATGCTATCGCAACCTGTCGGGGAGAAGACAACCACCCACCGTGACGAAGCCGCCTCTGTGGCTTGCAGGATGTGGGAAAAGTCTCGCGGGAACGATTCCATGACTCCCGTCCCGTAAACGACAACCTCATCAACTTGAATCCTTTTTTCACTGGCCAAGTTTGGAGCCATGAGTGTCTTGGGAATGATGTCCCTTCTCTGTTCACCGACGAGGAAGAGAACGGGCGGCTTGATCGGTCTGTCATGGTACCATTGGCTGTAATGATCCAGAATGTACTTGGCCAAGGCATCGCCATTGCCGGTGTGCTCTCCGAATACCTGCAGTGGCGGATCCTGTGTTACGGCCTTGAGCGCCCGCGTTGTGGCAGGACCAACGCTGTAAACCGGCACTTCATGAAGATGAGGCCAGCCCCCTTCAGTGTCTGAGAACTAGGTTAGTACAGTACTCTGAGAATTACCAATGTTGACTCGCCCTTCTTTTCGTCAACCAATTTGGTGAACGCCTCGACAGCCCGCTGAGAAGTGAAGATGAGGCCGCCGTAAGCGGCACTGGTCTTGGTGTCAATAGCGCGGCGATTCAGCACGTCCCTTATCAGTGTCATTCCTGCGTCTTGGAAACTGTGGTGCAAGACCGGCACGAAAGTCGATTCGAACTCATAGCCAGAATGTTGGCGCGAGAACAGGTCTTCGTAAGAGTCGCCAGGCGTTGACTTGGTTTTGAGCAACAAGACGGGCACTTTAGCTGATGGGTTCAACTGGGTCATGCTGGGCGTGTGTTATCGACGTTCAATATGAAAAGATTGGAGGGTGCGTGTTCCGTTGGAAGTCAGATGCCCTGGAATTCACTCGCAAAAAGACACTGCTGGAGCCGCAAGAGAGTGTACATCGTCCAAATACTCTGTGCCCCGCCACGAGTATGAAATCTGCTACCTATTGGCTGGCTCAAGTCACCTCACATAGTTTCTTAGGTAAGTTCCTCTAGCTACGTACTCTAGCCCACCGAGGCGCACCATTTGCGACTCTTTGAGGAAAATAGGATTCATGATCATCATGAGTGTAAACCAAGCTTTGGAACTAGATTATGATTCACGCAAGACGCGAGAGGAGGGGATGATGTGCCCAGAGTCGAGCTACAGCTTGTTCGCATTCCCAACTCCGTCAGTAGCTATCTTACGAATTACCCGACGATACCCAGATGCTGAGGCGCATTAGGAGCTTGAAAATAAATAAAAAATGGTAGACATGGCACCACTGTCGGCAGACCCCCATTCCCAACAAACGTGCAGAAACGGTGTGGGAATGCAGCCCATGTTTGTCCACTGTGAGCAGCCCCGGGCCGAAAAGACGGCACTCCCTGGTCGAAATCGGGAGACTTTGAGTCGCCTTCGTACGGCGATGGCACTTACGCACCTCATCTCATCTTGATGGTGGATTGATTGAGCCACATACGCAAGCAAGTCTCGCGAGGCATCACAGATCTCTTCCTCTGCCTTGTCCGCAAACACCCCGAGATATCTCACGATTCCCATCGAATTTTTAGGTTCATTTCCCCTCAGATACACGCCCGCTGCTCACGAGTTCAAGGACTGAATGAACTTGCTGCCAGGTACTTTGGGGGGTCGTACTTTAGGGACCTAGCAGCCTTACGTCAGGAGGCCACCGTAAGGTACCTTATCTAGCATAGGTACTGTACCTCAACCCTCCCCCTACCCTAGAGTGTGAGTAGCCTGTTATTTATTTGAATTTCTCTTATATTAGTCTTAGTATACTATTTGATCCTTTAACTCTTTATTCTACTTTTTTTTATATAATTTAAGTAATTAATAAAACTTTTAATAAAGTAGTTCTATAAGTAGTATATTTATTACTTTAGAAAACTATAATAAGATCTTATTTTATCTAATTTATTACTTCTTATTAATATTTTTTATAGATATGATATAAAACTTAAGTTAATAAGCTTATTAATTATAGTTTAGTTTATTTCTAGAAATAAATACTAAAAATAAATATAGTAATAATGCTTTTAGTATTAAATTTAGTAATATGTATAAAGAACTTTTATATTCTTAACTATAATTTTTACATACTTTTAATAATTACTAAAAAATTAATGTATATAGTACTTTTTAAGTTAAAATTATTATTAAAGTTATTAAGCTATTAGTTTATTATTATATTTTTTGATAAATATAGAATATTAACTACTTATTCTACTACTACTTTCGTTATATAAAGTAAAGTTTTTATAACTTTAATAACTGAAGTTATTATAATAGAAAAAAAGTTATTATATTTTATTTATTTTATTTTTATTTCTCTTAAAAATTATATATTTTCTAATACTAAGTATAGTACTTCTATATTTATACTTTAGGTTGTATCTCGTAAGGTTACTTAGTCCTTTTCTATATCTGTACCTTGCTGTATACTGTACCTTAGGTACCTTACCTTAGCGTTCTAAGCTTATCGATAAGATGTGGAAGCTCGGAAGATTCTACGACGTCTTGAAAGTGTAGTACTCAGAGAAGTGCGTCGTCGGGTTGCATTTGAAATCGCCGACACAAGCTGACAGTGTGTGCTGAATCTTGCCTAAATTGCGCGGCCCGAATTAATCATCCTTGACCCTACCTTTCCGCGCTCAAGCTTCACTTCATAGTGTTTTCACGTTTGTTCCCACAAGACAAACCGAACCCCAGCAGTTTGATCATGACCGACACAGAGCGAGATAGCAACCCCGGTGGACTCGCTCCCGCCCCTGTGACCACCGAGGCGCCGAAACCGCTGCCGAAGGAAGTTGTTTTGGGCAAAGATGGCAAGCCGTGAGTTCTTGTGCCAAAATTATCTTCTCTCAATGGATCATTCACACGAAGTTTCCTGCTAACGAAAAACCGGCTTAGCTGTCGATCTTGCTCATCTAAAAGCGCATTCTCAAGCTGGGCCGCCCAAGCTAATGCCTCCTTGAGGAAGGATGCCCCAAAGATTTCAACGCCCGTCAATGATTGCCCTCCGGACGTGGAAGCCCTCGGTCGCGGGACTTGGGCGTTGCTTCATTCCATAGCGGCGACATACCCTGAGAAGCCCTCATCAACGCAGAAGGAGGACTTGCGTGGCTTCATGCGGCTGTTTTCCAAGTTGTACCCATGCTGGGTGTGTGCTGAAGATTTCCAGTCATATATGCAGAAGGAACAGGTGCGCGTTGAGGGCCGTGGTGAATTTGGCAACTGGCTGTGTGAGGCACACAACGAGGTGAATCGCAAGCTGGGAAAGAAAGAATTCGACTGCAGCAAGTGGGAAGAACGTTGGCGCACGGGCTGGAAAGACGGCCATTGTGACTAAGATTTGGCAATGGAACTCGGAGCCTCAAGTGACATTAAACACAGCACATGAATGTTGCGGGACGCAGCGCAGCACACAAGATAGACATAGATAAACCTTTGTACCAATATGTAAAATACCACTCAATCGGCATTGGCGAATGGGGTATCATCTCGGGTATGGTGCGAGGGCATGATCCCAAAAAGCAGCGCCAGAGAGCAGGAACACTCCAAAGGGAAGTGAAGGGGAAAAGCCCACACCAACTCGGATGTCACCGCGGGCCCTCGGGATGCCGGAGCGAGGCAATGCGGCGTTTCAGCGGCTCTCCGAAAGCGCAACGCCATCGCCATCGCCGGGTACCGCCGGACGGCAGGTATGAGCATGAATGATGGTGGTAAGCTAGAAACGCAGAGAACTGGTCTAGATAGTCTAGGAATGCAAAATCTTGAGCCTGACCTTCCCGGATCGGCCGTAGCAAGGCCGAATCCTGGTTTCCAATAATCAGATCATGTCAAGCTTGAAGAAGCCCTTCTAGTCGATTTGACAGCGTGGCGGTCAGTCTGCACTCACGCACTGCATTAGAGGCGGCAGGGTCATGGGCGAGATCTGCCTTGGCCCGGCCTATCATTGGGGTCGGGGCCGCATAGGCGCATCAAACCACAGCTGTTCCCTGCCTGACAGCTCACTTTAAAAACCCACTAGGAGCGCGCGGGCATGATCGGGGGACAAAGAGTACACCTGGCGTAGGTATTCGCAGGTGGCAGCTTCGGCGCCGGGACCCCCTACCACCCCAAGGTACCAGGTAGGTAGGTGCCTTACATAGGACACCTAGTTATTGACAGGCCCGGCATCATCAACGGCGTCGTCCTACCTAGTGTACAAGCCAGAAGCGTCCCAGGGCTCCATGTTATGTTATGTTATGTTTTTTATTTTTATTTTTTTGCCCTCGGCGGCCGCTGATTTTGTCGGCCAAAATAGCATGCGTCTCGTTCCCCGGCAGCAAGGACAGGGCGGACAACAAGAGTCAGGTCTAGAATGGCAGGGTATGGAAAGCATTCGTACAAGTCCGACTCGGCCCCGGCTCCCGACCACCCTTGTCCGGCACCAGCCCGGTGTAATGGTGACCGCATTCTGTTGTGGCGTGTTGGATTACATCAGTATCTTCTGCAACTGATGGGTTCCGCTGCCATCATCTGTCGCTTGACCCTTCGAAGCTCCCTACTAGGCTTGTTGCAAGGTACCTCGACTGTTACTCAATCTTCCAACTTCCACGCCAGTCCCATATCACGCCCTCCTGTCCGAAACCCGCCAGATACCGACACCGGTTGGCCCATCGCTTCCATCTTTGTCACTGTTGACTTATTCTTTCTGTAACTTTGCCCTATCTTGTAGTACACGAACATGCAGCTTCTTGGGTTTCCGCACATCGCCGATGATCTGCCCGTTTCATCAGGAAATTCTCAGTGGCCTGACTTGACCCTGGTCATTCACTCCTTGTGTTGAGCGAGCCTGCCGAAAGCGATGTCGCATACCGAGATGCGGCTACCGCGTTCCTCTTGATATAAACCTCATGGCCTCTGTCAATGTGAACCCCCTTTCCTCTCCTCCAGATCCCAGAGACCTAGAAACAAGCTCAGCTTGATCATCTGCAGAGCTGCTCCGAAGACCAACTCTACTCTACCACAGACAACCAGGTCCGCCCATTATATCACTTTTTTCTATTTACAGTACGACGTCCCTTTCGAGGTGATCCCGCCATGGCCGATATTCGAACTCAGGCGCTTAAAGAGCCCATTGATGTCGCTGAATACCTTTTTAAGAGACTTCACCAAGTCGGCGTCCGCTCAGTCCACGGCCTTCCTGGAGACTACAACCTTGTTGCTCTCGACTACCTCCCTGGGTCTGGCCTGACTTGGGTTGGCAGTGTCAACGAACTCAATGCTGGTAAACGGCATCGCCAAACCCATACTTATGCGCTTCACTAATACCTACAAGGTTATGCGGCCGATGGCTATGCGCGCGTCAAGGGAATCTCTGCCATCATCACCACCTTCGGCGTCGGTGAATTATCAGCCATCAATGCCCTCGCCGGCGCATACTCCGAGCATGTCCCCGTCGTCCACATCGTCGGATGCCCCTCCACCATCTCACAGAGAAATGGAATGCTTCTGCACCACACTCTAGGCAATGGAGATTTCAACGTCTTTGCGAACATGAGCTCACAAATCTCTTGTGATGTCGCCAAGCTCAACAATCCCGCCGAGATCGCCAACCAGATTGATCATGCTCTCAAGGAATGCTGGATTCGCAGTCGTCCAGTGTACGTCATGCTGCCTACCGACATGGTCCAAAAGAAGGTTGAGGGCGAGAGACTGAGAACACCTATTGACCTCAGCGAGATCCCCAATGACCCCGCGAAAGAGGACTACGTCGTCGAAGTTGTCTTGAAGTCACTACACGCGGCCAAGAAACCAGTCATGCTCATTGATGCCTGCGCCATTCGGCACCGTGTGCTCCCTGAAGTCCATGACCTTTTGGAGAAGGCCAAAGTGCCTGTTTTTGTCACTCCGATGGGCAAGGGCGCTGTCAACGAGACACATCCCAACTACGGCGGTGTTTACGCCGGAGATGCCTCACAGCCCGACGTCAAGGAGAGAGTGGAATCTTCTGACTTGATACTTTCCATTGGCGGTCTCAAGGTAAGTAAAAGGGCTACACATCGGCTTCCTTTCGGGACAACTCGCTGATCCCGCCACAGAGTGATTTCAATACGGCCGGCTTCTCTTACCGGACATCACAGCTCAACACTATCAATTTCCACAGCACGCACACAACAGTTCGATATTCGGAGTATCCTGGCGTCACCATGCGTGGTGTCTTGCGCAAGGTGATCAACAACCTCGACCCGGAAAAGCTCAGCATCGTACCCTCGCCGGATGTCTCTAACAAGCTGCCCATCGACGACAACGATCTATCCCAGACCATCACTCAAAAGTACCTATGGCCGAGAGTTGGCCATTACCTCCGCGACAACGACATCGTTGTTACCGAAACTGGCACCGCCAACTTCGGCATTTGGGATACCAAATTCCCGGCCGGTGTCACAGCTTTGAGCCAGGTCCTTTGGGGTAGTATCGGCTGGTCTGTTGGTGCTGCGCAGGGTGCTGCACTGGCCGTCAAAGACGCCGGTGAAGACAGGAGGACGATCTTGTTCGTTGGCGATGGATCATTTCAGCTCACGGCGCAAGAGATAACAACAATGTTGCGCCATGGCCTGAACCCGACAATGTAAGCTGCATCTGCGAGCCCTCCAAGATTCCTTGATACATGGCTCACTAACAAATTCCGCTTAGCTTTGTCATTTGCAATGACGGTTTCACCATTGAGCGGTTCATCCACGGCATGGAGGCCGAATACAACGATATAGTCCAGTGGCAATACAAGGAGTTGGTGACGGTATTCGGTGGAACCGAGCAGACGGCCAAGAAGTTCGTCGTCAAGACCAAGGACGAGTTGGAGAAGCTCCTGACCGATGAGAATTTCAACAACCCCACGACGCTGCAGTTTGTGGAGCTCTATGTCCCCAAGGAGGATGCTCCAAGAGCTCTTATCATGACAGCTGAGGCCAGCGCCAAGAACAACGCCAAGGTCGAGTGAAAGGTGTAGCTTGGCGGGCTTGCGGACGCGCACGATTCCGGGTCAGGGGGCCTTATTTTGGCAAAATTCGGATGGCGCAGGAACCTGAATTAGCACACATAAAGGTAGACGGCGCAAGATTGGTTACTAGTTAGAGTAGATGTAGAGCTCCAATGCATGTTATTAAGCAGCAGCTCGGAGCACACGTCTGTTTTACTGTCGAAAAGCCACAGGAATCAAGCATTCATGATTTTGGCGTGCCGCAGAGAGATGATCGACATCCCCTAGCCGGACTTCGTCGTCCCGTCGTCCGCCCTTCCTCGATGCGTTGATACGATGGCTGGTCGGGTGGGGATGGCTGATGTATGTACGACCGATTGCATGATGATTCCCGACCGTGCAGCCAGACTGTGAGTAATAATAGTGTTGAGGGTAAGATACTCTGTACCTACCTAGAGTGGGGATACCTTAGGTTGGTGCCTAGGTAGGTGCCTCCTAAGCGCCGATAAGTGGGCCATACCGTCTGACTCCGGTTCACAGTTCTTTTCTGGCCGCGGCACCATCCTAAATTCTCATCCAACCAGCAAAGTAGACTGCGTTTGGCCACCAAGCAAGCAGCCACGCCCCCACGGACGAAGTGTCGAGGACTCACACTTCGACGTCGTCTCACCAATAGCTGCCATGACCTCCGACGCAACGAAAAGAAAGCAACCCAGCTCCGGGTGCGAAAAGTCCCATCCTTCGAAACGAAGCAAGGCAAGTTGCAACTTGCGAGAGCAAAAAAACCCTGGCCATGCCGACCTGAATATGAATAGGCTCTGCTCCATCCGTTGGTAACGAAGTTCTGACTGACAAATGGTAGGGCGGTCGCGGCACGGGAGCATGGCAAACTCCTCACCAAAAGGCCAAGGTTGCCAATCTCCAGGACAGAGACGCTTCACTAGAGGTGGGCGATCAGGGTGTATGGGTCACTTTCGCCCGAGGGATGGATAGTAAAGCCATCCGTGAGTTCAACTTCATTTGTGACGAATATGGCAAAACCATGTATGGACTTGCTCCACCCGGCGAGTACATCGAGTCTGGTGACGAGGACGAGGACATTGAATCATCCATCAAGAAAGAGCTTGTCGGTATGAGCTCTGTCAACCGTAAAGATTCCAGACGGAACTTTAAGGCTATCCGCGCTGGTATTGAGTGTGTCTTCTTCATGAAAACACGAGACCCCGTTGAACCAGTTGAGCTGTGTCGTCGCATCTGTCGAGATGCAGGCGCTTGTCCAGATTTGAAAGAGCGCAAGACCAAGTACATCAATAGGTTGACACCTGTGAGTGCTCTGGACAAGGCCTCAGAGAATGGTGTAGTAAGGACGGCACGAAAGGCTCTCGCGCCTTGGTTCAGTTTGACAGCGAGCGAGACAGCCATAGAGAATGAAGTGGGAGTCAAGAACGATGTGGCGGGAGCGGATGGAAACGAGACCGGGCCAGAAATCAAATCGGATGCGAAGCACGCGTACACGGTCAGTTTTGCGCCCAGCCTGATGGATGACTTGACTCATTGATGGACAGTATGCAATTCGGCCCTCCATACGCAGCAACAGCTCCATCGAGCGTGACGACCTTATCAAGCAAATTGCCAGTACTATCGACCAGAGACACAAAGTCAATCTCAGCAACCCGGATAGGGTGATACTTGTTGATATCTTCCAGGTGAGAGTAATGGCCAGAGATTGAGTTACGCAGGCTGGACTGACACCGTTCATAGAGCTACTGCGGCATGAGCGTTATCAACGGCAGTGACTGGGATGGGCTCAGGAAGCTCAACATTAACGAGATGTACAAAGCGTCGCCGGGTGCAAAGGGTGCAAAGCCCAAGTCATCACCCGTCGAGACAGAGAAAAAACCCGAGGAAGATATCATGAGCGAGGCAGCATGAACAAGCTGGTCGAGCAGCAGGCCGGAAAGGGGGGGGGGGGTGCATTTACAGCCGCTTCAGGGCAAAAGTAAGGGTCCTATCCGTACTTGTAATGGTTTTACCCCTCACCTCCTGTGTACAGGACGTGCTGGGGCAGGTTGCGAGTAATCAAGGCATCGGACTTAGCCGAAGACGTGGAATGAAGCAGCTTAGGCGAGATGGGTGGTACGAAATGCGGGCATCTCACTCGCCGTCCTCACGCCAGGACCTGCGGCGGCACCCGTCGGTGCACCCGACCTTTGGGTCCCCTCGTTTTGGAAGGTTCAAAGCTTCAATTCTATCGTATTGGCTTGTCATGTTCATGTACGGATAAGGACACCGGTGGGTGGCACGTTGTGTAAGGAGAGCTGTTTCTGAAGAACGGACCCCAGAGGATGAGATTACTACCTATGTAGAGGTAGGTAAAGTTGGGGTGTGCGGCTTAGTGGAGCCCCCATTGCGGCGCTAAGCCCTATTGCGATAAATTTGACGAGTCTCCAGAGCCGTCAGCAGTTCCCCAAGTTCTGAGGAGCTTCTACGCAGCCAAGCAAGGGACGGGGGCGGATCGGACTAGAAAGGCCGGGATTGGGCCGTAACACGGTATAGGACGCTCCTCTTTGACGAGGAGAGCCAGCCACGCCTAAAATGTCAACACGTAGTACGTCGTCTACCTCATACTAAATGTCCTTAAACTTAGCTTTGCTGCAATGCATCAATTTCCAACCATGTTCGAAGACAATAGGAGAAGATGGACGAGACTCTGGCAAACAAACAACTCTAACCATTCCAAAACAGCTGGTCAAGGAGAAAGAATGAGGGAAGGACCCGACGGCCGACTAATTCAGGCGCCTGGAAGACGACGCCAGAGTCAGACCCGTGAGCGGAATCCGAACACGCCCATCCGGCTCGCTTGAGAAGTGTCCAATCACCAGATTCCCGGCTCGCTTCTCGATGCACAGACTAACCAGGATCTGGGGTTATGGTGGATCTGATTTGGATTCCAGGCGGGGCGGATAGATCCCTTCTTCGCCAACATCCATCTCATTGACCACTCGTCTGCCTTCTGATATCCTTACAGCATCGTGTTAGTCTTCAACTTCGCCTGACGACATCAACAGAGCTTGGGAGCTTTCCCCCTCTCGCGGTTTGATCCGTCTTACTAGATTGGTCTCCTCCCCCTTGCCCTCATCTCTCAGCGACATGGCACCGTTCCCCGCTGCGATGCGTTTTCGCTTGGGTTGACCCAAAGTAGCACCCGAGGGCAGCTATACTATATGTTTTTGGTGATTCGTAAATGACTTTCTCGCCTGCTGGCTCTTGCCTCCCAAGAAAGAGAGCAATTTCGATCCGCTTCCTTTCGCCTGGGTTAGAAACTGGATGCCCGCCTACACAGTTTGCTTGGGTCCAGGGCATCCTTAGCGTTGTCTCTCTCGCTTATCCGCAGTTCTTCTGGGTGCTGATTGAACGCCTCATGGCCCTAATGTCTGTCCTTGCGTGACGCCTCGCCCTTCACCGGGACAGTCCACTTACCCTACGCGGCTAGGTGATCATTGCTGCTCGCCTGTCCCAGCTCCTCATTAGTTGAAATGGGCACCGTGAAGGCATTTGTGCCCTCCCCAAAAGACTTATGGCTCCTTGACCACGCTTCAAGCACCATACAACATACATTTCTTTTCGTGGTCCTTATAGGCGACTACCTCACTTGGCTGGAAAAAGCTGCCGGTCCGCTGGGTTCGCTCAGAGCCTTAATGACACGCCCCCAAAGAATACCATTCCGAGCAGCTGTTTCCGCCACATTCATTCTGTGACCCAGTTGTCACTTTATTCCTCGTCAAGTTGTCACTCCCCATCTTCGCAAGGGTTCTTCAACCACCTCCACTCCGGGCAGGTTCCGTATACTCCCTTCCACAGTTCTCACTTTCACAATTCTCGGTTGCAACCTGCCAGGCTGACCGCTTATACACCCTGTCCCGCCATGTGCTTCGCAATCCTTCGCTAGTTTTCCGTCCAGGTGTTCGCTCATCATCTTCCCGCTCTACTCCGGTGGACGTGCTGCGCCTACTTCTCTACATCCTCCTCGCCTGGAAGCCGATGTGATTGGCAGTCTCTCTATTCGCAGGTTTTCAAAGCCATCAACTCTGGGTTCGCGGGTGCCCCATCTCCAACCCAGTGCCAGTCTGCATAACACGCCGTGACCCCTGCCTCATCGTCTACACACTGGGGCTTGACGGCTTGCTATATCTAGGTCAATGTACCCACCCCCATCCACATGGCTCCGACACGGTATCACCAAAGCTACAGCTCACCCTCACCCTGCATACGACTCACCTTTCAGGTCATTCTCAGGAGGTGTCGCAAACCTGCAGTCTCCCGTCTGCCACCCGTAGCCCACCCGTAGGGCAGACTCGTCCCAGCTTTCGGCATCAGCGGCGGCGATCCGCCAGCGACAAAGCCCATGCAAGCCGTTATAAGCCATCTGGTGCCCCAGGCCACAGTACAACAGGTCCAGCCTGTGTCTTCGGTCCATTGCCAGCGCGCCTATGGAGTCAAGATCTCCGACGGAACGAGTCTTTTCCTCGTCGCCCCTCCGCCGCCGATGGTCAAGCTCCTTCGATCGGAGCGAGCCTCCGTCGTATCGGAGGCGGCCGTCTTGAGTTGGCTTGCAAACAAGACTACTGCAAAGCCCCTCCTACAGGAACGAACCCCAGAACCCGAAGACATTCTCGACGCTGGAAAGATTGAAACCAGAGGTGCGGGGGACTTAGGAAGCAGTGCCAACTGCGCAGAAGATCTGCATATGTTCCTTCCGAGGCTCATAGCCCATACAAATGCACCTAGCGAAGAAGGTCACGAGTTCAATCTCTTACGACCCACGATGGGTGTCCCGATTCCCGAACTCAGCCCGCCCCTTTCTTCGCCCGAAAGAAGATCGGTTGATTTTCAAACAGGCCAATTTTACAGGAAACTTTGCAGATTGGTCTCACCGACAGGCCGCTTCGGTCCTGCTTTCGCTGTCCTCCCACCTGCGACACCTATACCACCGTTTGACTCTGCGAAATCGATCAGAAGAGATTTAAATGCCAGACTGATGGAGTCGCGGGGGGTTCAGTCTTGGTCAACAGCGTTCCACTCTATGCTAGAGGCCGTCTTACGCGATGGTGAAGACATGCAGGTCATGCTAGGGTATGGTTCCATCCGCCAGCACTTCAAACAGTTCCAGTACACACTGGAGAGTGTCAAGACACCGCGTTTGGTTGCGGTAGACGCCGGCAAGGACCTCAATACTTTGGTCATGAGAAGAATGTGTCGGAAGGGTCCTCCATCACTAGCAAGCAGCCACCACCTTGAATTGCGAGGCGAATCCCGGGTGGTTGACGACAGCGAGAGTGAAACCGACGACGATGACAGCAGCAGTGAGTTGGGGCTGGGTGGAGACGACCGAGCTACGCCGTATCAACAGAGCAACATCATTATGACCGGTATGAAGGACTGGAGCAATTTTGTATTTGGAGACCCTCTGTTTGCCGTCGACTTTTGCCATGGCCCCAGTAGCGATTTTTTGTCAGGTTTCAACGATGTTTCGCCAGACCAAGACACCACCGCCATGTCTGCGTTCTCTTCGGATATGATCGAAGACAAGGCCACCGCCCATATCCGCATTCTTCTGTATGAATGCTACCACACAATCACGCACATAGCCAGGGAGTTCTTCCGGCCGCGCAGGGACAGCAGTGGGCGTGAACTGGAAGCGCGAAAGAAGTTGAACTATATCTTGGCCCAATTGGACACACTTAGCAATGCGGGTGATCAGAGGGGAAGAAGACCAAGTGGGGAGTCGAGCCCAGCAAAGCGCTCCAAAAGCTGTGAAAAAGATGACTAGGGAGGGTGGGTGTCAATGACGTTACGAACCAGCCGTCTCTATTCGGCCGTGGTTGTTGTACATACTAGCATGACGCGTGATACAGAACTAGATGCTGTCGCGCGGCGCATAGAACGACACAGGAAACTAGGCTGTGCTCTCATCCCGGCAAGTTTTGATCCGATTGTCTGCCGTTTTCACTTTTTGCTTTTGGCGTCGCCGTAGGCCTCGTCGCGCGGGAGCTGCATCCCCATCATGCCCAGGATGTTGCCAGCCGGACCTGGCAAGCCTGCCTGACCCTTGAAGCTCTCCAGCAGATTCTTGGCTAGGTTGTAGTCAATATCGATTTCTTCATCCCCAGCTTCCTTGTCGTCTTCATCGTCACTGCCATTGTGTTTGACAGCGGTACCAAGGCCGTTCACATTGGCTGGATGGCTGTCTTTGCCTTTGACCGCCGGCGCTTTGCTGTTGTCAGAGACGTCTAGTCTGAGGGCCCCGTGCTCGGTAAGTTCGGCTTCCAACTGTGCTGCAAGCTCCCGCAGATCTTCGTCGCTGGGATCCTCAGGGAAACCTTCTCGATGCTTTCGCGTCCCTGCTGGCGGACTAGCTTCACCTTGGTTGTTTGGAGCTAGTCCCATCATTTCCCTCATCATTCGAGAAAACTCAGCCTCGTCAAAGCTGACTGCCTTGTCTTCCTCATCGCTGCCATCTTCGCTGTCGTCGTCGTTATCGTCGTCGTCATCGTCGTCAATGTCCATGTCTTCAATCTCGGCTCCGTCAAGACCTGCTCTCTCGTCGTTCAAAAAGGCCTCGAATCGTGACACGATCTTGCGCAGGTCCGCCTGCGTTGATGGGTCTCCAAAACCGGTACGGCCTTTTCCACTTTCACGGCGTCCTTGCAGTTCCTGTTCAAAGTCCTCGTAGTTGATGTCCAGCCAAGATTCATCGTCTTCTCTCTCTGAATCTTTCCAATTTTGGATATCGTAATCGGTCGGAAGGACTGATTCCCCATCCTCTTCGAGATCCGCTACAATGATACTGGCCTCTCTGGCTTCGCGGCTTTTGGTGGTGTTGATGTTATTCATCATGATCTCGAATCCGCTGGCAAGCTTCATCCCCATTTCGACATAACTCAACTCATTGCCTTGTGCTTTTTCAAGCACATCTGACCACGGTTTAGGCGGTTCAAACCGTTGAGATCGAAGTTGGGCAAACAAAACTTTGGTCAACTTTACGCTCAAGGTGACCATGTCGTGTGGAGGAAAGCGAAGATTATCTGCCTTGGACAGAAGGGCTCTCAAATCCAACGCATCACGTAGATAGAATGACTCCACGGCCGGTGCAACAGCTCTAGGAGCCTGATGAAGAACATGCGCCAGTCTTCGAGGGATCCTTACTAGACAGTGATGCATCGACTTCCAAATCTGGCCGGGGTATTTTTCTAGCCGATAGAACGCTTCCGCCTCGATGAACTCTGAATGCACAAGAGCTTCTGAGTCTTTTCTGATGGTCGTCACAGCTTCTTCCAAAGTGAGTGGCTGTGAATCCGAGACCGTTGAACTCTGGTCAAGAGGGATGATGCAAAGCCGGCCATTGTTAATCCAAACTCGATGTTGATCGTTCTCGGGACTCAGCCATTTTGGCAGTACATTTGCCGCCTCTACCAAGAGGAACTCGCCGTCGCTGTCATAGATGCGAATCCATACCGTCGAGTCGGACTTGGATAGCTCCCTGAGGATGTAGACTATCAGCCATTCATCTTCAACGGAGTCGCCATAATCCGATGTTCCTCGCAGAAAAGCAAGTCCTTGTTGGGCTGGTTAGATTTTGACTACATAATCCTCTCTCTCTTTCCGTCTCTTTTATTATTCCATCTTTGAGGGTTTGGACAAACCTTGCTCGGTAGTGACCTCGAGATTTAATGAATCTCTTTGCCATATGTAGTCACCAACCAAGTGGGTGCCTAGCAGAAGGGCTGTTTTGCGCAACTTCTCTAGTAGCGAGAGTTGCCCCCGCGAGTCTTCTTGGGCCTCCGAATCGATCAAAAAGATGCAATACTCGACGCGATTCTCCGACAGTTGATATGGAGTGGCGCAAAGACTGGGTTGTTCATCTTGAGCATGTGCAGCCATGATAATCAGTGGTCGATCGTTGAAGTTGTCGTCGTTGAGATAAGTTGGGTTAGGTGGGTTAAGGTAATCACCATGAAGGTGGGGTGGATTCTAAGCTGCCCGCCCCCTCACATAGGTGCACTAAACTACAGTGTCTTAGATACCTCCACGTCGCCTTACTGCAGGGACTTAGGCTTCCATTTCAGAGGGCGGTCCGTATAGGGCAGGCGGCCGGATTCCCCCAGCGCCTCCACTTTTCCTCTTCCCGGTCTTTCTCCATCTCCAGGTGACTTTACTTACAGGACACCCCACCAGGCCTTTAACGCGATCGCGTCCCCCTGTATGTCGGCACGCGTCGACCCAAAGCCCGAGACTGTTCACGCCATTCCACCATCACAATATCAATCATCATCGCCAGCCAGCTACGTCCGCACCCGACTTGTCATACCGCCCTCAGAGGCAAGTGTGACCCAGTCATATTCCAGTATGGCTCCTCCCAAAAGATCTCGTGCCGCTGTAGAGGCGGAGGAAGTGTTGGATGTTCGGCGGGCACGATCCTATCTTAGCCAAGACGCGTCTGTAAGCCAGCCCCAAAATTCTCGAGCATTATCGCAGCGCAGCTAATCTCTCATTTTCGACCAGTCCAAAAGAGTCCGACTATCCTACTCTACCCACGAAAAACGGGAAGACGAAAGCTCCAGTTTGGATACCGAGGCCACTGGCAACCAAGACGAAGACGAAGACGAGAATGGACGAGGCAGACAAGATTCGCCTCCTCGCACTCAGTACGAAATTGCCCGCGACGATGGATTTAGGCATTTGCAATACGAAGACCAGGATGATCAGCGCGCCACACAGAAAATTAAGAGCCGCCCGCAACGAATCGGCGAGAACCACGCCGCCGAGAACGGCATCATAGAAAGTGTCGAGTGTTTCAACTTCATGTGCCACGAGCGTCTCTTTGTTGAGCTGGGGCCATTGATCAACTTCATCGTTGGAGAGAATGGAAGCGGAAAAAGTGCCGTGCTGACCGCTCTTACTCTCTGCCTCGGCGGCAAAGCAAGTTCAACAAATCGAGGCGGAAGCCTGAAAAGCTTCATCAAGGAAGGCCGAGACAACTCTATCATCATCGTCAGAATCAAGAACCAGGGTGTCGATGCCTATCGGCCAGAAATATATGGCGACACCATCAGAGTCGAGCGTCACTTTTCCCGGGCTGGCTCCAGCGGCTTCAAGCTCAAGAGTGTGACGGGCAAAACGATATCTACGAAGAAGGCCGATGTCGACGAAATCTCCGAATACTGGGCCTTTCAAGTCGACAACCCGCTTAATGTTCTTTCACAGGACAATGCGCGTCAGTTTTTGAACTCTTCATCCGCTTCTATGAAGTACAAATTTTTTGTCCGTGGTGTCCAACTCGAACAACTCGACAATGACTACAAGCTACTGACGGAGATCCTTGAAAGCCATGAGGCCAAACTTCCAAGTCTGGAGGAACACGTCCGACGCTCTGAGCGTGAATTCTCAGAGGCGCGCAAGCTGAGAGACATAGCCCAAAGGAACGAGGAGATGAGGAGGGAGTATCGTCGTCTTCGAAATCAGCTCTATTGGTCTCAGGTGGCAGAGCAGGAGGATATCCTTCAACAATGCGACGATCAAATCGCCTCGCTGGACGAAATTATCAGTGGCGCTGAGTCATCGATTGAGCAAAAATCACAAGCCTTGTCTCACTGCGATGAGCTGCTGGCGCGTGCTCAGGCAGCACTTCATGAGAAACAGATGGAGGCTACCACGATTGATGAAGATGTCGCCGCTGCCAGAGCGGAGTTTGATGAGGCCAAGGCTCAAGTCACAGACATACATCGTCAGCTGAGAGATGTGCAGCAGCGTCACAGCAATGCAAAGGCATGGGTAAAGGACTCTGAACAGAAAATCCAAGCAGAAGAACAGCGACTGGATGCTGGTGCCGGCAGTGCCCGACAAGAACTCGAAGCACGGCTGAACGACGCCAAGTCGGATGAATCCAGCACCAGGGAGAGAATGGATCAGGGTGCCAACGCCATGCCAGAGCTTCGTGATGCGCTCAAAGCAGCTCAGTCTACTGAGAACGCGGGCAGACTAGACATAAATAAGAAGAGAGAAGAAATCTCGTCAGCTGAATCGCGCCTGCAGACCCTCCAGCGAAACGGAGGATCGGCATATGCTGTCTTTGATAGAAGCATTCCTGCTCTTCTTCAAGCCATTGAACAAGACAGTGGCTTCGAAGAGAAGCCCGTTGGTCCGATCGGAGCTCACATTCAGCTCCTCAAAGCTGAGTGGGGGGGTATTCTAGATACAACTCTAGGTGCGACGTTGGATAGCTTCCTTGTGGCAAACAAGAGAGACCAGCAACGGCTGGCAAGGTTGATGCAGCGCTTCACTTGGGGCCGCACCCCGCCGATCATCATCGGCAAGCGTTTGCCGCCCAATATGAACCTGAGAGAGCCCGACGAAAGATTCGACACAGTTCTCCGCGTTCTCCGATTCGACAATGACTGGGTCCGCAGCCAGCTTATCGTCGCCCATTCCATTGACAGGATCATTCTCATAAAGGAGAGGAAAAAAGCCGAGGATGTTATGCTTAACCACTCACCACCGCCAAACGTGCAAGTGTGTCTTGCGTTCCATGACGGTGCCAGCAAGCGCGGTCATGGACTCCGAATCCAGGCCAAAGAGACGGGCGCGAATACATCACCAATCAACGCTTACAATAGAATGCCGAGAATGAAGTCAGATAACGAGACACAGGTCAAACTTCAAGGAGAGGCATTAGCTCATCTGCGGGGTGAGCTGCGGTCTCTAGAGACAAACCAGCGACGGCTCGAGCAGTCATCGGCCAAATGCAAGGCGAATCTAAATGCCCAGGAATTAGGAAATCAGTCTTTGGAGCGGCAGCTGCGCAGGGCTCAGGCCCATATCGAGAGTATTTCAGCGGAGCTTGATCAATACGAAGGAGCCGATGGCAGACTCGTAGGTCTTCGAGAGGAGCTGGAGAAGGCCAAAGCGGAAAAAGACCACCAAGGCACTCAGTATGGAGAGATGAAGCTGAGACAAGAAGAACTAAACAAGAAGACGGAGGAATACAAGAGGAAGAGCGACGAGGAGAAGAGAAGACTCAAAGACTACGATGCTCAGCTGAACAAACTACAACTCGCTGTTACGAGAGCCGAAGACCTACGGAAGCTTGCCGTTATGGAGAAGAATCGCGCCTTCGAGGACCGCGATAATGCGATTGAAGACAAACGACGAGCTGAGTCGAAGCGTGACCAGCAGGCCGAAACCGTGGCCAACTTCACTCACCAAGCTATGGAGAAGGCACCGAATCGTGTGTACATCGCCGAGGGCGAAACACACAAGACCATCGAAGCCAAATACGCGACTATACACCAGCAACTAGAGAAGAGGGCTCAGAGGCTGGGTGCTTCAGACGAGGAGATCAAAGAGCGGGCAGCGAGAGCTGAAACAGCCTACGAAGCCGCGAAGCAGCTCTACCAGGGCCAGTTGGAGGAGCAGGCCGCAGGAAAGCTCAACTTGGAAGACCGGTTGAACCGATGGCGTTTGTTCCAGCGTCACATCTCGGCGCGAGCACGCATTTGCTTCCAATATCTCCTCAGTGAGCGTGGATTCAAAGGCAAGCTTGCGATCGACCATCCTCAGAAGAGACTGTCGCTTTTCGTGGAGCCAGACGAGACGAAGAAAGGCACCGGTGGCAGAAGCACGAAGACACTGTCAGGCGGCGAGAAGTCTTTCTCGTCAATTTGCATGCTGCTGGCTATTTGGGAGGCCATGGGTTCGCCTCTGAGATGTCTTGACGAGTTTGACGTCTTCATGGATAACGTCAACCGCACGATCAGCACAAAGATGCTGGTAAGTCATCCATGTACGCTTGCAGACCTCATCCAATGCTAACTCGGCTTCTCATTCAGATTGAGGCGGCGCGACGCTCGGTATCTCGCCAGTACATCATGATCACACCCAACGCCATCGAAGGACGGGCATCGCTTGATGAGGATGTGAAAGTCATTCGGTAAGTGCGATTAGCCTTGTTGAAAAAGAAAACACTAACACCAGCCCTAGGTTGACCGATCCTCGACAGCGGACTTTGGTTTGATACGCCAGGGTCTTTCTTGCCTGAATGGCTACGTTTGGGGGCGTACGGTACGGACCAAGGTTTGTGGCGAAGGCGGGGAGGAATGGATCTTGCGGGATCTGGCGTTGAGGCGTTGAATCAAACGGCAGTCTGTAACATTGGGCCTCAATTTGCGTCTTGCATCGCGGCAGTTTAATAAGCCAGCTTGTCGAGGTACCCTTCTATATCGTACAATTGATGTGTTTGTGAGTAGGCTTTGGTACAGTAACCCCAGCCGTGGAGTGGTTTCTTAAGAGAAATCCCCTTGTGACTGGTTCTAGATTCGGAGCCCTTTGCTCCTCAATACGTTCACACCCGCACTGGCCGTAAAACCAACCCACTGCCCTACGGAGCCAAGTATACCACCAACCTCATGGACCTCTTTGAGTCTTCGTCGAAGGAAGTCTCTGGTGTCCCTGAAGCCAGCGGATTTGTCATTGGTCATGAAAAGCTCGGCGGAGGCATAAATCATCGACACGCTCGCGCGCTTGCTGTACCAAGAGGGGTCAACGGAAGTGTCCCCAGAGAGAAACCAGATCTCGTCAACTAGCTTAGCCAGCTCTTTAAACGAGGCAGGAGCATGGGTTGGCTGTGCCATGATGGCCAAAGCCTGCAGCCGCATTAGCGAGCACAAACATCAAGGTGCGGGACAGGGCCGCCCACTTCTTGCCAATGTCCTACGATGACTTCGTTTCCCAGAAGCCGTTCCCATGTTATCATTTCCACCTTTTCGTCGATGCTGGCCTCTGGGACCTGGCCGAAGATTTCCTTACTCTTGGCGGCTAGGCTCTCTCGCCTCGTCACCAAGTGGTAACGTATGAGGCTGAAGGGGCCGTCGAGCAAAACGCTGGTGCTAATGTCGAGATACCCGGCATCCTTCGCGCCGAGAGCTAGAGCTTTGTGGGAGAAACCGTGCTCCGGGACATGTTCGTAGGCGGCGGAGAGAATTGTCTTTTCTTGGGTGTTGAAAGAGGCAGTCTGGTCTGGGTGGTCGTACGAATGGTAAGCTCGTTTTGTGTGTAGTCTTGTTGGAAATGCTATTTGGCAATGGCGAAATGGGCGAAAGGCCCATCTGGCAGTCGGTCGGCGTGGAAGGAGCATTTCTGTAAAGGAGATCGTGCGTTTAGTCGGGTAAGGGTCTTCTTCGTGCCAACTCGTCGCAGACCCGTTCCCAATCCAGCAGTCGTAGATCAGGTGATCCTTTTTTTTTTTTTTCGCCTTCTTCCCCGAAGCCCCTCTGAGGCACCGACAGTGTACCTAGCGTGCTAGTCGCCTAGTAGTTGGTCTGGGCTAAGTACGGTACCTAGGTTGAGCTCTTTTATGGGAGAGGTCGCGTACGGAACAGCGCGGTCATGCCTAAAGGAACCTTACCTCAGGTACCTTGCCTACCTTAGGTAAGGTCCCCTAGTAGCTTAGGTTGGTGTCTGCGGTAGGTAGTTGAATACCTTAGGCTTGAACGTAGATACCTAAGATCGCCCCTCAAATACTCGCCTTAGGAGCTCGCTCTGTTTCGGCCATGTTGTTACACAGCGTTGAAATCCTACCTTGTCACCTCGTGTATCACAGTCAAGAAGCTATGATTGGGCTTCATCCAGCATGGTGTGCTACGCAGACCGTTGCTCCCCAGGCTCCGACAACTGCTTACTCTGTGAAGCAGCGACACATTCCGATCCCCCGACCTTGCGCTGCGTGGCCCGCGCCATGCGCCAGTTGCAGCCACGGCAAGCAGACTGAGATCACCATCGTCACGGTCGTCCGTCCTACAGCGGGCTTACTGATGCAGCACACAGCTAGATCAGCCCGGCAATAGACAGGGAGGTCTATACAGTGCACTGGACATTCGATGCAATGCTGGGCCTCTGCAACGCAGGACTCACTAGCTTGGCAGCACACTGACAAGTAACTTACTCGAACACTTCCCTGGAGGGATGTATTACGCGGTGCTTTGATCGTCCCCGAATCATCATATGATTAGTCACTTAAAAGCGTGGTTTTGGATGAGGCTTGCGAACGTTAGTACTGCAGTCCAGCCTTGAGCCATGTAATGCCGTATACATGTACTTCTGTTCGCACTGCACAACGACCAAGACGGCATCAATTCGGCACGAGAAATGTCGACCTATAGTAACCATGCCTTGGCTGAGAATACGCAGACACTCCTTGTCGGTGCTTGAGCTTCTGCTCCGTATAGGCTTGTATCTTGCGTTCTTTAATGTCACGCCAGGCGAATGTCACAATGGGGGACACGATCCCACGTGCATAGCTTACGGTAATGTGAGGTTCATAATGAGGTACTGCCCGAGGTAATGCTTGCTGTCTACATGTCGGTCTCACCAAGCTACGCGAAAGTCGCAAGACAAGCCATCGCAGACTCGGTAGAGGTCGGATTCTGTCCGCGGCCACAGAGGTGTGTGCCACCTTACTCCCTCCCCACCCCACTGACAGGACCATGGCCCTCAAGGTTCTCTCAATCACTACTGCATAGTATATTGTGGGCAAACAAGGCACTCAGGTGTTTGTGCTTTCTGTCATGTAGACCATATTCTATTCACTTATATGTATGTACATGCCATGGCTCTAGCTAGACACACCTGGACAGTAGGCAGAAGTCCCAGTCCTAGTCCACAGGCCTTCAAGGTTGCGGGATCAGTCGCGCCAGGATGTGCAGGCAGAGGGTGTAGGTTGGACATATGGCTGTTATCTCTGTTTTTAGAACAGTGATCTGTGACATGATACCACATACTTCTCACTATGGAGAGATGGAAATTTACTGCCCATTTCCATTCTTGGGAGGGAGAAAGACAAGAAAAGATAGTCCCTTCGCATATGCAAACCTGGCTGCGAACTTCAGAGCATCGTCTACCTACACACTCCGCATCCGCACGGCATGCATCTCACCGGCGGGCAGCAGTGCGCCAAGGTTGACGCCTCAGCAGTAACGATATCTTACTCGTCGTCTGATGCAGCTCAAGCTCCACCCTTCTGCGGTGCTCTTTCACGCATGTCCTGTCCTGCATTCACTTGGACTCCGCCGCATCGGCCGCTGATTGGCCAATGAACACGCACTATTGACGCAGCCATCTGATGTGCTTTCTGGTGTCATTGCTCGTTCGCCGCGACTTCCCTGGATGTCGGCGCCACTTCTGACTGGTAAATGCCGTGGGTGCTACGGAGGAGGTATTTTATACTGAGAGCTGGAGAACGCCAAGTTGGGTACTTACTGTGTACCTTACCTGGGTGAAAGCCGAGACCAAGTCTGAATTGAAAATTGCCCTGCAAGGCCACCATGGTGAGCTTTACTCTTGAGGTCGCCGCCGATTCAAGCCAAGGACCAACGCCGCCCCTCCATCCGGGCGGATTTCCGGCCGTTTCGAAGGTAAGGTAAGGCACCTTACTGTTTGCCTCAATGCTCAAAGTTGTTGAGAAGCTGCTGCCCTTTCAGCTTCCTCCGTCCGGCCGGCTCCTCTCTTAGTTTACCTGGTGCCGACAGTCGAGATATGGAGGTTCCATCCGTCAGAGTCCTTGAGCTTGAGCCCGGTAGACCGTAGTCGCGGCTCTGATAGTACCTCACTTCCGTCAACTTAAGTACCTTACTGGACTGGACCCGACCCCACCTAGCATTGGTTCCGTTCCGTTTCTCCGCCCCCGCTCGCACCAGTGCAGCAGGTCCGGTTGAGGTATTCGTACCTTCCTACCTTACCTACCTACCTACCTACCTACCTACCTAGGCACCATGGACCTCCCGTCCCGAGTTCCACCTCACCTTGCTCTTTGTCACGTCTATTGGATCGAAGGTGCCGTTTAGACCCAGACACACCTTCCACCTGCTCTGGAAATTCTCTCACCTGGCTCACCTTGCGTGCTTGCCTTGCCTTGTGGATACGTCGCCGTCGCGCCTACCTATCTCAGCTCCCTGTCTTGCCTTAACTTACCTAAGGTGGCTGGCTGCCTGGTTCGCCTGGCCCGGCCCTGACCCCAGCCTGCTTTCTTGCCGCCTGCGTCCGCGCCTGCATCTGCGCCTGCGTTTGTGTTCGTTCCTCCCGCTCCTGTTCTTTTTCCCTTCCGCCTTATCTGTCCATACACCACCGCAACGCGCACACACGCGTCACATTACTTTGTATCGCATCGCATCGCATCACAACAGCACGACAGCGAAGCACCATCCGCCGCGCCACCAGCACCATCCACATCAAGACGTCGTTGTACTGGTGTTCAGCAATCGCTCTATCTCTTTTCTCCCGTCCTTCTTCATCAGGTCTACAGACGCGAGTCGTAGGGAGCCATGGGTAAGTCAATCTCTTTTTCTCATCCTCTTCCGTTCGCTGTTCCATCATTTCGTTTCCAGAGCGGGTGGCTCAATTGCATTGCCTTGCTACTCCCGTCCATCTGGTTGGCCTTGGGGCTGTCATACCTGGCTTGTCCTTGTCTGTTTCCTCGTCGTTCTCCCGCGCATCCTCTCGTCCTCCACAGTACACCGTTACCGCCCCGTCTCTCATCGCTTTGCCTCGCCTTGCCTAGCCTGCCATTGCCTTACTTTGGTTTGGGGTCGGATGTGGTTCATTGGCTTGCTTGCTTGCTTCCTTCCGCCCAGCTCACAAACATGGTCGGTTGTTGCCTCGCGCGAAGGAATTGAAATCAGCATTTTGACTTGGTGTCGTGTCTTGAAGAGCAAGCAACCTGCTTGGTCTCCCAGCCTCACCACAAGCTGTGCCACTGGCTCTCGTTGCCCTCTTTCCTCAGTACCTGACCCCAAACCCTGCTTGACGCCGCGTTTCGCGCATCTCACAACGCCCAACAAGCTCAAGTCCAAACTTGAGCCAGAGCCAGGAGCCTGCTCACACGGCGGATGTGGCCACCAGCTCCTCCCTATCATCCATCTACATTGGAATTCCCTTTCACCAAGCATCCATCTATTTACGAATTCATCTATATCATGCTGGCATTCATGCATGGACGAGCTACAAGCTAGGATCCTTACCTGC